CCAATACACGGACATCCTTCGCATGTTCGAGATGTGTGGCTTCCCGCCCTCGTCCAATTACCTCTGCCTGGGCGACTACGTCGACCGCGGCAAGCAATCTCTCGAGACAATTCTACTGCTGCTCTGCTACAAGCTCAAGTTCCCCGAGAACTTCTTCTTGCTGAGAGGAAACCACGAGTGCGCCAATGTTACGAGAGTGTACGGTTTCTACGACGAGTGCAAGCGTCGCTGCAATGTCAAGATCTGGAAGACATTCATTGACTGCTTCAACACGCTCCCGATTGCTGCCATTGTCGCTGGCAAGATTTTCTGCGTGCACGGAGGCCTCTCCCCTGCTCTCAGCCACATGGACGACATTCGCAACATTGCTCGACCCACCGATGTTCCCGACTACGGCCTGCTGAACGACTTGCTGTGGTCTGATCCAGCTGACATGGAGCAAGACTGGGAGGCCAACGAGAGAGGCGTAAGCTACTGTTTCGGCAAGAGAGTGATATTGGATTTCCTTGCAACCCACGACTTTGACTTGATTTGTCGAGCACACATGGTGGTTGAGGACGGCTACGAATTCTTCAACGATAGAGTCCTTGTAACAGTCTTCAGTGCCCCCAACGTAAGTCTCTACGGATACTTTTGGACGAGCTTTGCTAACATGTGGCCATAGTACTGTGGCGAGTTCGACAACTGGGGTGCGGTCATGTCCGTTTCGAATGAATTGCTTTGCAGCTTCGAGCTGCTTAAGCCGCTAGACTCGAGTGCGCTGAAGAGCCACATCAAGAAGGGCAGGAACAAGAGGCAGAGCATGCTCAACAGTCCGGTGAGTAGACGCCGTGATTTTCTAAACGCAAAGACAGCTCAGTCACTAACTTTGGTACAGCCTGCACATGTCGAGCCACGAAGCGTTTGATGAGGAGGCACGCTGGGGAGATGAGGGACAGCAGAGAATCTCCATTCATTGATGGATTATTATGAGTTACAATCAGTCGGGCAACCGGGCAGAACATTTCAGGTCAGAACACAATAGGCGAAACATGCGGCTCCGGCGGCATCACGAATACCCTCGGCAGGTGGAACTCCCCGAAGGACATGAGCGCCTACTCGAGTCCGGTCATACACGGACGATGCCTGCAAAAGGCGTAATAGCCGAGTCGAGTGATGGCCAGGTTGGGATACTTGGCAGGGTCAAACTCTAGCAGGTGCCGTTCGTTATTCGATCTCTACACACGGCTCGGGCAAGAGCAGGACGCAGCTGGGAATCTTGCGGATTTCCTTGATACGATAGGGCGAGAGGGCATGCATCGGTTGCGGCCCTTGGAACTTGGTGGACAATGGTTAAGGAGACCTCTCGGTTGCCAGCCTGTCTTGAACAGTTGCACCGCGAGCTAGAGATACTGCGTACATCCAGTACATTTACGAATGTGCATCGATGAAGGCATCGACTAGCGGGGTCTGTTATCTTTATGTAGTAAGAAAGTTAGGGCGTGGAACTAGGATTCGTTTTTGCACGCTTGGCCCTCCAATTATCTGGTGAGATTTCGCCGTGACATTCTTTTGCCAGTACCTTAAGGCAAGGAAATTTCAGAAGTATGCCATGTGAGTAGGAGACCTCATCTAAGCAGCGTGAGGCGAGATGACGTTAAATGCAAGGCACCTGGGTGTAACGGAGTACACCGCGCTTGCATCGCGCGGGATGTGCCCCTCCATGAAGCGGCTCCACTTATGTCCTGAGCTCAGCCTGTGACATCAACTTTTTCCCTCCAAGCCATGACCTCAAGAAGGACAAGCTGCGGTACAGACGAACGTTCGACTTCATTGTCAATTGCTTTGCATGGCGTATTGAATTAGTTAGTACAGCTCTCTTACATATTGAATTGACCTACCTGCCTCTTTCTGCGGTTGGGTGCGACTTCTCCAGCTCAAGTGGACAGCGGAAAGTAGGTAAAAATTTACCTCTACTGCCCTTTTTCATCCTCTCTCTCTTCTCTCACAACCTCACTCGGGACTTTCTTCACCTTGGACCGACCCACATCGTCTCCTTCCCAACCACATCTTTGGATCAATCTTTGATCTGACTTTCTTGTGCAGAAAGTCCCAATTGCGACGCCTTCTCCATCCATCCAGCACTCAACCAAAAGGAAACTGGAGGCAAAAATGGAGAACCAGGCACCCCAGATCGACGAGACCGAGCAACGCGCAGCGAAGCGTCTTAAGGTGGACGATTCTGCGCAGCAGACTGAGAACGTTGCGAAGCCTGCTGAGGCTCAGGCTGCCGAGGAACGCGTTGCAGTCGATGAGGCTACCAAGCGCGTGGAGCCTGTCCCTGCCGCTGGCAACGGCGAGAAGGCTGATGTTTCGATGAGCGAGGCACCTGCTGTCGAAAAGCCGGCCGACGGGGAGTCTGCACAGCCGAAGCAAGATGCCAGAGACGTGAGAAAGGGCCAGGCCCCCATCAAGGCTGAGTGAGTTTGCCTCGGGACGTGCAACAGACTCATGAGATTGACGTGTGAGTTTAGGTTTCTCATTCACAGGGAGGGTCAAGTGAAGGAGCAAGACGAGGTCGTCGACGATGATGCTGCCGAAGGTCGTGACCAGGGCGATGCTCGTGACAGCCGCGATGCTCGCGATAGCCGTGACGGCCGTGACAAGCGCGACAAGAAGAAGCGGGAAAAGGGTCAGAACAAGGAGCGCAGCTTCGGTCACTTTGACGATGCCCTCCGCCTCTGCAACACCCGCGCCTACGCCCCCGAGTTCTCCCCGCGCGAGTGCAAGTTTGGAGAGAGGTGCAACATGCTTCACGATCTGCGAAAGTATCTCAAGGAGGGCCGCCGCGAGGACCTCGAGACCTTTGAGGGCAAGTGTCCCGTTTTCGAGCAGTTCGGGGTCTGCTCTTCCGGTTGGAAGTGCCGCTTCGTCAAGAGCCACATGAAGGAGATTGACCACGAGGACGGTCGTAAGGAGCTTGTTCTCGTCGAGGAGCCCAAGGAGGTCAAGAAGACGAGCGGCGAGGCGCCTGAGAGTGGCCGCGAAGATCTTCGGTCTGGTGTCTACAACAACACAGAGAACCAGCTCAAGATCGACCTCAGCCGCAAGCGCATTGACTTTACGGAGACCGATAAGTACATCTCCTGGATGAACAAGGAGGCGAAGCTGGGCGATGCTTTCCACCAGCGCCGCAAGGACCAAGCGATTAGCACCCAGGAGGACCTGCGCGCGCAGTTCGTTGACCCGCCGTTGAAGCCGTCCGAGAAGCGCAAGCTGTACTTTGGCAAGGAGACGCCCGCCTTGGCGCCTTTGACCACCCAGGGCAACTTGCCCTTCCGTCGTCTCGCCGTCGAGCTCGGTGCTCAGCTCACCTACTCCGAGATGGCCCTCGGTATGCCCTTGGTTCAAGGAGTCAAGAACGACTGGGCGCTGATGAAGGCCCACGAGACCGAGATCAGCCCGCCCCGTGTCAACCCGGACAGCAACATTGTCCAGGGCTACGACAACGCGCGCGATCTCAAGTTCGGTGCCCAGATCTCCGGCAGCCAGGCCTGGCACTGCGTCAAGTCGGCCGACCTCCTCAACCGCTATGTGCCCCACCTGCGCCTCATCGACCTCAACTGCGGCTGCCCCATCGACATGGTCTTCAAGTCGGGCGGCGGCTCCGCGCTGCTCGAGGCTCACGGCAAGCTGGAGCGCATGGTCCGCGGCATGAACACCGTGTCCGGCGAGATCCCCATCACGGTTAAGCTCCGCACCGGCGTCAGGCAGAACCGCCCGACGGCGACGACCATTCTCGGCAAGCTCGCCTTCGGCTCCCGCGAGAATCGCGACCGGCTCGGCGCCCCCGGCTGCGCGGCCATCACCCTCCACGGCCGCAGCAGGGAGCAGCGGTACACCAAGAAGGCCGACTGGGGCTACATTGCCGAGTGCGCCGCCATGATCAAGGCCTACAACGAGGAAAAGGACGACATCACCGACACGGTCCGCGATGCCGACGAGTCCACCCTCCCCAACGCAAAGGACGGCCGCATGTTCTTCCTCGGCAACGGCGACTGCTACTCCCACGTAGAGTACTACGAGCACATTGAAAAGGCCAAGGTCGACACCCTCATGATTGGCCGCGGCGCTCTCGTCAAGCCCTGGCTCTTTGAGGAGATTGAAAAGGGTCAGTACCTCGACAAGTCGGCGACGGAGCGCCTCACGTACGTGGAGAAGTTCTGCCGCTACGGCATGGAGGCCTGGGGCACCGACGAGCTGGGCATCGGCTTCACGCGCCGGTTCCTGCTCGAGTGGCTCAGCTTCTCGCACCGCTACGTGCCTCTCGGTCTGCTGGAGCACCTGCCGCCCGATCTGAATGATCGCCCGCCGGCGTACCGCGGCCGCGACGACCTGGAGACGCTGCTTGCTAGCAAGAACTACAAGGACTGGATCAAGATTAGGTACGTGGCAATTGGTTTCCTCTGCACTTTGACCTTGTTGATGTATGCCTTTTGCAAAAGATTGGTTTTGCTAACTCAGCCAACAGCGAGATGTTCCTCGGTCCCGCACACCCCAACTTTACGTTCCAGCCCAAGCACAAGTCCCATGCCTACGAGGCTGAGGGCTAAGGTTTGAGTTTTAGTGAACGACGTGGAAGCGAGCATGAAATCTTTCCGCGGGCCCGACTAGGAGGCCTGCGGGAAAGAAACTGAGGTGGGAGAGGATACTTTTCTTGCTATCTCGAGATGCAGCGCGGAGATATCGCTTTCCGATGTAGTTCAGTCCTCGATGAGACTCGAAGTTTGAGGAAACATAGGATACAGCTGGAAGTGAGACAGCGAAGAAAATCAAAAGTTTTTGTTGCAATCATTTGAGAGAGGGGAAGCCATTGATGATTCTGGTATCTGCTGGCATTGTGAACCTAGTGGCATCTTCCAATGATCCGGCCCCCCTTGCCGTTGGGTCAACTTAGACGATACGTGTAGCATCGTCAGGAGCTGCTACCATATAGCTTTCCTGTCCAGCCAAAGTTGCCTCTTTGTTACAACTCCCGCCGCCGTGAAAGCAAAGACAAAGTCAGAATGCCTCCCATCCTCCGTTGTTCCTGTTCCCCCCATGATCTCATGGAAACCCTTTGTCCTCTCCGCACCAGTACACTTCTTCCGTCGTGCTGGGACACCCAGGGCAATAATCGACTTCGCGAGCCCACTGTAGCTTCTTCTTCTCCTTCTTCTCAGCCAAATCCTACCCCCCTCCCCCTCAAATATGTACGAGGTTTCGAAAGCGGCGTCGGTCTACTAAATGACCATCCAGGTGTCGCTGAGAGAAATTCTAGATAGACGCAGCATCACTCGAGATGGGGCCACGGGTAACGACGGGCATGCCCTTCGTCTCGGGGACCTCGGGAAGGACACGACTCTCCTCTCGATCGGGTACCATCGCGGTAGGCACCTGATCGGTGACAGCGGTGACGGTGATGACTGCTGTGGTGGTGTAGTCGCCGCCGCCTTTGGTCGAATTGTTGTTGAAGAGTTCGTTATTGTTCACTTTGGGCGTGTGCGCGAGGGCGACCATGACGAGGATGCCGAAAACGGTCATGGTTGCGATCATGAGGCCTATGGTGACGTTTCGGAAGCGGCCTCTGTTGAGATTGTTGGTTAAAAGTTAGCGGTGTTCTTCTTTGTGTATTTGGTCTGTGATGTTTTTTTAATGAGGAGACGTACGGATGGTGCAGGCGGATGCGACGAGGTCTGGTAGGAACGGTCTCGGGTGCTTGAGTCTGTTCCATTGTGTGGTGTGTAGTCGGCTTCGAGATGGAGTTCTGTTCGTTTGTATAGTTGGGATTTCTTTCTCGCGATGTAAAGCTGCTTGAGGAAGAAGATTTGAAAAGGGCTCTAGAGATCAGAGATACCGCGGGGCGAGTGCTGTTTGATTTCTCGATCCTTCTTGTATGGTGTATCTTCTGGGAAGGCACGAAGGTGATGAAAAGGATAAGTAAGGTCCGGAACTGGGCGGTCGAGAGCTAGGTGAAGTTTTGCTGGCTTGGGAAGGAGACAGAGTCGTCCGGATCTTGCTTCACGCTGTGTACCTCCCGGCGGAACAATTATCGATCTTGCTTTCCTGATACAGGGAATTTGGTATTCAAGGTATCTGGCTCTTTTCTTACGACAAGACGCTAATATTTTATTGATACAAGTCCTTACCTTTGCTGTGACTCTAGCTTTACTTCACTTCCAATATAAAAGAAAGATTGATGCTTTAACGTCTAGATAACTTCCTCTTTTCCACAAGCCTTTGAAGATTATTCAAAGAGCTCTTTAAAATATCTTTCTTAACTCTCAGAGGTTACATTCTCTTATAGATGTTTTGTAAATCTGAGTAAATTATTGTGATTTCTGAAGAAGATGGTAATTCAGGATTCTACGGGCATATTCTATCGTGAATACATGGCCATAAACGCATACTGCGCAGGACAACAGTGGAAGTGACAGCCATGGCACTAGTCTAAAGCTTGATGTAATTGACTGTATCACATTAAATCACACACTTGGACTTTTCTCCTTACATGGAGCACCAGCCCAACGGAGATGGGGAAGCTAAATCCACGCAGCGTCCTCCGGTTCCATGCGGATAAAGACCTTTTGGGCAACCTTTCTGGCCTGTGGATATATATACAAGTGGCTTCTGCTTGTTTCGAAGTAACCGCATACCAACGCAGACATCTACTGCTTCAACACTGTATTCGATCTCCAAGATGACAAGCGACGCGCCTCCTGGGCTTCCCTGCCCCTAATATTTTGTGTTGGGCTATTTGCAACGCCTAGTTCAATCCACGTACACCCCCGTTAATCTCGAGGAGACCGAAGAAAACTTACGTGACGATACTTACCAAGGGAGCGAGTCTTCGATAGTTGAAAACGACGGCGGATCTACCCCTAGTCACCTCGTCGGTAGCGCCACTGTCGATGATGGGGATTTTCAAGACCCAGAAAATGATTCAGGCGACAATGAGGCCGTTTATGTCCATACGGGAGTTCCAGATAACCCCAAGAACCCATCTTGGCGACTCGGTGATGCCAACACGCGCCCTTCGATCGCAGCTTCCTCTCGCAACCCAACGAGCGGGGAGATATTGCGCGCAAACGACACATCGGGACCATTCTGCAGACATTGCAAAGATAATAGCAAGCGTTCTAGCCAGAAGTATAGAGCGGGAATCTCGCCATTATACTGCTCAGGTTGCCGTCGAGGCCATCCATCTTCCCTTTTCTCGGCAAAGCAGCGACAAAAGGAGTCCAACAAGCGAATCTGCATAGGCCGAGAGGGACATATCAGACTCTGCGAGCACAAGACGTTTGGCTGGGACGAGTTGTGCATATTTCTTCGACAACCAATGCGGATACGAGCATCGCATGCCCATCTAAGAAGTTCGAACAGTCCAGCCGTGATAGGGACACACAATGAAGTCAAGGCAATATTCGGGCGTGAAAATCACTACGCGTCCTGGGCCAGTGTCATTGGTCTCGACAAGAGGGCCCACGTAAAGATTTCCGCATTCAAGCTAAGAGAACAACCGGGGTCTTTCTTACTTGCCAGCGATCTTCGGCAAGTCCTAGAGGCTCAGCGGAGGCAGGTAGCCTGCCTATGGTTCACAGAGGAAGGTCCTCGTCAAATCGATGCCATGGCATGTTTGAAGCCGTTTCGTTGCATCGGCGTAGTCGACTAGAATGAGAGGGGTAGAATCCGGAATGAGTGTATTGCTGGCCCGTTCAGCTGGAACCCGTTTGCAAACGAGTGCCCTCGTGAAATTTCCCATACATCCAAGACAGAGAAGTGGCTACGAGTACTAATCTCAGAAGGCAGCTTACCACAGAGTGTGTCGTTGGTCAGGAGACTCTCGCGCTGTACCGAGCACGATGGCTGTATCATCTTGCCCCACAGGCGCAAGATAGAGCTACGCTCGTCTAATGCCAGGGTGTTGGAGCATTACGACTCGCAATGGTACCAGGCTTTGGACCCCGCATCTCATAATCTAGTCGAAGACATCGAGTTCAAGGCTGTAACGTGGTGCGAGGAGGCGAGGTGTCGGAATTTCCACGGGTTTCGGGATCATGCCAGTGTGGGCATCTCGACAAAATGAACCAAACTTTCTCCATGGGTCCTCGGGGTCGTTTTCAGGATACTCTCATAAGTCAAATCACTGAGGTGTCACTCCTCTCTCTAGCATTCATCATGTTACCTGCTAAGTAGTAGAATTTAGATGAGCTGTGTTGACCATGAATCAGGATAACTAGAGATGTCTTATAGACCGTCACTAATTCAGTCTTCCCATACTATGAGTAGGGCATCTCGAGCATTGCTTTGAATTGTCTTCTTCTCAATCTATCTTGACCACACTCGATCCACGAAGAAAGCCCTCTGGAGAACCCCCCCCCCCCCGGGTCCTCCTATTCACATGAGAATAGCTACACGGCACGACGAGATCAAGCCGGGCACCCACCGCCGTTGTAAGGAGTGCAAACAGCCCTGAACTTCTCATTCGGCTGGTTGATGCCCTGGAACGTGTCTCTGCACTGCTGCTCGGTCCACTGGCTTCCCGTCTTGCACTATCCGTTGCCATTCGTGATTAGCATTGTCCATCATTGGCCAGCGCGAGAGCCGGAAGAAGGCAGAATTTGGTTGAGGCGTGTTGTGTGGATGTGGGAGATTGCAACAGATGATCACTTACAACATTATAGTTCCCAGCCGAGTTGTAGCAAACTGTCCCGCCGACGGTATCGCAGAGTCTGATTGCCGCAATGACTGCGTTCCCGTTATTGGCGATTTGGCAGTGGCAGGAGAACTGGCTTGCTGCGAGCGGCACCCTGGGTTTTACGTCGTTAGTTTCCATCAATGATTGGGATGTATGAAGAGAATATGGGAGGGGGTGTTGGTTACCAGGCTGCAATAGAAATGAGGCTGACGACGTTGAACTTCATCTTGATTGTGAGGAAAGTTCTGTTTTTTTGGATGATTTGAGTGAAAATCTGGTGAGAGAAAGATTGACTGGATAAGTGAGGATGATTGATTGTCTATGAGATGGTTGTTCATCAAGGAAGGAGCATCATCAAGCATCTTATACAAGTCATCAGCTGTAGCATCTCTTCACCCCTTCTCCTCTTTGGCATCAACCCTCCTCCTCTCATCAAGGCATGATGAACTACCCAGATACCAAGACTCCAAGAACCATGATTCCATCAACGGAATTCTTGGCCTCGTAACTCCGACTCTCCGTCACCCAGGGCCGCGATAGGGCGGCCGCTTCCATTTCGAGCTCTCAACACCAGCAACATGATTCACGATACTTTCAAGCGCCAAGCCTTTCATCCCACGCGAATCCGAAATCCACTGTACAACGACTCTTATCTTTACTCCGTACTCCGTACTCAGAAATTGTAAAGCCAGAAGCGGGGACAACTTTCCCAAAAATCCCCATTATCCCCATCGATCTGCATAGACTGGGGTCCTATAAGAGGCCATGATCAACCACGGCGCAATCAAAGTCAACAAAAGTCACCTGTAGTCTTTCTTCTTCTTTAATCAATTACAGTATCAAACTAGTTGACAACTCCTCGGTTCTTTCCCATCGTGCCATTCAACCGCACCTTATAACCTTAATCAGACCCAAGTTGTCAACCCCCATTTGTGAAGGGGCTACTCACCCAAAACTCCATCGCCAAGAGCGTCTAGCAAGCGACAACTCCAGAGCTGACCAGGAACCTGTGTCAGGCACAAGTCGATAAAACTCAATATCGAGTCGGACTCTGCGGAAAGTTTATGACAAGTCAAGTGTCTGTAGATTGAACTACACGAGCGATTGCCGAAATAGGAAAGTTCTACAACCTACCACGGTTCGTGTAAGTCGGAGTAGATGCAGCCAACAGACCCGAGGTGTTTCAACTTTTACACCGCCGTGAATGCCTCATGAGCCCATGATCTATTTGCGAAGCAACTGGAGAAGCTCATCTCAACTCCCAACTCTCCCACTGGCACCGTCTGAACACGAGTTCGTGAGCCTGTTCATCGGATCACTGCCAAGTTGCCAAGTCCCCATTATTGAAGTTACGCATACAATGTTCGTTAGGAAGGAGTTGGAGGAATTCGGATTACGAACAGGAACCTGATCCGTGTCTGACTTTGAGATGTATTAATACAAGAGGTTGTTCCTCACCATCAATACAACTCTTCACCAAGATACCTCCATCATCCAGTCCACTTCTCCCACCACATTCCAGGCAACTCATCCACTTCTCTACTCCCCTTCTCAAAATCTTCAAAATCCTCCATCTACACCATGCAATTCAACCTCAACACCGTGGCCCTCCTCGCCACCCTCCTCCCCCTGGCCTCCGCCGTCCCCTCGGAAGTAACCGACAGCAGCCTCGCCAAGAGACAGAGACAGTACCAGTGCGAGACCTCGAACAACCTCGGCGCCTGCAACAACGCCATTGCCAAGCTGAGAGGTCACGAGGCTAGAGGCTGCGATGTCTGGTGTAAGTCCATTCCCTTCTTCTCTAACCCCTCCTGGGAAAAAAATACATGGCTGACAAAAGAGGTTGGAATAGCCTGCATCGGTGCCTTTGCGGCCGTGATCCCTGCTTGTGGAGCTGCTGTTGATGAGCTCTTCCTGAGTACGTTACTTCCACGAATTCCTAAGAAAGAAAAAAGTGGTATGGAGGAACATGGGCTGACTTGATGTAGACCCTCTCGCCGATGTGGCTTGCATCGGAGCCGTGGCCAACTTCCAAGGCCCTTGCAAGGGCTGTGAGCCTTTCTAGGCTTCGTCGATGAGCGAGCGGCTTTCCACGGATCTTCCCTAACATGGATCGCCGGCCTCTCGGACAGCCATAGCAATCGGCTCGCCATTCTGGCTTATGATGCTAGTCGATACTCGGGCGCTATCTGTTTGGATGTGGTACGGAATTTGGATATATATATATAGCAGTCTGCTCCCCTTGAGGGTGTAAAAGCAACCCACAATTGCTTCCATTGCGTCGCGGAGATATATACCTACAGAGTTTGCGATGGTAGCGGTGGCTGCGACGTTTGAATGCCTCACGGCATCCTTGATGTTCAATGGAAATAAGGTCATTTATCGAGTAGCGTTCCGCGCCTACAGTCGATCTATGTTGATACTGATGTGAATACCGAAACGATGAGAGTGCCCACCCATCATGAGAGAACGCTTCAGGAACGCGGGTAACATGATAAAGTGAAATCGACATGTGCAATTCGTGCTCTCAACCGGGCCATCATTTCACCCTCGGGATCGTGAAATCGTCATATGCCTCCGAAATCGACGTGCGCGGCAGTTGCTTGGAGCTTTGTATAATATGGGGAGCATGCGGCGTCTTATATACTAATCAGATGTAGCAAATTGGGACAAATTATACTCTCTACCTGATCGGCACAAGGCCCTCCGGAGAATTGAATGAGTCTGAGAGCATCAAAGTACGAAAGGAGATGAGTCAAAAGGAGAAGCTTTATTAGAGCTATAGCTTAACGCCATCCAGGCTTCCTCCGTTCGCCTCTATGCCAGTGAAACGGGCCATCGACCCGGAGCTATTCTGTCGCTCGTCCACCAACCCCTTTTTATGCCGCACTCAGGCGACGCTTTCGTCCTTGCAAGAACATTTTATTGAATCGAATATCCGTATCCATTTTGCTGATTTACTGCGCCTTCTTGTCACCCTTGGGCTGAGTGGTAGCGTACTGGTCAGAGAGCTCGTCGTAGCTCTTGTGGAGACCGGCGCTCTGCTTCTTGAGGGTCTCGAGATCGCGGTTCTTCTCCTCAAGCTGCTTGCGGAGCTTGGCGATTTCGCCAGCATCACCGGCAACGGCGAGCTTCTCGCTCTCCTTGGCGCTGCCCTTGGTGCCCTCGTAGCCGCGGACCTTGTCCTCCAGACGCATCACCTCGAGGATCATAACATAGGTGCGGTTGAGGATGAGGGAGAGGAAGAGGGTGAAGCCGCAAAGGTACATGTTGCGCTGGGAGTAGAACTTGCGGGCTTGCACCTCCAGGCGCTCGTGGCCCATGACGGCGGCACTGAACGATAACTTTGTTAGCATTACGTACAGTAAAGGGTTTGTATAGTCTGGTGCTGGTGCCGGATCAAGGGAGCGTCTCAGGGGCGCCGTAGAGAGGGGCAAGGGAAACGTACCCGCTGTTCTGGTTCTCAGTGGCAATCGCCAGCTCGACCTGGACGCGGTAAACGCGGTTGACGCTGTCAATGAACAGAATCAGGATGAAGACAAATGTAATCTTCATCCAATACTGCACTTTTGCAACGATTGGACTCTCGGAAATGAAGCTGTGAAGAGCATGCGTTAGTTATTGGTTCGGTGTGGCAGAATCGGTAGATAAGGCGGTCGACGAAGGGAGGAACGTACGTGAACAACTTCCGCTTGACGGCGAAGGGGAGGGGCACCAGAAGGAGCATGAAAAGCCCCATCTCCGCCATGAGCAGCATAAACACCTAGAACGCGAAAAGTCAGCACCACTGTCGACAACCTGACAAGCTATCCATTCTACCACTGTAGAAGGCTAAAGAAGCTTGGGATTGAGGACAATAGACGTACGAGAGTGTAGTAGAGAGTCATCTTGACTGGTGCGGGGAAAGCTTCAGCTCCCGGAATAGTTAGAAAAAGAGGATTATGATCGTGTGCTCTCCGTAGATACAGGGAGAGATGTGTCGTGCGATGGAATACACTCGGAAGCCCAAACTGACTTCTTCGGTGGTGTTGTTGTTGTGAGGTTTCGTTCTTGGCGAAGGGGGATTTTAGTGTCTGGAGCTGCGATTTGTAGGAGCACAACTGACAGGCTGGGCGGAGCTGGCCTTTTGTAGGGTGGGTGTGAGGGTGACGATGGGGTCCGGTAATTCTGGCAAGTAAAGGTGGCAGGTACGTGAATAGAAGTACCTTTTACCCTCTTTGACGCTTGCCTGAGCACTTGAAGGAAGGGGACTCAATGAGAGGAACCTTACGTAGCCGGGACGGGAGAGGGACCTTGGCGGGAGAACAGGGCTGGGAGCAGCTAGCAAGTGCAGCTAGCAGTGTGTGCCAGAGCTGCCGTAAAAAAGACGTAAGTCAACAACGTCATCGGTGGCTCGTGCACCCGCCCTCCAAGGGTTGCGGAGGGAGCCACGGAGAGCCACGGGGAGCTCAGGCACGCAGCTTTTTCTAAGGTCTTCTTCAGTATGCTGCGGCTTGCGGGCTTTCAGCTAAGCCCGTTGAGTGGCTCTGGTATCCGCAAATATGTACTGAGACAACTTCATCGGCAGCTGTCACCAGATGGAGGTAAGCCTGGCATACCTGCGAGTCTAGAGTACAACCCGGAAGAACTGGCTTCTGACGCTTGTCATCCCATGTGACGTCAATCGTGGAAACGTCCAGACATGGAATGATGGGAATGCAAAAGCGGATAGTCTGACGAACTAACCCGGTCCAGAGCCCGCTCGAGACCTCGCAGATAGAGCCGCAAAGGTGCCGGCTAAGTCACATGTCTTATCTCGTCGCGTCTTGCTGTCCGCAAAACCTCGCAATTCTTCTCTCTTCACTATGCAAAGTCACACACAGATGGTTTAACAAGGTAGTCAATACTCTGGTCGCTTACACTACCGCTACTCGTGGCTTCGAATTGGGTAATCACACATCAAATTGAGGCCTAGATATCCAATCGGCCACTCCATCCGCTCCCACTACCAAGGGACGCGATCATGAACCTGAACGCCCAGCTTTTGAGTCCTACAGGGACTAACAAACATCCCAAACGGGTACTGAATCGTACAAAACCAACAAAGAAAAATCCGTCTCTCCGCTCGTCACGTCGCATCGCTCGTCACACCGCTTTATCGTTCCTGCCAGATAGGTCGCCCTTCGTGACGGGTGGTTGATATGTAGTTTAGTTGTAGAACACACTCTTCTGGAAGCTCTCGGGCGAGACGTCTCCAATCTTCGTCTTGATTTCCGGTCCCTTTTCCGGAGCGGCGCCGGTCAGCGAGTTGGTGCGGCTGCTGTCGCTAGGCGCACCCTTTATGGCGGCGAGAGGCTGGCCAGGTCGCTTGATAACCTCGAGGTAGGTCGACGGGAGGTAGCCCGTACGGCCATCACGAGCACGGCACTTCCACCACTCGCTAGGGTTGCCGATGGGGTCGCTCTTGGAGAGAACAGCGACGAGGTCACCCTTGCGCACTTCCATATCGACGTCCTTGACGGCGTTACCGGCCTGAGGAGCATAGTCGTACAGTAGCCGGCAGTAGTCAAGCTTGGACGGATCCAAGGGCTGTTGCGCGCCAGCCAAAGCCATGCGGCGACGTTCCTCCTCCTCCGCAGATGCAGCCATGGTGTTAATCATCTTGCGCATCAGGTACGGGAGACCAAAGGCGGCAAGGAGGAAGAAGAAGAGCGGCTTGCGGGAAGCCTTGGGGGGTCCCAGAGGAGCACCGTCGGGGCCGATGGGCGACCGACCTTCGAACTTGGCAAAGGCAGCTGGTGTGAGCGCCGTCGCGTCGGCTGGAGGAGGGCGGCCAGTGATCTTGGCGATGAGGGTGCGGATCCAACGCATCAAGGTGAAGATACCGAGTATCGAGCCCAAGGTATCCCTAAGGTTGCTGAATTGCTCTGCTACTGACACCATCGCTGTGATATTGTTAGTCATGCTTCGCCATCATGTGAAGCAGTTGACATACCGAAAAAGCTTGAGTGCGTGGCCATATATGTACTCTCCAACATCTGGGCAAAGCCTCCGAAGGCACCAACGACACCCTCCAACATCTGGAATGTCGCTTGAGTGCTGTTGTTGAACCGGTTGGTCAGGCTGTTCGGATCGTTGGGTCCTCCCATGCCTCCCATACCTCCCATGCCCATACCGCTGCCGTACATGCCTCCTCCGTACATGCCGCCGCCCATCCCCATGCCGCCGCCGTACATGCCACCACCGTACATACCGCCGCCGTAGCCACCGTAGGAACCCATCCTTGAGTATGGGCTGCTGTAAGGAGAAGAGTAGGCACCGCCGCCGTATGAGCCGTAGGGACTGGCGGCCGCACCTAAACCTGCTCTGCTATAAGCGGCAGCGTTCTGGTCAACCGTGGAGGCGAGGGAGGCAGGTCGTTCGGGAACGGCGGGCGGGGTACCACCGGAGAGGGATGTGGCCGGTGTCGGGGTCGCGATAGATGCGGCGGACATGGGTGAGACTAGTCTCGTTGTTAGCAAATGTCAAAGTCTGGCGACGGTCATGGACCATTTGTGGTGTTCAACGCACTTGAGGCAGCTGTTGTTGGAGCACCGGCCCTTTCCCAGGGCTTTGGAGGGGAAGCCATAATTACTTTTCCCGCGAGGAAGAAGTTTTCCTTGGATACTGTGTGGTGGTGGTCGCTCGCTCGGCGTTATCTCGCAATCCGCCTATCGGGAGCGCAGCCGGTGGCGATTTTCTCGAGTCGTGTTGGTTTGTCGGCTGCTGCAGGCAGGGCTCCGGGTATGCGCGACGGAGGCTGGCGTTTACCGGCCAAGTCCTTGGATTGGATTGACAATCAACCTCAATCGGAGATGTAGAGGAGATGAGGATGCGAACGACGTTCAGCGACGTGTTGGAGAGAGAGGAGAGGGGAAGATAGAGTCGGGGACGGCCCACGGGTAAGAGAAAGCTGGAGGGTCGCTGGGATGGCGGAAACAAGTTGGGCTCGCAGCGCAATGCACTTGAGTAATGGGGGCCGCGGCGGACGGGGGACGGTTACGCAGTCACAGTGCTGAGTGCAGAGCGGCGGGCAAGTGACCCCGGAGGCTCGTGCTTGGCGGTTGGCAATGAGGTGGTGGAGTGAGCCTGTGAGGTGGTGGACGAGGAGAGGAGAGGAAACTGGAGACTTTGGTCTGGTCTTTGGGGAGAGTCAGCGGTTGGAGGCGCAGAATGTCAAAAAAATGGGGTCGGGGACAGGCGGGTCCCGCTCCATCTGCGTCCAGTGGCTTCTTGCCTCGGTATCTTTCACCTTAGTTCCGACCTGGGCGGCCCAGCCCTCGCAACCTTTCGTTTTTCGCCGCCGCCGTGCCGCAGACATGTCCTTGGGCCGAGGCATCTTACACCCTGGGGGAAATTTGTCTTCCCTCCCGTCGCCATTTCGCATCAGCTTTACCGTTTACGACCCTTGGAATCTGGGGTTTCCCCGGTTGTTTGGGAGCGAACTTCGCGCTTTGCTGGATTTGATGATCGACGAATCGCGCTGCAGAGCGGTTGCATTACATTACTAGCACTGACAGGCCAACTCACAACGAACCAAGTTGATCCGCGCTTCAACCCTTTCAACAAGACATTTCCTTCTACGTTTTCTCAGATTTACAAACCCAAGATGACACTCGGATCTGTAGTCGCTCAACAACATACTGACATGATTTCGTTCCAACAGTTTTTCTTTTCATTGCAAGCTAATAAGCCTTGAACATAGACCAGCCTACGCCAGCCCGGAAAAGGCCTTGGCATTCTTCACATGTTCCTCCCACGTGGTCAACTTATCCTCGACAATCGCGTGCGACTCCCCGAGCTTCTCCCCACCATAGTACCCAAACTCGTCGAGCAGCCTCATGTTCTGCAACATCTCCTCGGCCACGAAATCCGGCATCCCCTGGCCCTTGAGCGCGCCCTTGAACTGCTCGTGCGTGAGCTCGTTGAACCGCGCCGTCTTGCCCGCCTCGGGGTACACCTTCTTGAACGTCTCGACCGCCTCGCCCGCCGTCGTGTAGCCCGTCGCCGCGTACACCCGCTTGCCGAGCACCTTTTCGCGGTGCAGCACGATGCCCTTTACAAACTTGCCCGTGTCGGCCGACGCGTCAAAGAGGGGGATGGGCGCGCTGGCCGGCACGGGGAGGCTGAGGCCCCAGGCGTTGTCGGGGGGCGTCTGGCGGAACATGCCGCCGGGGAGGTTGGCCATGTAGAAGCCTGGGAGGAAGAAGGTTGACGGGAGGGAGGTTGTGCGGATGTACTCTTCGACGGCGGCCTTGCTGTCAAAGTGGTACACGTCGGGGAGGACGCCCTTGGACACTTTTTGTGATATGTTAGCCCCCTGGATACTTCTTCGCAGACGTGACAGGCCCATGTATGTCTCGGGAGTAGGCAGGTAGGTACGTACGCTTGTTGATGTCGAGGAGGGAGCTGAAGATGAAGTGCTCGACACCAGCCTCCAGAGACGCGTCGGCAATGTTCTTGCCCTGCTGGATCTCCAGCTCCTTGTCCAGCTTGTCCCAGTAGTTCGTTACGGCGAAGACGGCCGATGCGCCTTTGACGGCGGCAGCCAGCGAAGCCTTGTCACCGAGATCGGCCTATTTGACGCACCAGTAATCGTCAGCATGCCAATGCCCTAAGATCATGTCCGGGATCTCCAGACGAGGGAAAAGGGAAGGAAGAGAAGACTTACAGCGACAACCTCGACACCCTTGGCCGCGAGAGCCTTGGACGAGTCCTTGGTGGTATCGCGGGTGACGCCGCGGACCTGCCAGTCCTTGCTGAGCTTGGCGTCGTTCAGGAAGATGTTGACGACGCTGCCGCCCTGAGCGCCCGTGGCGCCGAACACGGTGATGATCTTCTTGGACATTTTTGTGTAGACTGAGTGGGTTTCTTTCTGTGATGGTGGCCTGTTTCTTCAGAAGTGTTAGACCACAAGTCTTTGTCATGAGCATCACGCTGCGAATTCCACTGGGGATTTGCCGAATGTTAAGTACCTTGATACACGATGCGTATCGTGCGATCGAAAAGTGTAATAAGAATCGATACGTTGTTGTAATTGTAGTTGTAGCTTGATGATCTTCTCCAAAAACCAACGTCAACGAAGACAAGCGATCGTCCGGTCTTTATAACAAAATCCAGCTACACGAACCTCTCTGCCCGCCCCCTCCTCCTCCTCCAATACTCAAATGTCTCAGGACGTGGACATGTACATAGTCTGATAGTGGTAGACACACCTCGACGTAAGCTACCAGATTAGGCAAAGCTGGGGCGGCGGGAGAACCCCTCATCATCATGCACCTCCGTCTCACCCACAGGGTCGTCCAGTACCTACTGAGAGTGGTGGTCCGCGCAAGGCTGGACGCGCCCGCGCGCATACTTGTTCACGCTGGACCGTTGGTGGGATTTCTTCCCCTCTCTACCTTACCATACCTAGTACCGTGTGTATGAGTATGTAAGCGGTGAAGCTAATTGGTACCTCATACAGTCAATTCGTAATTTACAGAAAGTCTATCATACTAAAGCCCCGCGCAAAATCCACGCCAAAGCTTGGCCTGTCCGTATGAGGGAATCCGTATTAGTTACCTTGAGCAACTACATATCACACAGCTGTATAGATGTACGTGTTCCCGCAAGTCGTGCATGCCTACCATGCTTAAAGTTTCGTACTACGAATGATTGAGCGTAGTTTCTGTTTAAGTCTCTATAGGCTACAGCATTCTTTAGTCTGTACGCATATGGACAAAGGATACTCCGTAGAGAATCGCTACACTGTCACGATTGTATAGGTAGATACAACATGGTGGGGGTGAGATTGATCAAGCCCCCCCCCCCCCCCGACCTCTCGCGCGGGAGCTTACAAAGCTTCGCGGTTCGCCGGGCCTATGAGACCACATCCACCAAGAATCCGCGAGCTTCCGTCATCCTTTCCCCCAACCGCGATGGCGAAGCCGCGAGGTAGGTACAACATAGCGCGCGCCTTGGTTACTCCTAACTCTATCATCCTAATGAAAAGATTAATCAGTCTTACGAGAACAAACCAGAAAGGTTGGAAATTGTACAATTCGCCGAGAATAAGGTGTAAATTGACAGCGCGAGTCGCGCGGCCTGGGCAACACTCTTTCTGCGCAGTACATTTGTCAGGCGCACGGAGGGTTAACCGGTTCGGATGTCCGTTCGTTCGCCGGGTTCCGGAGTTTCCTGCAACGACCGAGACCACTTCACCCCACGCATTTACCACTATAGGTATTCGACAACGACTTTTTCAATTGCGAAAAACTTCAGATGTTTGATCATATACCCTCCGGTCTTGCGCCGCAATGATGAGTCAGACACACGTCTGGTTTTGCGAATGTCATCTGCCCTAACAGTGCACAACTTGTGGCTTGTGGCGCGAGTGCGCTGTCTCCAGCGGAAAGCCACAGAGCTGGGACTTCTTCGCAAGTTGCAGACAGCTGTGACTAGCACTGTGACATGTGACTTCCTTCAAGCAAGCCTCCACGTTCGTTAGCAGGAAGTGGCATGTCGAGTTAATGAGAGTATAGGTATCACGAGTCACAACGAGCATGAGTACAAATGAGGAAAGGTTTGTTTACTTTGAAAACGTTGGTATCAATTGGTACCTCCTCCCTTTTTGAACTGTCTTGCTAGTGAAAACCAATCCTCTTGCCCCCCCATAAAATCATCAAAAAAAGGCGCACTTTTCCGGGGCCGGTGGGTATCTTCGTCTTAGACGCCATCTGTCTAATGTCGTTTCGCAATTCCCTTGTCCCCAAAGGCGAAGGTAACTAGTACCCTCGCATGTCGAAAAAAAAAAAGAAGTCTCAAGTCATCGGATGCCGAAGATCCAATGCAAGGAGAAGAAAGAAAAAAAGTCTTGCTTGGGCTCAATCCAGCGAGAAGAAGAAAAAGTTGTCATCCAAGTCCCAATCCCATATATGCAAATCATGTACTTGTTGGAATCCCATCCAAGTAGAAATCAAAATCGTGGAAGCACTTAAGACGACAGAGCGAACAGGGAGACCTTGTTGCTCTTGCCACCGGTGCTTGCGGTCGAGACGGAGTCGGCAGAGAGCCAGCTCTCCACCTGAGAGCGGGTGATGCCCGAGGCGAAGTCAACGCTGGAGTCCAACATCTTGACTGAGACTTGGCCAGAGTCGCCGTCCAGGACAACGGCGACCTTGACCGGCGCGCCAGTAGGACGGTCGAAGTAGTCGGATGAGCCGCCAGGGACGTTGGAGTGGAAAGTCGACTTGCACTTGGTGTCGCCAGTGGCGAGGACCTCGAGGACGTCAAGCTCACCGCAGGCAGGCCAGCAGGAGCAAGTATTGTACTGAGCAGTGCGGGGGATGCGAGCGTTGAGGAACCAAAGGGCAGACATGTCGGCGTTGAAACCAGTGGTTCCATCGAGAGGCATGCTCAGCTCAAAGAGCCAGACCGAATCCTCACCCTTGAAGCCGTCTGTGACTTGTTAGTGAATAAAAGGCAGAATGAGTTCCTGTATATTACTTACGGTACGCAACGGAGCCTGGGCGGGAGTATCCGCAGCCGCCATCATCGCATGACTTGTCACTGGCGATCAGGAACTCCTGGTTGGACTTGAGGGTGATTGGGTTCAAGACCTCAGGTGAAGCGGCGCCACCAGTACCAGCGGCATTCAGGTAAGACAAAGAGTTACCAAAGACGCTGTTTTCGGTCAGTACACTGCGACTCATGAATAAATAACCATCTCAAGGTGATACTAACTTGTCGAACTTGCCAGACCCCTGGCCACCGTAGTTACCAAGGAAGACGATGCCATTGGCAATAGCCTTATCAGCGTTGTAATAACCGACAAGATCGTAGTCACCGCTGACAGAGCCAGAGCTTGAAGCAGCCTTGGAGCTGGCGGCAGCCTTGGAGCTCGAGGCCTGAGAGGCAGGCTGAGGAATAGCGGCAGCGGCAGGGGCCTGAGAGGGAGTGGGAGTTGGGCTGGGCGCAGCAACAACAGGAGCGACAGCTGGCGTCGCAGCGGGTGCCGCTTGGGTAGGGCCGAAGTAGTTGTTGATCCAGGACACAACCTTGCCGTCGATTTCCGCAACAACCCAGTCTTCACCGCGCTTCTCCTCCTTGGGCTCCTCTTTGGGAGACTCTACCGACTTCTTGTGGAGGTGCTGGTGACCATGGTGACCATGACGACGAGCGTGGACGTGAGAAACGGGAGGGGAGCGCTTGGCCTTGGTAGACAGGCTGTACACAGCAACCTGCTTGAGGTTCATGGGACCACGGAAGACGGGAACAAGCTAGCATGTTGTGAGTACTTGTGCGAACGTGTGAGTGAATCTTCTCAAGAACAAAAAAGCTTACCTCCTCGTTGAAAGGGGCCAGAGGGCCAGAGAAAGCGACGTCCTCAAAGGTGCAAGAACCATCGTCACCCATGTGGTTGACAGCCTTGTAAGAGCCAGGATGACCGACATTGGAGTACAAGATCTGATCAACAGCACCGCACCACCAGTTACCACCCTCTTCCTTGGCCGTGCCGGAGCACTGCTGGAGGGCCTGGCTAACAGCGGCCGAAGCCAGCATGAAAACCGTGTAAGACTTCATGTTGTTCTAGTGTCGTTCTCGAAAAGATGCTTGGAATGAATGTTCAGAAAGTGAAATTTGCTGGGAAATTGGTGAGTTCCTCTGGATATTTGACCGGCCTTGATGAGAATTGCAAGTGGCTGGTAAAAGTGATGTAGGAATGTCCCAGTGGTGTATGGATAAGGCCCAGATTGTTCTTTGACTCGACTTGCGAGGTGTGACTGGGTTTGTTAGGAATGTTGGCGTACTCAGTGAACCCTGTTCAACGGTGCGGCGTGTCTTGTCTCTGAATCAAGGACCAAGTGAGACCAAGGGTTGAGTGCGTGAATAAGGAATGACTTGAGACGATGAGTCTCTTGAAAGGAGAGTCGATGCTATTCGATAGCTAGGGGATCGAACTTGTGCTTTAACACTGGATCGTGACGGAGAAAAAGAGAAGAAGAGAAGGCCTGGGACAAGATGAGTGTGGGAGGGCTGAGTTAATAAATCGACCTAAGCAAACGAGGAAGTTGCAAGAAGGCGCATCTCGGGGAACAAGGTTAATGGGTGGATGGAGAAGGGTAGGATCCAATCTGGGTGGACTTTAGCCCCGGTGGATACCAACAGATACTGAGGTATCCGTAAGGTGGAGGGCAGAAGGGCAGCAGCCAGCAGGTCACGGCAGACGGGCAGGAACCATCAGTGGAGGGCAGTCACAGCAGAAAGGCAGGAGCGGACCTGCTTCTGGGCATGAACCAACAGGGGGGTCTAGTCGCGCCTTCCCTTAGTTTTTGAAGTTGAATTGGATATTTGCACGCCTCACCGCGGCAAGTGCCTCCTTCCCTCCTTCCTTCTCTGCAGACTGCAAGTGGATTGGATGAGTGGGTGTGCCTTCCTTGGGAGTCTGGGAGAGGAAGGAGTCCAGGAACAGGAAAAAGCCGTTGAATCATTGGGCGAAAAGGGAAACAGAACAGAATGGACCAATCCGGGCTTGATATTTATGAAACACTGGCTTGGCTCTCCATGGGGTCGTACCTTGCAGCTATTGGCAGGGGAGGGCCGAGCTAAACCTCAATCTCACCTCAGGCCCAGCAACGATACTTTCCTCCCTCAGCGTCGCCCGCGGCTCCCTTCGTACCTCTGTTGGTCAACTTGTTGGTGCCGCCGTGTTGCATTCTGACCGCGGCCAGCGGCTGAGCAGACGACTGTCGTCCTGCGCTTACACAGTACTGTGTATCCATACGCCGTCCCGGACATGGTGATGTGAGAGCCACCGTAAACGCCAAGGGCCAAGCCAGGCCGTTTCGCTCTTCTCAAAGAGGCCTGGGGAGAGACAACCAACCACCGTCCGGCATGCCCAGCTAGACTTTCTCGGCGTTCTGGGCTCTAATTTTGGGCATGATGCACATGCAACATTCGAGGACAACAATGCCGCCGCCATCTTGTGTCCGACTGGCGACACTCCCACGGCAACGAGACGGACGATTTCAGACCAAGAAGAAATAGGGCCAGGCCGGTCGCGATAGATCAGCGGAGCAATACGAAGAATGGTTTATGCCCCCGGGTTTGCCACGCCTCGAGAACACTTGGATCAGGTGACGGCCTCGGCATTGCTGCTCGAGGCTGGGGATCATTTCGGCTCCCCAGGAACCCGCTCTGCCGTTCTTCAGAAGTTCAGATCTGCACAAAGAAGCTGTTCCGAACGCCTGCAGGCTGCAGCTGCCGCCCACAAACACGGAGACCACTTCAGGCTTGTTACTGAACACTGAACAGTAAACACCACCCTCGCTGGTCAGCAATTGCAACACACCCGATGGACAGCGTCAAGGACAGCTCGAGAGGTGCCATTGCAGCGTTCTCGAGCCCCCTCAATTTGACTTCAGTCAGTTTACCGTCAGGGGTCATCGCCCCCGCCTATTCTCGGGGATTTGGGGATGGCAGTGACAGCGCCGGCGTCGCTGCGTCTGTGTGTGCTGACCTTGACGAGGTGACAAGCAGGATCAAGCGCGATTCAAGCTTACCGTGGTGTACGCCCGGTGTCCTCTGAGGTGTGTCCCCATCTCAAGTCCGACGGGGACCCCTCGCTCGCCATGGGTTCATCCCAACGGCAGTGACATCTGGAATCCTCATGTCGCCCCAATCAGTACGCCCGTCCGATATCACTCAACCCACAGAGCGGTCCATCTCATCCGATGTTTAATCGCGCAGGCACTTTTCAATAACAGGCACCATCCCAACACCACTGTGCCGTCCAATCCATGCCGCGACACCGCGGAAGGACGGGTTGGGCCTCGCCTCCAGTGGCTCTTAGTCTTACTTTTGCGCTTCAACCCGTTCCAACCTCCGGCACCACGAGGATGAAGACGAAGATCACTCTGCTCCTTCTCATTAGCACCGACTGCGACCCGGTTCTGTTGATCCGTTCTAGATCCGCTCTGTGACGGGCGGTCTTGCTTGCTCAAATTGCCTGAGTCGCAACCCCAGTCGCGATGGCCAGCCAGAAAAGCAAAAATCCTTGGACAAAACATCCCGCGGGAAGAAAGGAAAATTTCCGAGGCAGCAAAAAACAAAAAAGCCTAAACCTGGGAAAACAGCTCATCGGCCTACTCCACCGACCGTCCCCTCCGACCCGTCGTGCCACATGGCGGTCTCGCGGCATTGGTTCATTCCATCACCACGTTGACGTCGTTGATCCGCAGGTCCAGTCGTGGGACTCGGTGCAATCTGCTGTGGCTAGGGGTCGGCACGGTATCAATTCCTTAGCGGTATTATTTTAATCTCTTTATATCTTACATATATTCCTAGCTACGATACAGGCCCTTTTTTAAAAAAAAAATAAAAAAAAATAGGGATCTCCATAAAAATGTAAATTATAGCCCTTCCATCAAATCTTTCTCATTCCCCCCTTATAATAGCGTAGATTCAAACTTAATACTTCGTTCTTTATTAAATCATCAAATATAAGCGCCACCAGTACGCTAATTGATAGTAATATACTTATTGATTATATCTTCTCTAACACCCTTAGATTTACATATATTATTACTATTTCACTATATATAAAGCAAATAAATAGCCTAATTATATAGTATTAACAATAATACATTAACTATAACGAATACTTGATCTCTATATTCTTAAATAACTTATAAAAGTCTAAATATTATATAAGTTACTATTAAATAATGTTAAAAAGGTAATCGAGAAGTCGCTGCCTGCCCCTCCTGGTTTGGCGGCACGTTCCAATCGGGCATGGCGCCCGCGCCGCTTTGCACGTGCACCCCTGCCCGTGCCAATGGACGCCGCCCTTAAATACGGCGTCGCCATCGTCTCGACGTCAACTTTTCGTACCCTCTACCTTCCCTCCCATTATTTTCACGCAGAATTCATCGCTCGGGTTCCCCGCTTCTCCTGAATCGTACCCTGGCCCAAGGGCAGTGTGGCTCTGTCTCTTACGTTGCTACCTTGCCCAGTTACGCCGCTATCTCGCCTCTCTCACCCCACATCAAGGCGTTCAACACGACCTAGGCGCCTTCCTCTGCAGCTCCGTCTGCTCTAGGTTTGACCCCAAATCGTATCTCGATACTATGAACTTATTCTGACTCGAGAGTAGGAGGTCTGGACGGTTGTGAACCGGAGATGGGGACCAGGCTGACTGTTTCACCACGAGAGGCAGAGTGAAGAGTACTGTCAAGCGCTGTTGTAACTCACTTTCTGTTGGGTGACTTTGCGATGGGTTCCTGAGTCTTGCATATCTCAGTGCCTCGGATGCATCTCGCGCAATGGCCTAGATTCGCTGCCAGTCACAAACTACCCCCTGTTCATCAGGCACCAACTTGATGACGCAAGGAGGCTGGTCAGGCAGTCTTGCCTTGAACTCAGCGCCTGGACCGACCTCATTTATTTCCCTATTCGGCTCCTTAGCCACCTTCGGACCGACTCTGCTCTCATGATGCGCGCGCTGAATGCCTAATGCGGCACGAGCCTCTTGATATGAATGCATCATGACGGTTGCTCCATGGCAGGCTTCATGCGTGTCTGCCATGCGCTTCGGCCTAGCCAGGATCCCTCTTACCCAGCACATGAGCCCTCGGGCAAACGGAATGGCAGCCCGAACGGCGATATAACCTTTTCAATGCTCAAGATGGCATACCATGCCGTATCAGGCCATCGGCTACTCCGAGAACTATTGAGAGATGCATACGGAACTTTGGGGGCCGGCCTCAGGTTGAGTAGCATCCATAACGGGCGTTTACTTCTGGCGACTGCTGATTGGCAACAATACGACATTGTCTACGAACGTTGAGGGAGGAATGTGCCTGGGCAGTCTAGGCATCGTATGCGCGGATATCGGCTTTCAGAGAGGACCTCATGGTGTGCTCGCTGTTCTACTTCGCAGACGACGCGAAGCGTTAACGCATTGCACTCGTCGCTGAACATCGACTACTTAAATGAGGGCGCCTGGCTGATAGACTTCGACACTCCCATCTTCTCGAGCATCAGACCTTTGAAACTCTTCCAACGTTCAACCCAAAATGCCAATCAATCTTGACAACATTTCATTCTACTCGGCTCCAGCGCAAGCTGTGCATCCATCGGCAGCCAGAAGCACGGTCAGACAGACTGTCGGTCCTTCCTGTTCGACGGTGGGAAGAACGGCGATACCTCCTTCAGACGACACGACGACTACACTCGATCAGAACAAGGGTCATAGTGACGGAAACTCAGTCGCGTCCTACCAATTCTTTCCAGGGGGGAATGTTGAGGGTAAAGTTAATTCAAAAGATAGGACGCATCTGCGGATTGACCGCTGCCCAGCGTCAGGCGATATGGGCCACAGCCCAGCCAAGGAGTTTGTGGCAGTGGACTTAGAGATGCGCGAGAATCCGTCTCAGACGGCGGCTTGGTCTGCCGACTGTCTACCAGTCTCGGTGCCTTCGTTGCCACCCGGGGTATTCGCTGCGGCAATGTTTCCCTCGCACCAAGATCCAAGTTCTGAAGATGCCAACGACACAGCCAACCCGGCTGTCCCTCAAAAGTCGACTAAGAATACATCGACTGTCAGATTGGAGACCCTTGTCCCAGACAGCACTCCGCCCTACACCGAGCAGCTGCCCCAAGGAAGCCAAGCAGCCGATGATGACTTTACGGCCTGGCTGCTGCATCAAGAAGTCGTGCCATCCAGCATCGCGGAAGTTGGAGAGGCCTTAGAATCCCCGAGAGGGCCTGCCGAAAAGTCCAGCACGACGCAAAGCCCAGCGTTAGCCGAAACTGGACTGCCATACTCTAGTTTGGCATCCCTAGGCCAAGAAATGCCATGCCACGCCGAAATTTCCGCACGCCAACCTCTCTCCGGACAAGAGACTCCCAATCCGTGGCCGAACCCTGGTGGTGACGTAGTTAGCCCCGGCTCAACCGACCGAAGCGGGCTGCTGATCACAAGAACGGCGTTTCGTTCCAGCAATTGTACACCTTCACCGAACGAAATGCCCGTGGATGCTGAGAAGACAGCATCAGATGCTCCTCCTGTATACTCATCTCGAGTCCATCGCCGAGCTCGCAAATCACGACTGCCAGCGGGCGCTTATGCCGAAATCGATTCGGACCCGGAATGTAGTGATGAGGATGGGGCCCATGGAACCAATGATGACTGCATTCAGCAAGGGCTCCAAGGCTGTGAGGACAATTCCGACCAACACGGTCAGCCAAAACCCAAACGTCGCAAAAGAAATTCCCAGGAGACTGTTCGCACCAGCAGGGCTCTGAGACCACGGAACAGATCATCGCAGCTAGCATCAGAGCCAAGACGAAGGTCAGAGCGGGCTACGAATCGACCAAGGGCAGGCAGAATCCTGGCCCCGCCGGTCTCTCCTGCTTCTACCGATAATGAAATAGACCCCAGATCCCTCTTTGGGCTATTCTATGAGTGGCGTCTCAGAAAACCAGTCCTGAAGTGTGTCAAAGAGGAACTTATTACGACATTCCAATTGGAATGGCAACAGCCGTCCGCAGAACTACAACAGACGCATTGGTATCCCTCAGTTGATCGGCCTTCAGGTTCTTCGCTGAAGAGACGAGAGTCTGCGAGGCGATCTGCCAAGTCCAGAGGCCCGTTTGAAGAGCAGGAGAACAGACTATTGATTCGACTGAAAGGACAAGGCCTTTCGTGGAGGGAGATCCACAGCAGTTTTTCGAGTTCCTTTCCGGGCCGGTCTCTCGGGACGCTGCAAGTCCACTTCTCTACTAAGCTGAAGATGACGAGATAAAAGGGCTTGGTTAGGTGCGACACATGCATGTAAATAGTTCGATGGATTGAGAGAATGGTAATGGGCTTGGACATGTAAGGAGAAATCTATCGTAGGCCTTGAAATGATGTGTCAGCTAGCGTTACACTTCCCGATTATCACCCTCAAAAGTCTGCGGTGTCAGGGAAAGAAGGTGGTCCTCTGGTCTGTCTCGTGAAAACTGCAGCCTTATATCCTCAATGAACTATTTCTTTTCGACTGATGGTAGGATGATACGAAGCTGCTGGCATGACAACGACCCCTGGCGTGGACAGGATCACCACACGCCTCCTTCTTGCCTGCTTGACCTCGTCTCGGAGCCGGACACGTTGCTATTCCAGTCCTGTATGCGGGCGAGCTATGCTTTCCCGCAGAGCCGCGATGGTCATGACGCAGAAGGTAGGGAGGGACGCCTCCGAGCCTGGGTCGTGGCGGCTGATTGCGCTCCTCTCGTGCTTAGGTAAGGGACTCGAGAGACTGATAGCCAGAAGGATGGCTTCTCTGGCGATGGTCGAGCGCATCGTCAGTCCCTAACAGATCGGGCGCTACAGGGCAGGTCAGCCGTCGATCTGACAACTTGTCTCACCCATGATATCGAGGTTGATCCACAAAAAGGCCTCACGGCGACGCTTCTGACCATGGACCTAAAAGGAGCATTTGACTCCGTCCTTCGGAACCGGCTCGTCACCAGACTGCGTCAGCAGGGATGGCCACACGGCTTGATTAGACTGATCTTCAGCTTCTGCTGTAACCGCCTCGCCAGAGTCAGGCTAGAAGAAAGCACAACAGAATACCTTTCTCTGACATGCGGGCTGCCTCAGGGCTCGCCACTGTCTCCCATTGTTTTTCTGCTCTTCACTGCAGATACTTGAAGACGACCCGGACGCGCGATTCGGGTACGCGGACGACATCGCCACTCTGGCCATAAACCCCTCCCTCGGGGGCAACGTCGCAATACTCAACCAAAACGCAGCTGGCATTCTCAGGTGGGGCTCGGAGAACAAGGTCTCTTTTGACCCAAGCAAATGCGAAGTCATCCACGTCTCTAGAAAGCGTGACCAGCCAGCGGAGCTGTCAGAGGTCAGGGCGTGTCATAGGGATCCCGATCGGGTACCTCAGGGCAGAATAAGACTCAGCATATCAAAACGCACAATACGCCAGAGTAAGTTACTACTCAGGAATCATCGATAAACGGGCGTTAGCTAAGTTCACAGGAACTAGCCCTGATTAGCTCTCAGCTTTCCTTTCTTCTAATGACCGCCGTCTACAGGGGTGGCCCTCTTTCCGCGCTCTGATCATAACCTTAAAGCCATCTGACCCGTTTTGATAGCGCACCTACAAAGTTCCGAAGTTCTCTCTTAGCCACTTAAGATCTACCCAAGGACCATACCCGTATCTGCTAGTCGCCTAGCGTTGCGTATTTTCTCCGCCGCAATTGTCGTTTCAAATAGATGGCTGACTCGCATTTTGAGAAGACGCTCACCGAGATGTGTTTCTTCAAATTTAGTATTCACCGTCGCATATACATAAACACCGGTGCTTTTAAGACCCGTACGTTACCGCTCACTTCCACGGTACCTAACATACTAACTTACTCGATCTCCTTCCTCGAGATTTTGACTATTTTCTTTCACAATCGCTCTCTCTTGATCTGGTCACGGCTGCTACGCCTCCCTCCCCATCTTTCAATTAGTACCCACCAGATCAACTTTAAGCTTTTCTCGAGATCCCGTCAGGATCCTTCCGATCATATCTTGGCGACGGTTACGAAGCTGGGATGGAGCATTTACTTTCTCCAAATAGCCTTATCGCTGCAATGAGTTCGACTGACTGGGAGACCGGACCGCAGAGCTATCATTCGCTCGGCACGAGGATTACAGTTGCCTTCATCAGATGGCCAATTGAACACTAGTTTGCAATAATTGATCTGCGTATTCTTCGTCGGAAACTCTAGTCGATCAACTGTTTGATTCAAGCAAAACTGCACGACAACCTAGTGCCTTCGTAACTCCTGACATGACTCCAGCCTGACAGCTCCTCTCAAAGAACCAAATCGACCCTATGTCAATAGCAAGCGATACACCGATAAAGTAGACACTGCCAAATTCAATGAACAAGAGGGGCGAGAAAACTTCAGTAACAGCTCAAGAGGCGCCGGCGAGGAAGACTAAGATCAAGTTCGAGCATCGCTGCTTGCTCATGACAAGCATAATTCAACACGCTAAAGGCGAAATCAGACTTGGAGACACCGATATACCGAACAACATAAGGACAGCTCACATCGCATCAAGGAACAAGCCGCAGCAAAACGATGTCGGGAAAGGACAAAGTATTACGAGGTCGGACTTATCGTCAAGGACAAGCAGGTGATGCAAGACAGGCTAGATCATCTGCTTATACGGCAGCACTCAGGAACGAAGTAATGTCACTGAGAAGCCGGATTCTGGAAAAGGGCGAATGTCAGAGTGAAAGCATGTAAATGTATCCCATCGGGTGCGGATGGACAGCACTTTCGCCAAGACCACGAAGTACCCACTTTTACCCATCTTTTTCCCCGCGTTGAAAGGGGTACTTGACGATACGTCACTTATCCCTCTGTTCTTTTGCCTATTATCACCACTGTTATTACCATTTCGAATGATGCTGTGATGTCTCCTGGTGATTCTGATACCTCTATTGCATCTAACGCTTCTGTTACTTCTGTGCGCAGCTGTATAATAGTTGAGGTCCACCCAGAAGACCTTACTGCTGCCTGCAATGCAGACTGTACGCCAGAACGCTGTGACGCAGCAACGGTCCGGCCCCACGAACCTCCAGCTACCGAGCATGGCCTTCCGGGTTCCTTTCGGCCCTTTGACGTGCCGGCCTGAGCCCAAGAGGTACGGGGGCTGCCGACGAGCCCGCTTGATCTATTCATGCAGTTCGTTCCACATGGCCTCGTTGAGCAGTGGGCCCAGTGGACGAACACAGCACGGTTATCCAGGGAGGGCCCTAGGGCTAGACGGGCTAGAATATATGAATGGAGGAAGACTTCAACAGACGAGATCTACCTTTTCTTAGGGATCCTATTATATATAGGGATCCATAGAGAATCTAGATTATCAACCTACTGGTCAACCCAGCAGCAGAGAGAGGATCCTATCCACCTGTTTACACGGTTTATGTCCCGGGACCGTTTCCAACTGCTACTCCAGCGACTACGGATATTCAACACAGCGGAATTCCAGCCTGAGAGGCGCCCACAGCCCAGCCGGGGCCGGGGCCAGACCCAAGATCAAATGCCAGATGTATACCGGAAGGTCAATCAGTGGTCAGCCCACATCCAAGAGACTGGGGATTCACTTTATGAACCTGGTTCCGACCTTACAGTTGACGAGGCTATGGTCCGATTTACTGGTCGATCTCTTGAGACGACAACGATCCCAACAAAACCTATCCCAACTGGCTATAAGATCTGGATCCTAGCCCAGTCTGGCTACTGCATACGGTGGCTGTGGCACGTACATGGGAAGGGCCCATACGCATTAGTCCCCCAGGCCCGGCCAGCCGGGGCAGCTGCTGGAAAGCTGGCTCTGTTGACACCAACGCAGCGGGTAGTAACTACGCTTGTTTCCCTACTGCCAGCTGCAACCTACCACGTGTTTCTTGACAACCTCTTCGCCTCTATACGTCTCTTTCGTACCCTACGGAAGCAACAGGTTGGAGCTTCTGGTACCTGCCGGAAGGATAGTGGGATAGACAAGATCCTAGTTGCTGAGAAAGAGACTGAAGGACGGGGTATCCCATGGGGGGATATACACTGTATCCCTACTTTAGATGGGGAGGTAGGCTGCTAGCCCGCTCAGCCTCGCCCTGCCCAGCTAACGAGGAACCAGGTCAACCAATTCACCTGGAAGGACAATGCCCTCGTACTCTTCCTGTCAACTGTCTTCCAGGACGGCCAGGAAGTTATCCGCAGCCGCCGCCGCCCGGCTGGGGACACCGCTGCTAAGAAGGCCGCTCGGCAAGTCTTCGGCCCGGATGTCCGCAAAGATCTTCCAGTCCCTAGGGCGATTGATGAATATAATCACAAGATGAATGGGGTTGATGTGAGTGACCAGATGAGGTCCTATTATCAGTATAACCACCCTGTTCGTCGAGGGGGCTGGCAGTCGATTGCCTGGAATTTCCTACTGGAAGTGGTAGTTGTGAATAGCTTCCTACTGCAGCTCTGGGGCAGCCCTGGGTGGAAAAGGGTGAAAACCCACTACCAATGGCGGCAGTTGCTGGCTGCCCAGCTTATTCAACAATTTGGACCATTGGCAGGCGGGCGAAGACTATCACGGCCTGGACGGGCTACAGACAAGAGGAATACTTCTATTCCATGGGAACAGCATAGGAAGGGATCAAGGAAGGTATCTTCACCTTGCACCTATTGTGGTAGTAGGAAGGTTTTGAAGGAGATATCTGGGAATACCATCACTCGGCAACGACGGCAGACAACTCGAAAGGGTTGCTTGGATTGCAATGTACCCTTATGTATTGACAAAGATTGCTGGTACCTCTGGCATACCCGAAATCTGTAGGAAACAGAGGTACTGCAGCCCTATTGGTTGACTTCATAGATTTGCAAGCTCTTATTGGCTCTACCCCGCCCTTGGCGAAAGTGCTGTCCATCCGCACCCGATGGGATAGAGATTTTGACCGTTTGCAATGTCATGGGTGGTCAGACCATGAAATCACCGATGAACGGCGAAAGCTTTATCCCTCTTCGTGATCTCAATTAGACAATCCAGGTCGCTTGCACCGTAAGCGGAGAGGTCCTCGGTCGCAAGTGCAACGATGTCACGCAAAACCCTCAACTTGATTTTGTCTGCGACACCTCAAGTTTGCTTGTGCAAATTGTGCCAATTCACGTTTGCTTACTTGTAGGCACGATTCCGCGTACGCACGTCAACGTAAGCCCTGTCCTGCCTGTGCAAGTCTGCTTGTGCGATACTGTGCAAATACACAACTGCCTGAGCTCGATTCCGTCTACGCAGTAGGCACGTCTGCTTGTAAAGTAATCTGCATGCGCAGACATGCGTAGGCACAAATCCGCCAATGCCCTCTCTTCGTCGTCAGGAAGCCGAAGGCGGGTCTATCCGAATAAGGCCAGGGTTCGACCCGCTCTTTGAGCAAGGTTTTGCATGCTTCCGGTGATGGACTTGGGCATGATAGTCTGGGATGTGGCTTTAGGGGATGCATTTGAGAGATGTATTTGGGAGATGATGTATTTGGGAGATGATGTATTTGGGAGATGATGTATTTGGGAGATGATGTATTTGGGAGATGATGTATTTGGGAGATGATGTATTTGGGAGATGATGTATTTGGGAGATGATGTATTTGGGAGATGATGTATTTGGGAGATGATGTATTTGGGAGATGATGTATTTGGGAGATGATGTATTTGGGAGATGATGTATTTGGGAGATGATGTATTTGGGAGATGATGTATTTGGGAGATGATGTATTTGGGAGATGATGTATTTGGGAGATGATGTATTTGGGAGATGATATATTTGGGAGATGCATTTGAGAGATGTGCTTTGGGGGATGCGTTTGAGAGATGCATTTGAGAGTTTGGGGGATGCGTTTGGGGGATGCGTTTGGGGGATGCGTTTGGGGGATGCATTTGGGGGATGCATTTGGCAGATGCATGTTGGCGTTGAAGCTTCACAATAGTAAGTAGAATGGGGCGGGGTAACTTAAAAGCACGGCTACCCAGTCAGCACAGATTGTCACAAGGTTAGCCTTGTTTCCACGTGATGCGCTAAGTGTATTTGTGTAAGACCTCAGGCAACAGTCTCCCCCGCTCTCTCCAGAGGCACTCAACTCAGTTACTTCAAACATCATCTCCCCCTTTGCCGTGACAGATCAAGATTAATGCTCGCAATCTGAACACGATGGCTGAAGACGCTAATTCCGATGGCAAAGGCAGCTTATGCAGCGTCTGCCGAAACCCAGGAGCAAGTCGTTGTGCGGGTTGTTGTGGGGCGCCGGCCTACGATGACGGACCCGCCATACGCACGTTCTATTGCGGTCGCGCCTGCCAGCGATCTGACTGGAATCGGCACAGAACAGAGTGCAAAGTCATGCAAGCTCGTAAGTCACTTTCACGCGCCGCAGCCCTACTCGAAGCGCTTTTGGTCCGTATCCGTAAAGCTGCGTACCCGTTCGCTATCACGTCAATCGAGCGAGAGGCAAGGACGATCATGCTAGTTAGCTCGAACGATGAACAACTGCATGAGTCAAAATTGACACCTCTCCCAACGGACCTTGCGAGCTTGCAAGACCATCCGGAGCTTGTGAAACCTATCTGCTTACACGCAAGCGGTGTGGAAGCCATGATATACTTCTGCAACGTCATCAAAGACATGCTTCCTGGTAAGCCGAGACCTGCGATGCATTTGTGCATCGTTCTGACAGAACCAGACACTTGTATCACGGAAGTCGAACTCATACCAGCAAATTTGAATATCCAGATTTCTCGCGGTCTAGGTACGGCTTGCGACGAAAGCAATGTGCACCTGGTTCACAAAGTCTCACTCGGGTCCAGAGAGCTGTGGGCAATGGATGTGGCCGGCGCCCAGCACGGGCACTCTGATTCGCTAATGCCTTGGTCATCCTTTGTCAAGGGACGTTGCACAACGATCAACGGGGAGTGGAGCTTGGGCTTCTGTCGCAATCGACCCGCCCGGGAATCGCTGCCCTGGCTGTCGCCCGCTGTGTCGACGCAAGTGTTGGCCCTAGCTGATGCGCTCGACCAAGGAATACCACAGCTAGTGACGGGACATGACGGAAGCCTGCGAGCCTTGCTCGAAGGACAAGGCAGCACTTATCAATCCGCAGCGCAGCGGTTTCTAGGTGACCTTGAGGCGCGCCTTCCGGGTATCCTCGCAAGCCTATTCACAACGTCAAGGCCATATCGCATCAAAGCTGTTGCCGGGAAGGGTAAGGGTATGTTCGCCACCCGCCGCATCGCCAGGGGCACCCGCCTGCTTGCGGAGTCTCCAATTTTCCGAGTTCCAAGAGACGAGTCAAACTTACAAAAACTGGAGGCCGCCATAGCTCGGAGCGTGGGACTTCTGAGCCAGGTACAGCGCGAAAGCTTCTTTGCCCTGCATAATTGCCACGGAACCCGCCACAGCCAGGCGCTAGGAATCGCGAGAACAAACGCGCTACCGCTAGGCTCGGGCGCATCTGTAGGCGGTATCTTTCTAGAGGCGTCTCGGATAAATCATTCCTGCAGACACAACGCCCAAAATACCTGGAACGACAGTCTAGGCCAAGTCACAATCCACGTGCTTAGGGAAGTTGACGATGGCGAAGAGATCACGATATCCTACCTTGGCGCATCGGAAAACTACGCTGCGAGGCAATCGCGTTTGCACAAGTCTTTTGGATTCGTCTGCGCCTGCGAACTGTGTACACTTCCAGCGCCACAACGAACGCAAAGCGATCGCCGTCTCGACAAGATCACGTACCTTGACGGCCAGATCGGAGATGGCATACATATTAAATCGACTCCCCTCGCATGCTTTCGGATGGCGCACGAGATGAAGCTCATCATGGAGGAGGAGGGCATTGCCGACGCAAGAATCCCGCGACTCTATTATGATGCATTCCAGATCGTAATTGCCAATGGCGACGAAGCAAGAGCGAGTGTTTTCGCCGAGCGCGCTTCTGTTGAGAGGCTCATCATGGAGGGCAGCGACAGCGCGGTAGTGCACAGGTTAAACAAGTACGCTGTGGATCCATCAAGCCACGTCCTGCACGGTATGTCGAAGCAATGGCGACAGGGTGTCAATAAAATACCGCAAGATTTGAATGAGCAAGGTTTCGAAAAGTGGCTTTGGAGATTGCCGACTTGATGCGTCAGATTCGGAAAGGATGCCGGCTTCATCAGGCGATCACATTTAAAGCACTACTACGGATACTGGCTAGAGGTTGAGCTGCTGCTGCGCATTGTCGACAACGTTGTTACCCCGCTGGTGCCCCGTCGGTGTATTATTAACGGTTCTCTGGTCTCTCTTCAACAGGCTAGTTTGCGGCTTGAATGAGAAGGCCTAGAGAGTAAGTAATTGCAGGCACAATACAGTCGATTTGAACATCCAAGTTGTTTGATGCATTTCCTCGCTTGCTTCGCCCTGTGTATGATCTTATGCGACTCTCGCTGCCTCGGCATCGGGCTCTGGCACCGTTCCTCTGCTGTCCTGGCGGGTGCCTCATGGATAACCAGTACATCAAAAATTGGCTTGACGCGTCGACGCGTCCTGTCTTTCATCAGGTTGGGACCAGGTGTTTGCACTACCCCGCCCTCCACTCTTATCTAATATGTGTTCGCCTGAGGCATTCAGTGGCAGGGAGCCAAAGGCTTGTCGTCGATTTCGCGCCTACATCTCCAACAAAGAACGGATACCCGTCTTCCAGGCCTAACCGCGCGAAACTGGTTCCCCATATTTGAACTTCCTAATTTATCAGCTGAGCATCTTCAGCCAATTCGAAAGCTGACGCGACGATACCAAAAGATGGATAAACGAAATCCGACGCCTCTGACAACGGTTGGATGCCAGCCGACCAAGGAACGAGTCGACGACGATGTGATTTATCTAGGTACCTACAAAGGTGAGTAGCATCTCGCGAATGGGGGATTCGACTAAGAAGGACTCAGTGAAGGACTCTCATCTGACCGCCGATACCTCTCCAAGCAAAAGCGGGCGATACAGCAGACGACCTCGAGACGAAATAATATCAACTCGGTCAGGGCGCCAAAAGAGCTATCAGAAGACAACCACTTCAACCTCCACACTGGAAATACTTGCCGAGATGACCTACAAGCATGTAAAACTGGGGGTGATGAAGGACTCGTCTCAACCACGTCGAGCTGTGTATGGATTCTTTGACCCAACCGTAAGCCTTCTTCGAAGAGCATCCTGAGATTGATTGATCGAGCAGTCGAGCATGCCCACGTCGGTTGGTTATCGTGCCGAGACCAAGCTCAATTCAGACAAAGGCTTGGTCAATTTTGTCCAGGACGGTATGTTGACGACGTTGTTTTCCTTGCCATGCTTCAATTAGTGTGTTGTACCTCTACACTTCAGATCATAGACCCATTGCTTGTGAGATTCACAGAGCCGTTCTTAACCTCGGGCGCTTTCGCGTTCGCCAAGGGTTTTGACGGGATCGTACTGCCAATCAACGTCAATGCAGCAGATCAGATGTCAGATCACGACAGAAACCATTGGATTCTTGCAATCGTCAACTGGAAAACGGAGAGATTCGACGCCTTTGGAATGCAGTCAACTGCCTTTTCTCGATGGAGCAAAAGGGTCGATGAATACGTCTCGGAACTTCGCGGCGCAGTGATGCAACTCGAGAAGAGATCTCACGAAGTAGGACTCGTTTGTTCTGTTCTTGATGTATCGTGTTTTACTCTCATCAGTCAGCTGGGACCGTATGTAGATGACTCATGCTGCGCTTTCCTCTGCGCTTACGCCCTCGAGCGGTAAATGCGTCGGGCACCTCAACGTCGAAAACGATGGCCCACGGGTCCCGCGTTGAGAAAACACTACTTGCGCAGGCTTCTTACTCATGGCAGCCGCCCACCGGCCGTCTTACCAAAGGGTCGCAGCATCCGGCTTCTGGTGACGGATCAAGGGTTGGATGAGAGCTTCTCTGTTGGCAAGCCATAGTAGTGAGGGGCGCTGTATCAGAGGGAGCCGCCGCGACACAGTCATGTAGAGGATTCCCCCGAGCCCGAAACCAGCGGTCGTAATTCACGTCGGCTTAGCCAAGCATTACATGATAAGGAGACTGGTGTCGGGTTCGACTGTCAAGCCAATTCAATCCCTGCGGGAGTCCTCCATCAGACGGCACCAGATCGTATGGCTCAGAAGGGCTATCGACAACGACAGTCCCCGTTGAGGCAGCCAAACAACTGGAAGCAGGGCGGCAGAAGGTCGTACCAAACGGGAGAAAGAAAGACAGTACGCGAGCAGCCAATCGAAGGCTTTGCCGGGGTTGTCGTGGGATATGCATGGAGGGAACAGTCGTCGACGGCGCAGGGGCTGTTTCATTACCCGCCGCCCCTTTCAAATTCCTCCAATGCGAAAGAAAGCTGCAGAATCTGGTATTCCAAGAATGCATTTGGGATTTCCAAAGACTACATTTTGTTTGCGGATTCTGGAAATAACCCTAGACAGGACTGCGGCTCTGAAACAGACTAGACCGTTATCAGCAAGGTGTGGTGAAAGGACACAAGTACCATGTAACCATGCCAGGCAACGCTTCGGTACGTCGGCTTTGTCCCTTCTTTCCAGAATAACCTGGGCAAACACTCTGGTCCTTTTGCGTATGCCTGTGTTTGCACAAAATTCTTTGCACGTACTTCATAGCCCGATTCTAGAATCATTCCATTCCAGAATTGCGGTTCTCATGTTATGTACCTTGATTCCAGAATCATGATGTGTTCCTGTTTTCTCAAAGCTGCAGGTATTCCAGAATCACCCAATTCCAGAATCTCAGTACACCAGGAATATTCCTTCATTCTAGAATCCTTTCCTGTATTCACGGGCATTCCGGAATCGTAGCACACCCATGGCGTACTTCCTTTCCGGAATTATCGTGATTCTGGAATGACTGCGAGTTTGAGATCCGAGCATTCTGGAATTGAGGTGGACTCCTGTTTTCTCAATTCTCAATCTCTAAGAATTCTGGAATCGAGGTACTTCCGCTATGTACCTCGATTCTGGAATGGCCGTTTAGGGGTAGACCAAACGAGACAGGAGAAGGCAGGAGGAAGAAGTGGGCACCAGAAGTGGGGCAAAGCTCAGGGGACAAGATACCAGAAAAGACCGAAAGGCCTCCCAATCATATCAGAGGGGCTTAGGCGTCCGCATCTTCGCATCCGCTCGGGTGTATCCCAGAGGGCTTGGCCCAAATTGTCAGAACGGTCCACGACCACGTGGTTGTAGCAACTTCTGGATCTTGCTTCCTCAGTACTGCTTAGTGGATGAACCCAGATACGCATCGAAACGGGCTCAGGTCAATCGTACATCATCGCAGCCTCATTTGGTTCTGCTAGACAGGGAATCCACTTCGTGTGCGCACTAACCACCTACACCATATCCCCACACTATACCTGCAGCCAATGTTGCGAGAACCCCAGAAACGACAGCAGCCCATGGCATCAATGTTCCCAACATGGCCATGCTTGTCAGCGTCGCGAATAGGCCTCCCGCAGGGGTGAAAGCTCCGTACATAGAAGACTGGAAAACGGCAGCGAGAGTTCCTTGCGCCACGCAGTTAGCTATCTTGGAGATGGCCAAGAACGTCCACAGCAGGAATTGACGTAGCGACTCACCGGCGCCCACTCCGGCTGGGCCAAAACCGAGGCCGAGTATGGCAATGCTCACGACAGTGAATACAATCGCCCATGTCATTACCAAAGCGATGATCTCTGGAGAGTTCTGTTAGCGGAGCCAGTGAAGCCTGCTTTCCTGATGGAACTGAGCAGCGGCCGCTTACGTGGCTGGGACAGCCAAGCCCTGAAGGCGCCCCAGTACTGCTTAAGCCATGGACCTAGGCTTCCTTCGTATGCCAGTCCCCTCAACATCGGACTGATGGATAGGCCATTAGCGACCAGCGAAACGATATTTTCGGCGTATTCGGATTTCGGATTGTAGTAGATCCGAGCCGCTGCACCGAGGGGTATGTACATGATGTGCGAGATTCGAGGAGAATAGAAGAAGATCGTGAACGATGTTGAACGTGGCGAAGTCTTGCTGGGCAATTATCATGTTTCTCGAGGCTGTGCTTGCTCCCAAAAAGCTCTACCCCGCCCAGGACATATCACAATTCTGCCTCAGCTCACCGCCCGGTAAATGCATCCCAATCGCATGGGTGACAGTTTATTAGTAGTGTCGGCCTACCTTAATCTGACGATTACCATGGCCAAACCTGTGCAACGGCTGTGCGTTATCCGAGAGTCCTTACGGCCAACATGCGGCGTAAGGATCGCAGTCTGTACGCAGAGCCCTCCCGATCCGAAAGAATCAGTGTCTACCGCGATTCCGATTGCAAAGCTATCTTCTCTGGACACGACCGCGGCCGACTGCGCCAGCGGAAGGCTATTGCGTCCGTCGTCCGCGAACGCGGTCTTTGGGTCCCCGGCTTTTCTACCGAACGCTTAATTACCATATTACGGTCACTTCAGAAGGATAGGATATTCGAGCATTCCTCCTATGCTTGCAGAGCTTTCCCGGAGCTCTTCCTAGACGAAGAGCCCACATCACCGGCGGCCGCCTCTGCTCCACCCTCCGCGACCGTTCTGGCCCAAACCGCGATGGCTTCCATCGGCCGACCCCAGAAAGACCTCGTCGAATCTCTCGAGAGGTGACGCTCGCTTTCTATTCATCCTTTTGATTAGCCTTACGCTCACAGTATCCCAGGCTCTACACAACCGGGATCTACTCAGATCTGACGATATCCTCTATTGCCAAAACCTACTCCGTCCACCGCGCTATTGTCTGTCCACGGTCTGACTTCCTGGCTGCCGCATGCCGTAGTCCTTGCAAAGTACGCATGTCTTTCCTCGCGCGCAAAGTCTCTGGTGCTAATATAGGCGGCGATAAAGGAATCTTCCGATGGCTCGATCCACCTTCCAGACGACGAACCATGCGTCGTCGATATGATGATGCAATATTTTTACCTCCTGGACTACGGACAATCGCTTTACACAGACAACCTTTTACAAACGCCAGAGCAAGAGCCAAGCGAGTCTGAAAGCATAACTTGTCTCCTTCTACACGCCAAGGTGTATACAATCGCAGAAAAATATGCCGTTGATGGTCTCAAAGACCTCGCCGTAGCCAAATTCAAGGCGGCTGCTGCACAGGCTTGGGAGCCGAACGATTTTTTACATGCGGCTACCGAGGCCTAAACCTCCACCATCGATACTGATCGGGGTTTCCGGGACGCTGTCCTCGAGGCATTCGCGGTGCATGAGGACCTGTTAGATGATGATGAAGCCAAGACAACCATTAAGAGCCTAGGCTCACTTCCCTATGATCTTCTTCTGTACTTACATCGGGAAGGGAAATTCCATTATTAGTACAGCATACTACCAGCTCGACCTTGCCTTCAAATGATTGCTTTCTAAACATAGCAGCCGGGGGCTTGTACAATAACTGCACCAATTAGGGATAAGAATAATACTATGAATTCAATACTTGGATAGTTTTTAGTATCGCGCGATAACTATTGGATAAGGATTCTCTAAAAATTGACGTTCGGTGCGAGGTACGAATCAGAGTGTCAGGACGCGAGCGAATACCATAGGTCTAGCGCCAGAGACACGGCGGACTTCAAGATGACCATCCAAACTGTGAGCCACAGCTCAATACCCTTACTTAGGGACCACAACCGTGTCCCTCGAGCGCATTTCCGTCGTCCGGGAATGTATGGTTCAAACAGGTTCAGAAAGAGGACCGGACGGATCAACGCAAGGTGAGGGCATTGCGCCGGCTTCGATGCCCTCCGGCCCCCTGGGTTGCGGCTACCCAAGCATCTCGGCCCACATTGTGCAAGTCAAACAAATCATCCTGTCGTCAACTCGCACGCTGCTTCTCCTCAGAGATAAGTTCAAACACATCCACGCACAGGCGAGCTGACCATAGTCAGCAATCCTGTTGCCTTCGGCTTCGGAAGGAGCGCACGTCGCCTCGATTCCCGCCCACTATTGTGGAAGAGGTGTGTGCTGCCATGGGTCGCATCACTCGCCAGCTTTCGCCGTTGCTGCACCTCAACGCTTGTCTATTTTTGGCAAGACTGTTGTTTGCGCCATGCACGCCTGTCTAGATAGAAGCGCCCGTTTATCAATACTTGGAAACCTCGCCAAGGCCAGGCCCAAAAGTTTCGACCTTGGCAACGGCGACCGCCTTGGCCAACGAGCCACTCTGATCACAGAAAAATGGCCTGTGCAGCTTCCATCTGCAACCAAAATCCAGTGCAAGCCTGGCAGCCTCTGCAAGGCCTCAGAGGCCTAGGGCTGCGGATGCTGTGATTCGTTACATCGGTTATAGTTTGGCATACCTCGGACGGAACAGGGCCATAGGTAACGTGCCGGAGCGCCTACCTGGCGCAACCTGCTTCCTTGCGATTAAGAAGAGTCAAACGAGAGCCGCGCGAGTCGGCCCACGATTAGTTCGTAGAGTGACACACAGTAATCATATCAGCGCCTAGATAGCATCTTCAGACCAAACAGATACCACGACGTGAACATGGACTTCCGCCAGTGCGTTCACGGGCGCGTGAAAACGGGCGTGAAAGCGGACCTCGCACATACCCAATTCGACCGCGAGTTCCCAGCAATGATGGACCTTGTAGCTGACATGGTTACTGCAACCCCGCGGTGGGTCCTTTTCCCATTCTGAGAAGATCGTGGAGCACCTTTCCACACCCTAGAGCGGCCCGGAAACTAGACAATCTGCGTCGGGTCGCTTTCCCGACGGTTCCGTGCTCACCACCCTTCATCGCGATGGATTTCTGCTCCAAATATGCATCGAATGGGGAGCTTGCGCTCCGGTTGCCTCCAACTCGAAGAGGCATGACTCTGATGAATTTGTCAGCGTGCTAGCTGCACACGCAGGAGACTGCTTCGGCATGCCTGCTCACGCAGAAATGCCGCCCAAGCAAAGCTGCTTGCGCAGTATTGCGCTTAAGCAGAGCAGCCCAAGCATAAACACGCTCGAGCAGAGCCGCCTACGCAGGAATGCGCTCAAGCGCAGAACCGCTTGGGCAGAGTTTTGCGCAAGCAAAGCTGCACACGCAGGAGTCCGCTTGGGCAGGCTCTCGGCCTGAACAGTATGACGTGGATAGAGGAAGCCACGTGCCATTCGCTGCTGTCAGGGCTCAGCATTTCTCAAAAACAGTGTTCACAGTGGCAGTTCTAGATCACATTCATCGACTGTTCTCAATCGATGCAGCAGTCAGGAAACGGGCCAAGCGAGAGACACTCGATGTATTGCTTTGCGCTAACTTCTTTCCAGCCACCCGAGATATTCATAGTCTTGCCGAGTCCATTTCATGACTAGAGAAACCAGTCCTTTCAACTTTTCTTTTCGCCACGAACACAGGAAAGGATGCTAGAGACACATCAAAGGCTGGTTTGACAAGGCATCGGGGTAGGCCAACCTCGCTCAACTCAGCCGCAGATGATGCCGCAGTTGTCGCCGAGGGGAAGCTAACGACTTCCGAGTCCCAATGCTTCGCAAAGTTGGCGCCCTCCTTCACATATCCTTGCATTAGCTTCATCATCGTGAAGCCTAGGTCGTCCAAGTCTTTCCTACGGCTGCGCGGTCGAAATTTTTCCTGGCCGCCTGGACATTCTGATCAGCGCCAAATTCGCCAATGGACGAGGAATCAAGCAGTACTCAGTTTGACCCTACCGCTGTGGTGAATCAGGATACAAGAGCAGCTGAGACGGCCGTGCTGCAACCCCACTCTCTCGAGATAAACCAGCGCCTCGATTATGTGTTTGTCTGTGAGACAAAATGGGCCTCCATGGGAAGATTGGAAAGACCTGTCCTTAAATCGCTGCTAGGCGTTGACGATTGAGATATGGATTACCGACGGCCTATTGCAACGATCGTGGCTTGTATTCGTAGACAGCGTGGTGATTCGCCTCGTCGCTATAAATATCATGAACCGTGACGATGTTCGGGTGCTGAGTCGATGGAGCATCTTTGTCTGCTGCGCTGATAATTGCAGAAAGTGGCGGATGTCTATGACGTCGCCAGATATTCATCTCTTTTCGGCAACAAGGGCAAGATCGGCGTCTCCCAGAGCTTGCCAATATGTTCTCTCGCAGGCAGTCCATGTATATGCTTCCTGTGGCTGTTCCAGAGCTTCCGTCTTGTCTTGCTTTGACAATCCTTAGGAGTTCCAGTTGACAGGGGTTTCTGGATTCATGTTGGCGGCTTTTTCTATTACGATAACTTGTCTCTTTGTAATGTTTCCTATATTGGATAATGCTACATACAGGAGTATCAGTCGTCGGCGTGAAATGGAAGGTTGTCCGCATCGGCCGTGCTGTCGCGCTGTTCAGTCGCCGAATGGCAAGCGGGCTGCGTCAACAGGGCGACGTCCAGGTCGGATGCTGCGCCAGCACACCAAGACAATAGGCCCCCCAGAAACATAGGCTCCGAAGCCAGTTTTCGAATCTGCGACGCAGATGCATACGCTTCCAAGCCAATTCTCGCCACGGGCAGGATACCCCATGTGGCCAGACTGAGAAGAACTTCTGTGAGGGCTTGAATGCTGTCTTTCAGTCGTACATGCGTATCTAACCGGTTCAGCACCGCGAGGAGATCACCATCGCGAAGTCGTCGAAGGCTAAAGTAGTTAGTACCTGACCAAGCAGACGGCACTGCGCACTAACTCTTCATTCCTCAAATCGCCCGGTAGGAGTAGAAGGACCCCGTATCCGTACCTGGCAACTAGTGTGGTTAGCTTATTCCCGAGGGTCAGCCACCTGTTGAATGCGCTCTTAAGCGGCTTCCTCTTGAGTTTCGAACCCTGACCAGCCTGCTTTTCTGCTGCTGAGGCGCTGGGGAAAAGCCTCTCGGCGAATTGGTCAACCAGAGACTGGGAGGCGCTGCCTGGATCTGCCACCTCAATCGTCGTCTCGTCTAGGTCTCTCGCCCTGTTGTATAAGTAGACCATTTGAGTATGACGATAGCGCTTGATAGCAATGGAAAAGTGAATGCTTGAACTCGCTGCAGCCGCCTGCTCTTTGAGGGAATTAAGTCGTTCCAGCACGGACGGGCCATCCAAGTCACCTTCCGGTTCAACAGGCAGGATCTGTCCCGTCCCACTAACGATACTCTGATCTCGAGCCCTCGATGCCCTGCAGCTGTCCCATAGGCGTACGAGAGTCTCTGGGCTACCGATTTTCTCCACCTTGGCGATGATCGGTGGGACGCGTCCAGCTCTGCTGTCCTTCCTACGCTTAATGGAGGTAGCAGCGCCATCAGCCTCTACGAATTTGCGCGTTGGCGACGTGCCTCCGAAAGCTTGCGGATTAGCGTCGACGGAAGCAGCTGGCGAGCGGCTAGGTACATATCCATCTGATCCAGAGCCTGCCTCACCATCGCATCTACAGGGAGATATGGCCGTGGCGGCTTGTGTCGGTTCAAGGGTGGTCTCGACACTAGATATGGCCCGGGGCTGGTACATATACCTCGAAATCACGGCTGTAAACTTATCTCGAAATGAAACATCTTGGTCGAGTAAGGAGCTGACGGCCTCGAAATCGCAATCTAGACGATGGCAGAAGCTGTGCAACTTTTTCGCTGTCAGTATGTATGCTGGGCGGTCGCTACGAAACAAAGACGTTACCTCCTGCGCCAAGTCCACAGGAGCAGACATCTTGGAGGAAGCGAAGTGGCTATCTCAATGACAGGTACAGTAGCACGGAGCGACTTTAAATACTCGACGTACTAATCTGGAGTCATCAATTGTAATGGCATGCCATTACGGAATTGCGTATATATCGCTTCGTCTTTTGCAAACATTCTCATTGTTTAAGAAGTCCAACACTGCTGTGATGGGCCTCCGCAAACCTCTGGTAATGGCTCTGGCAGCTTGTTTGCAAACAAAATGTGGGGTCGGGATAGTGTCTGGCAGTACGAGTTGCGGCACTTCATTGAAATCTACTCGAAAGTATTCATTTTTGGCTTCAATAACGGCCATTACCCACTGCCAAGCGTGGTGAACTGTACACAGTGAGATCAATTCCAGGTCCAGCTTGTGCGGGGGTATGTAAGTTCAGAAGGATGAAGTGTGTTGCAAAGAGGAAGCAACATATGCTCGTTACTATCGATACAATCCCTTGCTGGTGTTTGGCCTTTGCCACGCACCAAACTAGCCATGGACTGAAGCAAGCTGAGCAAACACCACGATGCGTGGGCAACGTACATAAAATTGAACGTGATCGAAGCGAATGGAAGTCTGTGTTCCAGAGCAGGCGCCTGCCGTATGATTAGCGCATCACGACCAGCCTTTGGTTATTCCAGCCACAGCGACGTGAGGAGAGGTAACACTTCTTGCCGTAGGCCTGCCTCATCATGAATCACGAAATGCACACCGCTTAAAGTGGCTGATGCGAAACTGCAATTTGCTACAGTGGCTCATGGATGGAGCCCAGCGGTGCGTTTGTATAGATTTGGCGGGAATGTTCCTAAGAGTCTGGTGCCTTGCTGCCCGGGTTCGGAACCGCGATCAAAGTTCACGTCACTAGACCGCAATCCCTTTTGCGGACTTCATTGCACATCTTGGATCCAGGATTCTAGGCTTAGCCGGGTCTCTGGCACATGAGCTGGCCACATGGCCAAATGGGACTCCGCTCCCGGGTGTCAAACAAACAAGGCCAGCCCACTGAAAGCCGAATACCTGAGGATCAAGCGCGACACCCACTTCGCTCTATGTATTGTCTACAACAATCATTTTTTGAGATGCTTATTCAAAATTTCGTTCTCGCAAAATTTCGTTCTCGCAACTGCACATGGTTTCTAAGCAGTGGATGGCAGTGAGCGCTCGGAGGTGAGTTGCTAGTGAGTGCAGCGCGTTAAAGCGCCCTTCCGGCCCGGCGTAGGCGTCAACTTGGCCCTCACTCGTACGGACACAGGTCCCAGATCCGGTGTTTGTACCTCCAGGAGCCATCTCGGTCGGTGCCGCTCTGGACGTCATTCATGACCCTGCATACTGCCATGCGCTTTTTTATTTAGTTGCTTATATAAATATCTACCAGAGACCTGTTGTGTGACTTGGAGGAACACAAGTCTGAACCCCTCTGTTCGGCACGGAAATGTATCTGCGTTTCGAATCATGGCCAGTGACTCACAAGGCAGATTACACTATCACACTGCATCATGGCCAGGCAGTCGCCCGAGGTCAGCGTTCTGACACGAACCAAGGTCCCCTCAGAGCGTAATTCCGGACTGCAGCGCAGACGCTGCCCCAGTATTGCGAAAGATCGCTGCTTAAGGACTGTGACCAGCAAAGGAAGGGATGGGATGGGTGCAATTTCAATAATGATGCATCGTGGCCTTCGCAAACCACACAAACGTCTGTAATGTTACTGCTCAGGCCATGAGCGAAAACCATTGGTTCCAGGTTGTCGCGGTCAATGATGTTCAGTGGAACTGTGCGAAGCGCTGCCCAACTCTAGATGTCTTCTGCTTAGCTGAGGAGAAGACAGCCAATGAAAGCCTGACATCCGCCCCACAGCTCCCCTGATGGGTACTTAATAGCCCACCTCCTCCCAACATGAGCGCCTGTTAAGGCATGTCCTGACAAAACCATGCCATAGCGCCTACAACCAGACCGTCCCAATCGTCGCAGATGATCATTTCTACCAATACTCTCACCACCATTACCATGGCAGAGTCGCCTGTTGGCTCTCTCTCTCCCGACAAATACCGGTCACAGTGCCTCTCCCACGACGAATACATAGAATTGCGAAATTCCCAGGACGAGCATCTGAATGCGGAGCTCGCTTCCATCCGATGCTCCATCGACAACGTCAAGAGGGAGTTGAAAGCCGACATTAAGGAGCTTAGAGACAACGTCACAACCCAAAATCAGCGTCTTGGGCGTCTCGAAGACCAGACACAACGTCTCGAAGACCAGACCCAACGTCTAGAGGCCGAGGTTCGCCAGTCCCAAGCCTACATGCGCAATAAGGGATTGAAGAATCCAACCCTCCCCATCAGACCTGTTGTCGTGTATCGCCCTGGACATGGCATTCTCGAGCCGGAATCCTCACGATTTCCTCGAAACGCGGACGAGTTTTACTCCCTGAGGGACCCGCAAACTGACCGGCACCGGTCCATGCTGGCCTACCTTGCCGTCTTCTACGACGTCCAACTCAGAAGTGCTGGTCATTTGCCTGAAGAGGAAAGCAACAGCGACGATAGTGACGACGACGAAATCATACTCGAACACCCTGACCTCGTCGTGGAGAAGTTGGAAGACATACTCGGCCTGAATGAAGATAAAATTACCAAGTTTAAGGAGAGAGCTCTGCAAATGGCATCACGAGCGCCATCGAAACCCATCAAACGCTCCCAAATATCCTGGCCTGGAGATGGACCTATTCCTGGCCCACGCCGACAAAGACTCGAATTACGTATCACTGCCGAGAATCAGCCATACTTTTATGATCCCGATCGCCCGAAGAGTGTGTCCTCTGAAGGCTTAACCAATGCACATGTTGGATGGGGTACACGTTCAACGCCTTCCTCGCAAAGGGCACGACTACAGTGGTCTCCCAAGCTGGCGCACGTGTCCGAGCCACCCAAACCTGAACCAGAGCGACCGAAGTCTGCGTCTAAGAGTACCGAGGCTGAGTCAACAGATACCGATAACGATACACACGTGTTTACGAACTCGCCGGAACGGTGATCTCAGAAGACACGGGCGGTTGAAACCAGTGGCCCATCAGCCAGGCGGATACCGCCACCCCCAGGGTGGTATACAATTGTCGACTCAATACTTTCTACGATGGAGCGTGGAATGGCAATGGTCAAGTCCGCACGGGTTTTGGGTGCATGGAAGGAGGTTTGCGAGCAGGTCTAGGACGTGTGTGAAAGGAGCTGGAGAGTGACTGAGCTATCTTTTCAATGATAAACAGCTTGGCTCTCGGCTTTTTGGCACCACGGTTCCCCTTAGATATATACTGATATTCGCCCCTTGAGTTCCTCTACATAGTACTTCCGCTGGTCGAATTTGATGCTAGCAAGCAATGACGGGTGTCTATGGTCGATGTCTGTGTTGCAAAGCGCTTTGGACTGGCATAGGGTTCAACTCCAGGCGTAGCAGGTAGCACAGTTTACCCAGGCTCCGGATTGGCTGGGCAGCCTTAATGGCTGTCGCTATCAGGGGTCAAGCAAGGGGCGTCAGCGTCGGTTGGTGTCTTTGTCTCCTAACTCTGGAAACAGGTGACGAGGGCCGTTTGACACCTGTTGTCGGGACAGCATGAGTCTGTTGCCAAGTGTGATGTCTCTGAGGATGAGCATTACGAGTTGGTGGTGTTATCTCGGATGTATCGCTAGTTTCGCCCTTTCCCAGACTCATACTAGGAGATCGCTAGCGATAATGCTATTGGCATTATCGACTTCATTGACAGCTACGCCCGCCCCCCCCCCCCCCCCCCCCCCAGCAAAACCCTTTCCTCAAGTCACAGGTCGCGAGATACCGCCTGCCGACAGGGATTTCATTCTTGGATCATCAAGCTGGATCATCGTAAACGTCCCACCGCCGATCAACTCCTGGATGATGAATGATTTCGCGAGGAGTTTGAGGACGCTCGAGAACTGCTGCGCCTTAAAAGAAGAAAAGGTCGTAAATTAAACACATACGGAAGTTCAATGGTACCGGTACGAAACCTATTCTCGGAGGGAAAACAAAAGCAAGAAACCTTCAGGATGAGGCCAGCAGCCGAATGTCAGTTCCTGATTGAATACTGTCGCTCACCCTATGTACAATTACCATCAAATCTAATGCGTCAATTAAAGTATTTTTCCACCTTTTGTCATCGACATCAAGTTCTCCCTCCTCGTTGGCTTATGGCCGAAGTTTAACGACAATACAAAGATCATCAATAGCATCATGTTGAGTACCAGCCTCGTCCATATTGACCAATTGTGTGCTGCTGTGATCTTCTGAGCCTAGTCTGGTTGTGGCTCCTGATGCTGGACTGGAATTATCTGCATATGGCGATGGGTATTGATATGAAACGCAACTTTGTCGGCCGGCTTCTGATTGAAAAGCAGAAAGGCCGCTGCCCCATTGTGGAAAGCAGGAGCCTGTGTAACTTTCCGCTCCAGTTGCACAGACTGTATTGTTTCGGTCTGACATGCTGAAAGGGCCGTTGGTGTAATAGGTATTCAACTGGGCAGCCTCTGTATCCCATCCGAGGGGTGGTCTTGTAAATACTTGAGAAAGCACAGGGGCCAAAGTTGGATCGTCTGGTTGAAAAATAACGATCAAATCGTTCTCAGCGATATCGATTTCGATTATACAAGTCATGGGCGAGCCGTGGCCGGCGATGAGGGTCTGAGTAGCTACGCCGACCGCCCGACCTGATGGACCCATCCGCACGGCCACCTCGCCAGGAGAGCGAGGAAAGGAGGCAGACGCTGTACACCGAGATCCCTCTAGAGATGGAATCCAAGCCAGTTGAGCAAACGGCTGCCATGGGGATGTGAATCTCACTCGTCTGCTCCTCGTCAGGTCATTCTATAGCTTGGACTTGAACCGGCATTCTTATAAATTCAAATAACCATCTTTTCACTTCCAAACGTGATTACAGGCGGGGTGGGTAGAGAAGCGAATAATTTCCTCTCGAATGTTGATCATTTCGTCTTGCATGAGATACATCGCAACGTTGCCTGTTCCGCCCATTGTACCATCCTGCTGGATGTACAGAAGCTGTTGTTCTCTACCCTCTGTCGTCATAAGGGCTCCGTCGGGCTGTCTCACTGCCACTCGGATAGTCCTGTAGAGCCAAATGGGAGATGAGCACATGCTGGGTAGAAGAGGAGCAAGTGGCTTTCAGGATATCGTCAATATAGAGTTAGATACCAGTGGTCGGGTTGCCTCAGGGTTGATTTCTGTGTGTGAATTAGAGATAGCATGAGTGGTCAACAGGAACAGAGATCGAGGAAAGAGAAGCAAGTCTTTTATACACGAATATCAAACACTTTCTTGGCCTCTTCATCGTCAACCTCTGCTAATCATTTGCACATGGCTAGTCGAGTCTGCAAATCTGCGAGCATATAATGAATAACTGACCCTCCGCAGTTGCCGCGTCAGCCCTGCTTCTTTCAAGGTCCTTTGGACCATGAACGTATGCACGAGAACCTCTTCGTGTGGACGGGCCATTACCAAGAGTGGCATCGGTGTCGCGAGTCCTGACTGTTATTGGGATGTACTGCAAACCAAATGGAAGTCACAATGTATCAATGGAGATACTCGCCTCACCCGTGCACTTTGTCTAAGGCCATGTCCGTGGCCGCATTGGGGCAGTGCAGGGGGTATTGTACGATGCCTGTCGTTCTGAACGTGGTAGGCGGATCGACAGATTATGTGTTAGTGTGCCGGCACGCTGAACATCAACTCCACTTTTCCCCCATTCCCTTTCACACTTGCCGTTGGAATCCGTTTGAAATACCGTTTAACTGCTGTTTCTATAAACGGTGTTGTACAAGGTAGTCGCTGTGCACGTGTGTAATGAACTGATACCCTTCCAGACAATTGGTGGTGGGTTTCTCTCGTCGCGTTTACTCTCATTCCTCTATGCTCGCCCAGATTCCAACTTTTCGATACGTGACCTCCTCCCGAATTTTCTTGTTTGTAGAGATGGCGTAGGCCAAGTTGATAAGGTGGTATCCTGCTGATCCTCTGGTTGATTAGCAAGGGCAAAACATACTTAGCAGGTGGGCTTGCAACAAGGTGTTACCTGATGTTCAGTTCCCGTGGCCTTTACAGCCACCACAAATAAAGCCGTCCTTTAGGCCAGTGCCGTTGCATTCCGAACAGGTTGATTCGGACATTTTTGGCTTCTCCGGATTGCAAATCGGGTGTAGATGGCCTTGACTAGATCGCTACAGATTAAGATATGCTGGTCGTGCTGTCCTCGCTCTTTACTGCCGAGGTGGGGTATTTATGATTTTGTCGAGTGACTCAACGGCCAAGCGGAAACGGGTCAGATGACTTACCGTAAGGCACTGATTGGGCGTCAGCCATTAAAGACCACTGGAGCCTGTTCTTCCAAAACTCCTATTGTCAATCCACAACGACATGTCCGGCGACTTGAGTGTGCAGCGACAATGCCAGACATGTTTGGCCACCTTCTCAGCGCCCCAGGAGCTACACGCCCATCTTGAGGCATACAGAGTAAGTTTGTTTCTCTATTCAATCTGGGCTCCTAACGTTCATTTAGTCCCAAGAACGGACCTTAGCTACGCAAATTGAGCGGTGTCGCGCGCACATGACTCTGGCCACAGAACTGCCTGAAACCCACGATCTTGATGGAGCTTCGTTGACCGTATGTCGGTCCAATTACCATGGATCTCACAGCAGGAGAATCTGCCCCTATGATGGCTGCAACCTAGCGCCATTTAAGACGCGGCAAACCCTCATCAGACACTTCGAAACCCGTATGTGCATCGTTCTTTGAGTCTGCAATTTACTGACTGTGAACGCGTATCCAGATGTACCCTGTTTTGAAGTGTGTGTGTACTGCTTCGACCGGCTCACAACCGTGAGCACATTTCGAAAACATGCTCAGACACACAGGGGGGCGAATCACAGAAAGAATACATTCATGTCGGGCATATCCGATGACCTACATGCCCAAGCCATTCTGGAGTTAGATCGACTTCTTGATTGTAAAATTTCTTCAACCCTGTCAAACACGACGTCTGCGAAAAAAAGAGCGCTCGACACCAGTGAGCTTACGACGGAAACAAGCCAGCCCTACAAGAAAACCAAATCACTCAAAAGCATGTTTATGACCTCTGCTACCACTTTGGAGAATGATTGTTCAGGTACCGCCATCATTCGCCCCAACCTTCATATTTTCTTCTAAGACATGGATTGTAGCAATTCGTGCTGGACCCCTCCCACCAGAACCGCCCAAAGTTCCATCTTTTTTCGATGCAGTGGACTTTTTTGCCCCTCCACTATTTTATGACAACACTCAAGTGTTCACGGACAACTTTGACGCACCTCTCTTTGATGCTCCTCCACCAATGCCTAACCACGAGGACCAGTTTCAGGGTGGCAATAGCGGTTATTTGTCTGTCAGCGCCATGGCGCCGATGTCAAGCGATACTAGGTGCCTCCCCGAGGGCAGTTTCTAGGAGGGATATCAAGGAGATTCAGGTTCGGACTGCATAACCTGTGGCAACGGCTCGATTGTACCGGCTGCATCAAATCGCATATGGAATTCGACTATTTCGTTTTCCCTTGATAGCTCAGCGACCTTATCAATCATGTCAGGTGTGTTTGGTAGGACCATTTTGGACCATTTGACAATCACATCTGGTGTTGCGAATATTGAGGCGATTGGATCTCCTACGTTCATCTCAAAGGCGAGCCGGCCGTCATGAATAGATCTGTAGGAAATGATCAGCAAAAGCTTGTACTATCAATGTAGTCACTTACAAACCACCGTGCTCGTAATCGACCTTGGAACCCTTACAGCAACCCGCTTGTTTGAGGGCAGCGAAAGGCACCTCCCAAAGCCCGTTGGAGGCAGTGACACCGGGCAGTGTCATCTGGTGGGAACGGTTGTAGTACACAAATTTCGATCCGGGTCCCCATAACATGACAGCCAAAACACGTGGACCAGCTGCTTCACCACCGCGCCTGAATTGAAATATGTGTCCGGGATCGCTGTGGAATCTCTGAAATCGTCCGAGGCCGCATCGAGTGAAATATGATAGGAGAACAGATCGAACGCGCTATAGATTGTAAGGATAACCCTGAAAGAAGCATTCACCATACACCAACCTCGTTGTTCAGGATATTGATCTTGAGAAACTCCAGGCCGTCTTTCGACAACAGCGCAAAACGTTTTCCAAGCATCGACACAAGGGTACCTAGGGTCGCGTTCTCCTCGCAAAGAAAGCCATCGGCCTCGAGAGCAGTTCCCGTATCGTCATCCATCAAGGAGGCATCTGAAGCCATAGAGAAAAGGCTGAATTGGAAAAAAAAGAAAGAAAAATTAATTTGAAGCCACAAGTCGCTCGATGACGTGGTTGAGTTGACTACAGCAAAAACCCCTCACCCCTCATCCGCGAAATCTTCCAGATGGAACCTTCGGATAAAGTTTTATCCTCAAACAGCCCACGGTTCCGCGTTATTTACTGCTTCCTGTTTGGTCTCCGTTAATTTGATACCGTTTCCATCCTTGGCACACGGAGCTTTGTACATAGGACTGGCAGCCTTTACTTGGATCCCGAAGCGTGATCCTGGTACTGACAAGCAACACGATTTGTGATCCTTGTATAGAGTGCAAGGATCACAAATTGCCATCCTGACTCATACAGTGCAAGCAGTTGCCAAAATTTGATGCGCAGTATTCAAGCCAATTGGAGGAGACTGACACACTGACCAAATGTGAGTTGTTACTGGAATAAACAGCATTCCATCAAATACGTCTTGACACCACTAAGGAGCTAACGATGATCCCGATCAAGATACGACACGTACACTTGGCAATCAATTTTTGACGCCATTTACTAGGATCACAGTCTGAGTCCCTGTTCCTCTAGCCGTCATCAAGCAATCGGGACCTTCATCGTACTGGCACTCCAGGTGAATCTCAACATTCTCTTGGACAACTTGATGCACAGCGTCTTGTCTGGGTAAGAGGGTCGGTATCAAGGAAATGGCGCAGATACCAGGCCATTCTTCTGCGACCACTGAAACAAGGTGTGTTATCGTTCTGTAAATACGATATATGCACAGAATTGGTTATGTTGTTATGTTGACTTTCGAGTCAATAAGGACAAAAGAGCTCGTTGAACGACTAAGACGCTGTCCATTAGCGGCTGAGAGGCGATGATGGACGGCCAGGTCTATTACTCTGGCAAGATCTCGAAAGCTTTAAAGTCTCTGTCATACCTCTCCTTTTGCACATTGTTTTTAGCATTTCATCATGTCCGGCCAGGTCTATTACTCTGGCAAGATCTCGAAAGCTTTAAAGTCTCTGTCATACCTCTCCTTTTGCACATTGTTTTTAGCATTTCATCATGTCCGGCCCATGCCTGTATTGGTGTGGATGCAAAGATCCTGTCGACGTTCAGTGCTCGAATTTCTGCAAGTGGTGTTGCTAACACTGTCCAAAATAATAAGAACTTTCTCCCCCTCTCTCATTCTACCTTGGAAATGTATCACCAAAGTCCTCCGAGCCCCCCCCAAGTCTCTATTGTGGACATTTTCTTTCCCGGCTTCACTGGCGCTACCGCAGCGCTCCGTCAGCTTCTCGACGGAAACCTTGACAGCTATGCCGGCTTGTTGTGCATCTGCGGGTTACTGGTGTTCTGTGGCAAGCTTCTGTCTCGGACAGTTGGAGGATTTGTGGGCACTTACCTGAGTAGGTGATCTTTCCTTCCCAAATACTCTTCAGATCCTAAATGTTCTGCAGCTTCAAAAACTGATGTCTACGACCCTGATGAGGCTTATGACATGCTAGAGTCGTGGGTGTCTGTCCAAGACTTCTCGAGAAATGCCATTTCCTCGCTTGCTCGTGTTGACAGCAGGCCAGGCAGGGCCGTGAGTCTTGTTGACTCAGACATAGTGGATAAAAAACCCCTTCGATTCACGCCTTGGGGAGAGCGGTTGTCTTTCTGGTACAAGGGGCACCGTCTCACTCTGCAATGTACGCAAAATGAATCATCTCTATTTCCACGCAAATCGATGACAATCTCCTGCATTGGGCGCTCTTCAAAAGTCCTTCGGGATTTGATGAATGAGTGTCGTCTGGAGTATCTAAAGCGATCTGAAGGCAAAACCTCGATTTTTGAGCACCACAACAACGGCTGGAAAAAGACTACTACTCGGGACGTTAGACCGATCGAAACCGTCATCATGAACGAAGAGTTGAAGCAGATACTTCTGGAAGATGTCCGGTCCTTCCTCGACCCTGAAGCTCGCTCGTGGTACGCAAATCGCGGGCTACCATATAGAAGGGGCTACTTGATGTACGGACGCCCGGGAACCGGAAAATCCAGCCTCAGTATGTCTGTTGCGGGATGCTTCGGGCTGGATATCTACGTCGTCAGTCTTGCCGCGATCAATGATGGGCACCTCAATGCCCTGTTCAGGGAGCTTCCTCAACGCTGTGTCGTTCTGCTGGAGGATGTTGATGCAGTCGGTACATCACTATCTCGAGACATAGACGCAGATGATTTGGACTCAGGGTCGGATGTGTCACGGCGGTCACCCAAGTCACATGGGTCTGTTTCGCTGTCTGGGCTTCTAAACGTCCTTGATGGCGTGGCTTCGCAGGATGGGCGCGTCCTCATCATGACTACAAATCATATAGAGCATCTTGATGACGCTCTCATACGATCAGGTCGCGTTGATAAGAAGATCGAATTTCAGCTTGCTGACGCCGTTGTGGCCCGAAAGCTCTTCTGTCATGTTTTTGAACAGTCGATAGAAGAGCTTCTTATCTCAGAAAAGCGCGAAAGCAACAACCAAGAAGTCCGGCAATTGGCTGTCCAGTTTGCGAGTCTGATACCTGAGCTCGAGTTCAGCCCTGCCGACATTCTGTCCTTCCTTTTGGCAAACAGAGACTCTCCTTCAGGGGTTCTGGCCGAAGTGGAGGAATGGGTGTCCAGTACCAGAGGGGAGAGAGCACTGAGAAGAGGTGGTGCTTGGGTCCAGAGCGACTGAATTCGGGTCATATGTGTATTGCACATACGCTTGGTGGTCTTGTTTTACAACTATCCCTGACTCTTTAGGGAATATTGAACCTCCAGACGTAATTTGTTCAATACATATCCTGGGCTCACGTTTCTGTGTGTCAGACTGCCCCAGCACATTCGCTACGGTAACTGTTTCACCTCGAGCGACCTGACTTATGCTTAACCAGAGGTATGAGTAAGGCTAGCAAGGGTATCCTTATACAAGGGGATCGCACACTCATTATATAGATATGGGATTTCTTTCCATAGCCATTCATTCGATATACTCATCAATACACACAATATGACCCCTGCCTGTCTAACTGCTGCTCGATACTGTGTACCTCTTCCCTGACCATAATTTACCCTTGGCCAAGACGCACAGTAGTTTGTCAGATGACTGGGCATGCTGTACATGGCAACAATGTTCAAGGAAATAAGAAATTAGAAGCGTTTTGTGTGTGGTTCCTTATCAGCTCAATTCCAGTCGCTAAACATTTCAGGAGAAGAGCATCGGCAAGAGATGTTCCTGATTGTGCGTGAACAGACAATATCGCATCTGAGACAAGTTTATCAGGTAAGGATGCGTTCAAGGGTAGTGCGGGAGGTCACCAGAGGCCCAGATACGTTGTCATATTGAGATGTATCTGATGCCATCTGGCCGCGCCCTGGATCCGCAGCAGATGCAGGCCTTCACGAAGCTACCATGAGGGATTATGCTTTAGGCAGGCCCCAAGGAGCTGTGCCGCCAAGCTAGTCGTGACATACTTACACCCTATGGACTGCAATTTAGGCTTATATTTCTTGCAACAGAGTTCCAGACCTTCTCGAAATCGCGTGTGGTTTTCTTCCATTCGGTGCTAGAACCGCTACGCCAGAAATTCCCAGCAACGAACCCTCCTTCACTTCAAACCAAGAACAAATCTTCCATGAGAATGCCAACCTTACTGCATACAGAAACTGAAGGTCAACAAGATCTTTGCTGGTTTACAGCAGGGTAGTCGAAAGCCGAGCAGACGCACCAAATAACGCCCATATTGCGTACTGTCTAGAGAGTCCGCACTCCGTCCGGCCAACGAATTGGTTGGGCTTAAAGGACAAATACAATGCGGCCGGCGCTAAGCTAGGCAGCAGCCCTCTCCTTGCCAAGCGTATCATATCACATCAGATCCTCTTCTCATCTTCGGTAACAGTTACTGACTGTGCAAATGGCGCGCAAAAATGCGCATACCTCCTTTCTCAGGCGACAGCGAATTTGAATGGGTGTCTACTAGCTGGAAGCATGGTCGAAAAGTGACTTAACGGCGCTCAACAACTCCGCAAGGGACAGAGATACACATGGAAGGTGCGCAAACAACCAGAGGCTGGTAGCTTGTTGACAGATCTTCAGTATGGTCAGCAGTGGCATAATGAATGGGGATTAGTATGGTTGTATTTTTTCGGTTGAGTTAGGTGATCTGCTGGGCCTGCAGTTGATCTATATGAACGAGTGGCATCTATCCCTTGTAGGGCAATCCTGGCCCGACTATGTGGTTAACTGAGTAATGACTGTATGCAGTGAGTTTCAACTAAGCGAGGGTATCCCAGGCTCTGTCACCCAGGTTCTGTCAGGAACCCTCTAGAGAGATGGTCCGAACCCGGAATACGGATACATGTATCCGTAAAATAAATCCACGTATCCAAAATCGCTCCAAAATAGTGGCGGAGATTCCCAGAAAAGCTGGCTGACCCCATATTCTTGAGATCCTCCATTTCACTGGTCAAAGGTATAACGGAACAAGCCGCCATATTGGCAGCCTCACTGCAGATCCCATGCGCATCAAAGCCATTAACGTGGGTTAATAGAGATCCACCCCGGTCACGGGCAGTTCAACCCAATGGTTTCTCATCATCCGCATCGACTTGAGTCAACATCTCTCGATAAATCCACGTATCAGCGGCAGAGATGTTTGAATACGTGGAATCGCTGTAATTTCGGTCTCCTTAGTATGTGAACAATACTTCAGAAAACCCAGTCTTAGCGCAAAGTAACGCTGTGAGGATCGCTCCCGAGATACCCCACGTTGCAGTCCTTCACCATTTGCTGAAAGGCGTCGATGTAGTGCCTCTCGATGTCCTTTCTCCAATGCGCCGGGATCTTGAACACAACGGTGTAGCAACCCGAGGCCCAGACGATCTTGACACCTGCGGCCTTGAGCATGGTGCTGTCCAGCTTTTTAACCGCGGCTTCGGCGTCAGCCTCGTTGGCGAACTGGGCTTGCGCCTTGGACTTCCCGTCTCTGTCGCCCATGACCTTCAACGGACGGGTGAGCGTGTCAATCGACTCGAGGGTTCTTTGGAGGACTGTCTTTGGCGAGGGGAGTTTCTCAATGTCCTTGACGTCGGGCTTGAGGACCCATCGGAGTGCCTACTCGCATCCGCTAATCATGAATGGCACGTAACCACGGGCCTCGCGATCCCCTTTGTGCCATCGTACAAGGGTTGATCGCCGTCATTTCTCACGGCAGGTCATCGCGAGCAGATGTGACCAAATGACAAAGTCTATATAATGTTTTTCTGCCCGTTTCGTTTCATTTGCTTTGTTGCTTGGCATGCAATACCAAACTATCAGACGATCTCATCAGTTGATCAGGTATCCTTCTTTTCATCATGAGAACCTCAACGACCTACGCTTTGGCAGCGTTGCTGTCAGCCACTGGCTGCTATGCGAAGGGCGGCGATAGGGTCGTCCGCCTCGGTAAGGAGTGGTACAACGGCGCCACCAAAGTCCAGTTCTTACAAGATCCCACAGATCAGCACCACGATGCAGAGTTTCTCAGAAGACCAGATTGAGCCATTCATCGAGGCGACATGTCACTTGGCATCGAACGATGGTCCTTCCATCGGTGCTGACGCAATTATCAGCATCTCTTAATTACAACACGACGACCAAGTCAGCATGGGGCTCGCTTCTTGGCGTACAAGAGGGAACAGAATCTCCCCCCAGCCGTTTCGAGCGTTTCTCGGCGATCAAGCCAGTTTCCCGGATCGATGCGGTTCAGACTTCAGCAAAATGGCATTCCGTGCTGGAGACGCCTAATCAAATGTTCCGGTATGCGGCCTGTCTCGACTTGAGATAAGTCTGAGAAAGGTTTCATGGCTGTTAGCAATTTCAAGAGCACAGTATTTTCATGGAACCATGCGTCCAGATGCTAAGCGCCTCTACGACACCTACTTAGCTTGGAAACAGTCCGTCTCCAAGTTGTCGGACGTCGAGGGGCTCTACCCTACGTTTGTCATGAACATCATGCCCAAGAGCGCGCAATCTGTGGCTAGGCATAATGGAATCGGAAACATTTGGGGCTTGGATGATAAGGAGTCCTTTGTCGGTACGTTCCCCCTTTTACATCCTATGCTTCCACGCACCACATTTACACGGTCAGAGTTTGGCAAGCCTCTACTGGCTGGGCTCGTCCCGAAGATGATATCCGAGGTAAGTTTCTGGAATGATCTCTCACGTCGCCCCTAACAGTCGATTCATCTCCTCTAATCATTTTGAACTCATTCAGTCTCAGGATGGGTAGCTAAGTTCAGGGACTACCATCACTCTGTAAACCACCAGATGGGTTTGGCCAGTGACTTCATCTATATGGGCGATGCATCCGAGACTCAGAATCCCTGGCTTGGAATTCCCTTCAAGAATGTTGAGAAACTCAGACAGATCCGAGCAAAGTATGATCCTGAGGGTGTCTTTGCCATTCTTAATTGGGGTGGATACAAGCTGGGACACTGAGTGTTAAGCCACGGCATGAGAGGTTGATGCTGGGTCTTGTAAAACATGTTTCGCTCTTTGTTAGAATAAAAGGGTGTTGAGGGTGCTTTCGCTTGCTATATCGCGTGTTCGGTGTCAAATCCGTGAACTCTTTAAGCGTTGTTCACGAGAACTTCTACCTCGTCATTTGATGTTACAAAGAAAAAGGAATTAGTACTAAAAGCAATTATTATAGGCCACGCCTGAGCCAAGGGAACACCAATTAGTCTATATGACTAGATGGGCTTCATATCATTCCATCCGTCCATGTCACCCTCTTTTACTGATTTGATAAACATTGAAATTCCACTACCCCGCAGACGAATCAGATATCACCTAAACAAATTCTGAGCACGTAGCAAGGGAGTTGATACCTGGGAAGGATTCGAGGTTGTTACTCTGGCACCCTAGGTGATTGATTCTTCAAACGTTGATTGCATTTGGGATCCTACATGTAATAGCGTAAGTACCTTATGTGGCAGAGTGCCATAGAATATCAAGACATGAGGTCGACTTCTCTTGCAGTAAATTACAAGCCGACAGGGATTCAATAGTCTAGTCAAACATCCACGGGATCGGGGATTTGATTAAAGGCGGCCCAAGTCTCGCCACCGTCCGAGCTGACAGACACAGCTGTTGGGTATTGCCAAGATGATGCACCATTTGCGTACGCGCCGCCAACTTCGCCTCTGCCCACTTTGGCCTGGCTTACCCTTCATGGCGCGCTGATACCCTCAAGGGAACGAACCTGACGGGCTACTCTCAGTGGACATACCCATGTATGTCCTCCCAAACACTCCCGCTCCTTTCCCCCCCTACAATGTTCCGCAGCGGGAACCATGCATACTAACAGACAACCCCCCCAGGCGCCGGCGTCCCCTACGGCAGCGGCAACGTCACCGACTGGCCCCTCGACGGCGGCTCCATCGAGCTCGATCTGCATCACAACTGGACCTACGTCTTCATCAACCTCGGCATCGAGTCCGGCGGCAACGTCACCACGCACAACGTCACCCTCACCCCGGAGTTCTAGAACGCCGCGGGCTCGGGGACGCTCTGCGTCGAGAAGCTGGCGCTGCCGACGCACGCGACGGACGGGCAGCGGGGCAGCAGCCAGGTCGTCACCGTTGGCGAGTCCAGGGCGGGTCTTTACAACGTACGTACTACACCCCATTTCATTTCTTTCCTTTCTCCAGCAAAGCAGTGAAGCGGGTTGTCGCAATGAGTGTGATGCTGACGGTGGTTGTAGGGCGCCGACATCAGGTTCAGATCAAACGCTACGGTTCTCCCTTCGGACTAGTGCAAGACCGAGGGCGTCACGGTCCGAAACATCAAGGAGCAGAGCGCCAACGGAACCAACAGCACCAGCGGGAACAGCACCGGGAACTCTACCAGCGGCGGTAGCGGGTCCAGCGGCGCGGCGGGCAACGGCGCCCACGTGCTCGCCTTCTCCACCGTTGTCGGCCCCAGCATGACTTTTGTCTTTGGCATGAGCCTGTAAGACCGACCACCTCAGCGAGGACGAGAATCAAGAAGGGGCTGGGAGGGGGTCTTAAAGCAGGCGATTGCCGCTGAATGACATCACGGCGATGGGCACAGCGTGGGAATTGCGTTTGTGCGTGGTATGCTGGGTCTAATGTACATGTGATGCTTTGATACCAGTTCACCCTCTGGATGCCGAAATCTTCTCTTTCTCGTTCACGTATATTAGATAGAACACTGCATATGTGGTACACGGTTGCTACCACTGTTACGAGTAACAACAGCAGCACTGCTTACAAAAGACTTCATTCAATGTAGCCAAGCCTCCTAGCCAGCCTGTGATCCCAATGAACGTATATCAAGCTATATAAAGTCTCGGGCAAGCTGATAACTGTCCGAGAATGAGTGACAAACCGTGTCCTGGTAGCTTTTTGTCCTTGGCTCATGCCTTTCACTGAAACACTTCATATCACGCACGTATATTTGGACTCGTCACAACCAAATCGATTCTGACTACTACGAACCGCGTATCAGTAAGTGGTTTCGGAGACAGAACCGAAGCTTAAGCTACCAGACCACAAGTACCACGGTAATCCTAGATCTGCATTTGAATTACACATATTCTCCAGCTGTTTCTGCATCGAAAGATACAATACTTCAATCATTTTGGCGGCAATGCAGTCATTCCTTAACCATTGACTGTTTAAACAAATACTAGTCTACATAACGTTGGTAAACACTTTCTCGATGTTTGTGAAACGTCACGAGCACAGTTGTAGAAGTGTAGTCGAGCGATGAACAAAATTATGGATGCAGCGTTTACAGAACCAGGATCACTCAAGTGCTGTAAATCTACTTGCTCATCGAGGATAGAATGAGTTTCTATGTTTTTTTTTTTTCATAATCACTTCCAAGCCGGGTCTTGGGAACATGGAGTGTGCTCAGATGGTGGTGTCCAGTAGCTGCAATGAGCTTCAGGCAGAGATCAGAGATGCTTGTCAAGTGGGAAATGGCCGTATTTCGAACTGGAGCTATCACTCAGAGAATCTACAACAGTGCCCGGGGCGCAAGATCATGCTTAACCTGTTGCCGAGTATCTACTAAACGTGCTTGTGAACCTCGGCCAACGCCTTCGAGTCGGAAACCGAGTGATGCCACCTGGGTATTAAGGAAGTTGTGGCCATCAAACAGAAGCTTAGGGTCGTTCATCGACCGGGCGATCTCATCCCAATGTACCCTCTCAGAGGTTTGGTTTTCTGTCAAAAGGTTAGCAAAGTTCGGCCGGACTGCGGTATTGACCCTGTATCACTGACCTGGGATTTTCTGCTTTCCCTGGTATTGTAAGGCCGCCCAGGGGTTCAGTATCGCCACTGCATTGGCGCCATCACATGCTGAATATACGTCCTTGCTCGCGATCAGGTGAGAATCAGTAATGAAGGCCAGGCCCTGCAAACACGTCCGTATAGCCCCAATGATGCTAAGCTCGTCGACTAAAGGATCGAATACTCTGACGGAAACGCCGTTCAAAAGTAGAAATCGAATGAAAGAGATAGCGGGAGACTCGCGAGTGTCGCCCGTGTTAGGCTTGAAAGCGAAACCAAGTACCGCCACGGTCTTGGGCGCGTTGCCGTTGGAACAGTGCTCAAACGCGCGTTTAGCGAACCGTTCCGTCTGATAGCTGTTCAAGGAAACAATGCTGCTAAAGTACGACGCCACCTCGTCGAGAGCGAGGTCCTCGGCGATACGCGCGAGATGGAGGACGTCTTTCTTGAAGCAGCTCCCGCCGAAGCCTACCGACGCGCGAATCATATTGGGGCCGATCCGCGGGTCCAGGCCGCAAGCGCGCGCGACCTCGGTGACGTCGGCTCCCGTCTTGTCGCATATGACGCTCAGAGCGTTGATGCTGCTGATGCGCTGGGACAGGAACATGTTGGCGGCCAGCTTGGACAGTTCGCTGGAGCGGGTGCTCATAGTGACGATGCGCTCTCGCGGCACCCACCGAGCGTATATGTCACCCAGCGCGATAGCGGCAGCTAGTCCGTCATTCGAAGACGAGGAGCCTATCAAGACACGGTCCGGGCGAAGCAGATTTTCCACTGCAGTGCCCTCTGCCAGAAATTCTGGGTTGGAGAGAACCTGGCATCTGACTCCAGGGCGTACTCGTGACTGAAGCATTCGAGCCGTCTCTTCGGCCGCTCCACAAGGAAGAGTGCTTTTGTTGACGATGATGGCGTCTTTTCGGATCAAAGATCCTATCTGTTGGATTGCAGCTCTGAAATTTCTGAGGTCAGGGGCTACTCCGGCACCCCCGTCGCTTCCCGACTGAGAGGGCGTTTCAACGGCGATGAAGATGATGTCGGCTTTAGGTATCAAAGCGTCAATGTTGGTGGAGAAGAAGAGGTTAGGGTTGGGTCGTCTCCGGATTGTTCGAACTACATCGAGTAGTCCAGGCTCACTTATGGGTAAAAGATCAGACTTCCATGCTTCAACCCGTTCAGCGCTCTTGTCTAGGACATGAACCTCGATGTCCGGGACTTGTAGTGCTAAAACAGCACTAGTTGGGCCTCCCTATGTGATAGACGTATTCAGCAGACCATCACCAGACTTGTGTGTATTCGGATGTGCAGACTTACCACGTAACCGGCCCCAACACAAGCAATGACTTTCTTGTTTCTCAAAGAGCTCATCTTGTGATGAAGAAGTTAAACAGTGAAGAATAGGTGTATGTTGCGCTTGAAAGTCTTCTACAGCTTGAGAACAGGCTATGACATCCTATTAGTGATCCGGGTCCAGATTTAAGACTTCAAGTCGCTTTGAGAGGCCTGTTGGTATTTTTGAGCAACTACTGACTCGTTTGCAGGTATCGAAGGCGGTGAATCCGCAGATGATGTCCTCAAGAATTGGGTCTGAGCCTGCATTGCAGCCGTGGGGTGAAAGGTTGCGCATCAACGCTACTACTCTAGGATTTGTAACCTTGTAAACTCTCTTTAGATAGAGGCGGTTGGATAGCGAGACTTTAATCGTACATTGGAATGGTGCGGGTCAGCCGGTGACATACGATTCTGCAGCGGGAACATGAAGGCCGAGGCAACACAATACACGATCATTCAGATTAAGACGAGATAGGTTCACCATCTTAAAAGCGGACAAGTCTCCTAATGTTTCCGTGCGGAAATCGCGAGCAAGGCTTTTGGCAAGATTGTACTTACAAGTTATCAAAACAACCGTCAACATGCATACCGCTGTCGTCACTGGTGTACGTAGATGGTACCCGAAAGCCTCTAGCTACATGACTGTACTGACCTCTTTCTCAGGGTGCTGGATTTCTGGGATCTCATCTCGTAGCCTTGTTGTTGGAAGAGGGTCACAAAGTTATTGCCATCGACTCGCTCTGGACTGGATCGAACGGAAACGTGACCAGGTTCCAAGATCATCCCAACTACGCCTTCCTTCGGTACGTACGATGTCATTCTCATTCGGATTCCAAGGGACAGGCCCTGACTATACAATGTCACAGCCACGATGTCACCAAGCCCTTCCCCAAGAGCCTGGAGAAGGCAGATCGTATCTACAATCTTGCGTGTCCTGCTAGTCCGAAGAGGTTCCCGCAGGCGCCTCTGGGAATTATAGAGACATGCTACAAGGGAACGAAGAACGTTCTCGACTTGGCTTCTAAAAGTGGCGCTCGTGTCCTGCTAGCCAGTACTTCAGGTATTTCCGCATCAGATTCATAACCCAGCCCCAAAGCAAAGTCGTCAACCTACGTAGAACTGACTGACGCGCACTTCAGAGGTCTATGGTGACCCGCTCGTCTGCCCCCAGCCCGAGAGCTATTGGGGTAACGTCAACTCCTTTGGTGGACGATCTTGCTATGACGAGGGTAAGCGTGTGGCAGAAGCGCTTGCCTATGCCTACCGCTTAGAGAGCAAGGTCGACATCAGGATTGGACGTATTTTCAACGCATTTGGCCCGGGAATCAGACCCGACGACGGCCGCGTGGTCTCGAACTTCATAGCTGCTGCCCTCAAGCAGGAAGACATCATAATCACCGGTGACGGGACCGCCAGTCGGTGCTTCCAATACGCAGGAGATTGCGTGATGGGCCTCTACAAGCTTATGGAGAGTGGAGTTCTGGACCCTGTCAACATCGGGCGCGAAGAGGAGACCACCATCGGAAAGATGGCTGTCATGATCAACGAAATCGTTGCCGAGAAGACGCGGCGCCCGCAGGTTCGAGTCATTTTCGGACCTAAGCCGGACGACGACCCCTACCGGAGAGTTCCAGACGCAAGCAAGGCCAGACGTGAGCTCGGACACGAGGCCAAAGTGGGACTGAGAGAAGGGCTTGAGAAGACTGTTGACTGGTTCATGACGCTGCAAGAGTTCGATACGCCTAAGGCAAAGATCTGAAAAGGCATCTCCAGCTTGTGACTCGCACTACTGTACATTCTTGTTCTTTTTGTGGGGTATGAGAAGCCAGACAATCAATGATAGACACAGGCATGCGAGAACGAATGGCTGCAAAGCTACCACACCGAAGCGCTGTGCTAGTATGCCCACCGCAAATGGTAATAGTGACGCCCCGCAACCACCCAAGGCCGCAATGAATCCAATGACCACGACATGTAGAGAAGCGGGCAGTAGACTGGTGACGACTGAGATCGCATGTGGGAACATGGGCCCGATGAACATGCCCTGGAAAGCGACTGCGATGGCGGAAGCGTAGAATTTGGGTACGAGCCAAAAGATCAGCTCCGCAGCTATGGCGAGAGCGAGATAAACCTTGAGAAAGAGCACATGGGTAAGTCGGACGCGTGGACGACAGAAGGTCGGGGAATCGACTTACCGATACGCCGATCTTGGGACCGATGAGGTTCGTCACGAAGGGCAACACGATCCGACCAACGGTCATGCCGAGCCAGTAGCCGGTGGCACACATGCCGCTAGCAAAAGCGGAGCCTTTCCGGACGTGCAGCATGAACTCCACGATCCAACCACCCACGGAGACCTCGACGCCGATGTAGATGAGCACGAATAACGCCGATAGCCAAGCAATACGAGCTTCGGGAAGGGTGGTGAGGGTCTTGCGCATGCTCACAATGTTGCCGTCCGATCCTTGCAAGGAAGCCATTTCGTCTCGGTAGCGGCGCCCAGTATGGTTCCAGAACGCCGAAGTTAAAGCAATAAGTTCGATGAGCGATATTCCCAACTTGTGTATCGAGTCAGTCGATTGAACCAATGAGGCTTAGCAGAGATAATGAGCGAGCCACTTACTACAGCGTAATAGAAAGTGTACCACGGCATGGATGCTCGAGCGATCATGGCCGTGGCAATCAGGGGGCTGAAGATACCTCCGACGCCGTAAGCAGCATGCAAGAAACCGAGCAGCTCATTCGAACGGTCCAGATTCCCAATCCAGGCATTCCACGCAGCATCGGCGAGCCCGTTGCCTAGGCCGCCAAGCATGAATGAGGCCACAAGCACAGGAAACGGCGGGTGCAGTATATTGATCACGGCAGATAGGACGTGGGCCACGCCGCAGAGGACGGCCAAGCCACGCTGGCCGATAGCGTTGTGGAGTCTAGTGTTGAGAACTCCCGAGGCGACGTATCCTACCAAAGGGGAGAGGAACATCAGGGACACGGTGATGTAGTTGACGTTGTAAGCTTTCTGGAGCTAGATCACGGCCGGGTAGTTTAGCCGAGGGTCGTCCCGCACTACACGCAGACAATAAGTCACAGATACTTGATGCTGACTCACGTGGGGAAGGATTGCCTATTTTGGGAAGAGCGAATTAGTTGAGGGAAACGCAACCACTATAGTAAACTTCACCACCGGGGGTTTAGAGGATTAGGTGGACGTACTCCGTAGGCAGAATCAAAGGCGCCTAGATTCAAGAGGCTCCAGAAACAGCTGGCCACTCTGAAGGCATTGGGTCCGGGGCGATTCCATGCTTCACGGATGGGCGGGAGCGCATTGTCCAAAGCCGGGACCGGGGTTACCTCCTGCGTTGGAGTCGGGGAATTCGTCGCTTTTTCTGCGGCCCCAGCAGCTGGGGCATGAAAGGAGGGGTTTTGTTGGCTTGCCATTGTACAGATAGTTTGAATCAGTTTGACCCATTGCACACTTGCTTGAACATGAGGCTTTTATAGCCGTTCAAGGTTACATTCCGCCGGTCGATGCCCTGGGACGGTAGAAGTCGTGGGGTCGGCGGGCGGGCCGACCCATATACGAAGCTCGAGAGCCGAAAGCTTAACAAAGCACGGCCGGGATCGCCCCACACGGCATCGTAATGTCCATGTCCGCCGTGCCGAGGCCGTTGCGAACGCTGGCATTACCTTGGAATACTCCGGCGGTATCTCTTGAACGTTTTGGCTAGTCATGACCCCGTTCCCGTGGCCACCGTTAACCCCATATCGTCAGGTCGATAGCTTTAACTTCCTGTCAACTGAAAAATGATGATGATGGCCTTTGGATAAAGTTTCTTTGACTAGGTTTGACGAATATGGTTTCTAGATTAATTTACCCAATGCCGATTTCGAGACTAATCACTGTAAATCCGTGCATTGACTACGGGGAGTTTGAGTAACATCGCTCCTAATGACCCTTACATACAATCTAAGACCCCTGAGCGAGAAATAGAGTTCCTTTTTGCGTGGCACTGCTTCTTTACTATGTAGTACTTAATTACATAGTTTTCTTTCGACCTTATGCATTTTCTTCCCCCCACTTCCCCCAATCTTTTTTTTTTTTTTAACGCCTTCAGCTTTGGGTGGGGAAACGCAAGATACCCCTCTTTGACAACAGGATGACCCGCGGTAGGTGGCCCATCACGCCTCAACAGGCACACTGCAAACCTCAACATCGACCATAGACATGCCTTGTGGAGAGACCTCATCCTGCGGAGTAGCCGAGATTTGACCGCTATCCATCCTAGACAGATCTTTCTCCGAGGCAACATGAGTTGGTTTCTTTCGGTCAGACTTCTGATAAGCCCCTCTTCGTGAAGTCCAGATACCTATGGGCTAATTTGTCTTCTCTCTGAGGCACTCATCAGAAACTCTTCCTTTCACAAGTCCTATGCTATCCAAAGAAAAAAACCTGACCGTACGCCATGGCAGGACACGAGCCCGACCTCGAGCAGAACAAGGCCCGCATGGCCGCTGGGGAGCTGTACTATGCTTTCACCCCGGACCTCATTGCCGACCGCCAACGTTGCTCCGCCGCTTGCGAAAAGTTCAACCGCGCCAGTCATGTCTCTCGTAGAGAGCTGGTACTAATGGTGAAGGAGTAATTTGGCGCGCCCTCCCCCCCCCCCTTCTCCAGCACCAGACCTTGGTAGTACATGTACCCAGGATCATCGCTGACTCTGCTTGACCCTAGCATAGTCCGAGACGTTCGCCCTCTCCCGGCCCCAGCCACGAGCGCGGAGGAAGAGGAGAAGAATCTGGCGGATGAGCCCTGGGTCGATGGGCCTGTGAGGATGGATTATGGTTACAACGTCAAGTGAGTCCAGTAGCTAACCCGCCCCAACCCTGACGACTTGTAGACAGAAACTGATCTTCAAACTTGCCTCCTTACCTAGGTTGGGCAAGAACGTCTACATCAACTTCAACAGTGTGTGGATTGACACGTGCACAATCGAGGTCGGTGACCGTACGCTCATCGGCCCCAACTGTTCCTTCTACAGCGCTGCACACCCCCTGGATCCCGTCCTGCGGAACGGCACCAGGGGCCCCGAGTATGGGAAGTCTATCAAGATTGGCTACGACTGTTGGTTTGGTGGCAACTGTATCGTCCTCCCCGGCGTGACCATCGGTAGAGGCGTCACTGTCGGGGCGGGCAGCGTCGTCACAAAAGACGTTCCGGACTTCGTCGCCGTTGCCGGTAACCCCGCCCGTGTCATCAGGGAAGTCCCACACACTGGCGAGGAAAGAATCTCTTGACTGTATTTACGTGCGCATGTACGGTCCCAGATCAGTTATGTCTGCGCTCATCCTAAGGTGTCTTGCAATGATTGGAAATGATGGGAGGGGGCTTGGAATGTGTGTGACGCGTTTCTCTGCGAGTCTTTAGCTACGTTCATGTAACTATCTAATCATACGTGAAATCGAGGGGACATCGGAAATCATCTTTGGTGTCCTGTATAATACTAGATCCGCGAATGTTTCCTAGAAGCCTCCGTGTTACTGACAGACGAAGAGCCACTTGGTGCAAAATTTTCGATCACATCTTTGAAAGCCGCCTTTGTAATGGAAACAAGTTAGCAATTATCGACTACGGACGTTGGCTGATATTAGTTCCGAGTGCCTGAAATCTTACCAGACATCAAGCTATTCAGTTTTTGGTGGTGGTTACACTTACAAGCGTGCATATATCTTTGTATTCGGGGAAATCGTTACCCTCTCCGGAGCCACATGGCAAGGTGACGGCCTTATTTTGGTACTTCAGGCGGACATACCAGGTGCAGCCGTCCACAATGCTCGCTTCGCATTGTGCAGCATCTTCTCCAACACGACGAAAAAGCTCCATCGTGATATGAGCGGCGTACGGCGGCCAAAACCAGTTCGGGTCCTTCATCGCGCCCAACGAACCCAAGATACCGGCAATCGTGGAATCGTGGCACGCAAAAAGCAATATGCGTGGGCCTCTGACTCTGTCAGATGCCTGCTCCACCTGGTCCGCCACGGATGACATGCGTTGGATGGTCTCCCCCAGTATCCTGCCGACACCGAGACTGCGGAACTCTTCGCTGTAGACATATCCAGCGAATTCTTCTTCTGCGCAGATCTTCTCCATGATGACTCGCATTTTGGGGTCGAGGAACTCCGCAGGGAGGTAATCACTGGGTCTGGGTGTCGCCGAGACAGCCGTTATCGTGTCCAGAACCCCATGTAGCTTCAGAGGCTTGGAATCTACGGCGACGGGAATGCCATTTGGCATCCAGTGTCCTATCTGCCTGTTTATAAATTGCATCTCTGGAGAAGAGTTCCCTTCTCCGTCAAAGTCATGAGAGCGTCAGCATCACGTTGCCAACATTGGAGCTCACAGTGTAGATAGAAATGGTGCGAACGACTCACACTTTAGGGCAGCTCGCCTGGTGAATTCTTGAAGTAATTCGGCAAAGCGTTCGTCGAAATCCTCCGGGGGAAGGAGTGTTTCATCTCGAGGATCTGCCACGAAGACCTTGACATCTTCCTGATGTCCGTTGATGAACTCTGACGGATAAAGCCCGCGAAAAACATGCTGCAGAGTGGAGAAGGTTCGCTGATACTGCGTGCTTCGCAAGCAGATCATGGCGGGGTCGTCAAGCGTCGCAGGCATGAAGTTCAATTGCTCGACGTATAGCTTGCGGAGTTGACGTCCAAGCTTCATCGCAGTGATTCGTCCTGAGTCTGTCAACTCGCCATGTGCACTGTTTAACTTATGAGTCTGGGTGGCCTGAAGACATTAACCAATGACTAGACAAACCAGTAAATAGAACGTCCGCCGTCTGGGAGTGATAGTTTCCCAACCTCATCATTGATTGGGATCAGCTTTGGTCCAGTGCCGTGGAAAAGCGCGTTCGGGGTCGTCGCGTTTTGGTTGAAAGGCCAGTCTGAGCAAATTATGGACTTAGGATATACTCGCTCTCTGACAAAGGTCCAGCAGAAGTCGAGACGTCTTACCTGTTTGACCACCCGCCTAGTTATTTCATTAGATATATATTAAATGACGGTAGATGTACAAAAGCACTCACGTTTTGGAAACGGGTTGCATTTGGCGTCCGCTCTCCTGTTGCAAGAAGATCATCATTCAGTATAGGCGCAGGCCGGAGAGGCTTAGGGGGCAGCCGAAGCGTTATGCATACCGTGGCGAAAGAACTGCGAGGGTTCGACATCATTAGCGCTCATAATGACAGGTCATACGAAATTCAACGTTTAACCATACGTACTACGTGAACAAGTTCTAGCTGCATTTGTGGCGGATACTGCTGTTCAAGCCCTTCTACGCACGAAAGGGTCGCCATAGTTGGAGATGCAGTCAGTGTGTTTACACAAGGACTGGAAAGGGAACAAAGATGTGACTACGGATTATGTTTTCCGTCCTATTTGTGTTCAAGGTGACTGGATGCGGGGGAAAATTTACTCCAACACGCACATGTGTGTTGGCTTAACGACGTGGGCTACGGGCACTTTGCACTTGGGGATGCAGAATTTCGCGCAAGTTGGAAGGCTTAACTGCCCAAAGACAAGACAATCTTATTGAATGACAGCTAAGATCCGTTGTGGAAGAAGGCCGTGTAGGTGAGCCGGGGACATGCACTCTTATACTACGATCGGCTAGCGAAACCTCCGATCTTAGACACATTTTCAATCAGCTCGTCTTTGGCCAGCAGACCCTCGTCGAACCCTTGTCTGATAGCCACTAGCCAGTCTCTCTGGGTGTGCCTATCCAAATCTGCTTGGCTTGGCCATCTATAAGTGGCGGCGAACACACAACATAGTCAGTCATAGAAGAAGACAGAAGGAAATCCTTGGGACATTGTTCGGCTTACTGCTCAAGGAGGTGAAACACGACCTTGTTGGGCTCCGACGCGTTCTCAACCTTTTCAAACGCCTCATATCGCAGGCAGCTACTCTCAACCTCGTGGACCTTGGCAGCGAGATCAAGAAGAACTTGGCGACACTGTCAACCATGTCAGGCTCACCGCAACGAGCTGACGCTTCGGCAATTGGAGGGTTGCGTACCTGGCCTTCTTTTCCTGCAGCAGGGTGCAGGGTGCACCACAAGGACACTGGTTGTGCGGACATGGCGTTATGGGAGCAAGTGATGAGATGTGTTGTTGGATCGAGATGAAGCGGAAAACTTTGGATAACACGATATCTACTTAAGTACGAATACTGTCCGGCGTTGCTTTGTACGTGCAGTCTGCTATCCACAATGCCGCTGGACCTGAGTCAATCGCGCCGTCGACGAGAAAGCTTGCATTGCCTAAACTTTAGGTGGAACGGACGAACCCCTGTCAATGGGGAGTTGTGGGATCCGAACCCGATTATAAGCTGACTTAATTAGTGACACATCTTAGTCTCCAATCCTGGACAACGACTTACACTCCATACCAGCACCCCTACCTCACATCAATCCTAACGCCCGCAATGGATATCGAGACGCTCATCAAAGACCCCCCTTTCAAGCTTACCGAAGCAGATATCCGGGCCCTGCGAGGTCAGTCCGAGGCGTTTCGACCTCATACATGGGACGAAGTCCAGAACGTGATCGGTAGGTTTCCCCCTTGACCGGCTTTGGCCGAGATGTCTCTGTCCAAGGCTCCGCTGAGAAGTTTCCAATCAAGCCGCCGGCAAGATGGGACAGCTCAACAGAGCACCCCAGGACCTGCGGAATTACATTCTGTGGCTCGCCGAAGTCGGAAAATCCCACGGATCCGTCTTGGAGTTTGTGCGCCGTGAGAAGTTGCGCTGGCAGAACCCCATTGTCGCCCGAGACGATGTGCCCTTCGCGGACCCACACGACTGGAAGATTCTCTGGAACGACTGGCCGTACGCTTTTGATGATGGCATCATGCATCTGGTCATGTGGTCGAAGAGCAAGATAGCGGTGGACCCGGACACGGGGCTGCCGACAGAGGAGTCGGCCAGATTGATTGAGGCCTTTCTGGACCGCACGTTTGGAGGGGGTCTGGGCTGCACCAGGGGCGAGAATCTACTATGGTTCAAGCAGAAGGCAGCGTGGCAAAGTGTCAAGGCTTTAGATCATATCCACGTCTTGTTACGGGGTGTACAAGAAGATCAGGTCGAGAGACTGATTGGCCAGCACCGATCCCAGACGCTTCAAGTTCTGGCGAGAAAAGGCATGTTGAAGACTGAGATTGGGTTGCGGATTTCGTCAAAGATGAGCTGATTGGATGGATCTTGCTTCCGAAGAAACTATCGACATCTTTCCTTCAATGATCTGTACCTTTACTGCGTCGTGTCGATCTAAAGCCTCGGTTCCTTGCGCCCAAAGTAACTCTGTACCAGTGAAATAACCTTGTTCTGTTCTTCGTCGCTCATCTCAAAAAAGATGGGCAGACGCACAAGCTGAAGGCTTGCCACAGAAGTGTTCTCGTCTTTTCCAACAAATTTCCCAATCTTCTTCCCGATCGCTGACATATGGAGGGGAGAGTAGTGGGAAGATACAGATACCCCGTTCTCTTTCATGTACCGAACGAAGCCCGGACGACGAGATGCGTCTCGCAGCTTGAGGTAGAATATGTGACCATTGTGCTCGCAGCTTTCTGGCATTTTTGGCAGGAAGAACTCTCCCGAAGACTCTGACAGCGGCTTGAGCGATGCTTGGTATGTATTCCAGATCCTTAGCCTGGCCTGCTGGATGAATTGCGCCATCTCGAGATGGGACCACAGGAGGGCGGCAAGCACCTCGGACATGACATAGTTGGATCCGATGTCCTGCCACTCATACATGGGCAACTTTTCGCGGAAAAATTTGACTCTGTTGGTGCCGTTGTCGTAGACGACCTCGGCCCTCTCGACCAAGTCGTCCCGGTTGATCAAAACGACACCGCCCTGGCCTCCGGACGTGACGTTCTTCGTCTCGTGGAAGCTGATGCAGCCGATGTGCCCAATGGTGCCAGAATACACACCGCGATATTTGGAAGTGAGGCTCTGTGCTGCGTCTTCCACAACGAGAAGATTGTGACGGGACGCAATGTCCATCAGTGCGTCCATGTCGCACGAGATACCGGCGTAGTGGACCGGGACAATGGCCCGCGTTCTTTCGGAGATTGCAGCCTCGACCAAATTTGCGTCCATGTTCATCGTATCCCTCTCGATATCGACAAACACAGGCGTGGCCCCTCGGCTGACGAAGGCGTTGACCGTGGACACGAACGTATAGCTGGGAAAGATGACTTCGTCACCTGCTTGAATATCGATAACCATGGCGGCCATCTCGAGGGCTGTCGTCCCGGAGGTCACCAGAAAAGCCTTTCCGGCGTGCATCATATCTTCTAGCCATTCCTCGCACCTTTGTGTATACGGCCCTTGAGCCAACTTTCCTGTCTTCAAGACATTGTCGACGTATTGCAGCGAGTTGGGCGACTGGAAAGGCTTTGAGTACGGGATCATGGCTGTTTAAGGAGAAAAATAACGTTTTTACTTGAGTTTTTCCTCCATCCATAGAGAAGAAAGGGAAGATCAAACCCTTTACATATGTCGTCCACACGCTCGTCTTCGGGAAAAGTAGTTGAGAAGAACCGTTTCGGGTTGAGGAGATGGACGGCTGGCCTTCCGGCCACTCGTCTCAAAGTCTCATCGCCGGCTAGCGAATCAGAAAATCTAGCTTCCAGACCGGCAGTGCCATGCAAGGCCACGGCTTATCAAATTGCAACGAGTTGTCAGACCGTTGTCTGCCCTGGTCAGTCAGCAGCAATACGGAGAATGTAACCGCACTGAGGCACACCGCTCATTCGGCTGAAAACTCCTTCGGTACTTCCGAAGGCATGGAAGGCTATTCCGGAAACAGGTCAGTCAACTTATGCAAACTTTATCAGAAGTTATCATCGGGCTTGTCTTGACGACACGATCAAATCGATGGGAGCCACTCTTACTCCACCTTCAAAGGTTGTAGAGAGGGCCCATGCTTCAACACTTGGTCTGTCATATTGTTGAAGCAGCCACGCGATAAGATATCTTGCCTACCTTACCCAGCATGAGTTCACTACAATACTTAGGTATTTGATATCGTTTTGTCCAGTCAGGCCAAGATGGCGATTTTGTGGCACTTGCTGCTCGTTTTGGCGTCAGTTGCCGTGGCACATGATGTCCCTCACTACGCAAATAAGATTGCTAAGCGGGGTCTTTACATCCGAGAGCAAACAGCCTCAAGCAATTTCGCCACGAAAGCACCAGTTGTTGACCTAGGATATGCTCGTTATGAGGGTTATTATGACTCCTTATTCGACATCTTCAGCTACAGAGGGTAAGGACGTGGAAACCGCACCGAGTGCTTGGACAGCTGCTAAGCCCAAGTTTCCCTTGCAGAATACGCTATGCAGTAAAGCCTGGAAGATGGCAGCTTCCCAAAAGACCAGTTCGTGGACAAGCTGGAGACAGAGTCTTGCCCGCTACTCAAAATCCGCCTAGATGCCCTCAGTCGCCGTCGGGGCCAAGGTCAGTGGGGATGCCTTGACTGGCAATTCAAGAAGCTGACTCTCAATAGCGTACCCAACTATACGTTCGAGAAAGACGCCATGGGTGATGAGGATTGTCTATTTCTGAATGTGTTTGCTCCTGCCAACAGGACTCGGCTACCGGTGCTGTTCTGGATTCGTAAGCCTGCCACTTTCACCTTGATCACTTCTCGGATCAGCAAACCGTCCGCAGAAAAGCTAATTAGCGAGAAGATGGTGGCGGATATGGCCAGGACTGGGCCGCCAACTATGATTTCTCGCACATGGCCAAGACGGTAGGCAACGGCTTTGTGACAGTCATCATCCAGTACCGGCTCGGCGCTTTTGGCTTTGCCTCGTCAGCTGAGATTGGTCATTTCGGGGTACCTAACGCCGGCATTCACGATATGCGATTCGCTTTGGAATGGGTGCAGGACTACATCCGTCTCTTCGGAGGCGACCCTGCTCGCGTCACCATTGCGGGAGAGTCTGCCGGTGGAGGTGGTGTGATGCTCATGACGATGGCCCACAGCGGCTCTGATGAAACCTCTTTGTTTCAACGCGCCATTGTATCGAGCCCATATCTGCCCACTCAGTGGTAAGATTCACGCTCTTGCGCTCAACCTGACCGAAGTCAACGTACTGACACTATGTTGTAGGGGTCATGATGATATGCAACCTTCTCAGGCATACTATGATTTGGCTGTCCAAGCCGGGTGCCTGGATGCCAAGACCACACAGAACGGGAGTGTATTTGGTTGCTTACAAAACGTCGACAGCAATACTCTTCAGAACGCTAGCGCGCTTGTGAGTATGGGAGCCAGATGGGGCCAGTGGGCTTTCCTGCCTGTGACTGACGGCAAATTCATCACGCGAAGGCCGACGGAGCAGCTTTTGGAGGGCCAAGCGAACGGTAAAGCTGTCCTCTCTGGGGTGAGTTATTCCATCAACTCGGAACACCCGAGTTTGAGTTGCTAAAAAACTTCTGCGATAGAACAACGCCAATGAGGGTACATTGTTCGTCCCAACAGACATTGATTCTCGGGACAAGTTTATATCTCTCACGCGACGGAGCTATCCACTGTTGACAGACGCAAACATGAGTGCCATTATGGAGATGTACGACATTGGAGACAAACCGACGTCGAGCTCCTTGTATCCAACCAACGGGTTGACAGCTCCATTCGCTACGAGCCATTCAGAAATCGCCTCAGGATGGCTACAGGCGGCGTACAACCTCTACGCGGAGGTCACATTCGTCTGCCCCGCCATGTGGCTTGCGGACGCTTTTTCTCTCAACAGTGACACTGCGGGTGGAGGGAAACAGGCATGGCGTTACCAGTATTCGCCACCGCCGTCTTTCCACGACGACGACCTAGACGTTCTCATGAAAGACGTGCAAGGGACCAATGACACGGACGGCGCTGACGAGAGCGTCGGGTTCAGAATCGCGTTCCAGAGCATGTGGGGTCGGTTCGTGATCGACGGAGACCCCACTCTAGCCGACGATGTTGCGCGGGCAGTCAGCCAAGTCGGGGAAGATGTCTCCGCGGCGCAAATGTCCCAGTGGCTGCCGTGGGGGTCGATAAACACGCGACTGAACGGCTCAACGCACACCATGCTAAACCTGAACCTGACAAATCCTGAGAGTGGGAAAGCTGACTTCCGAGTCGTGAATGGCTTGTCTTGGGAAGGGGGAAGAGGAGATAGGTGTAAGCTGTGGGCGGATCTGGGTTACTGGATTCAGTCATAACGGGAAATCTGTCTACTGGTTCGACGTGTCATCTAGTAAGATGCGGCTGACTGTCTAAACAAAACAAGAATTGGGGGGAAGACATCTCAAAATAGAAGTTGGAATTGATTGAGTTACGTACTAATCGAGATTGATCGTCAAAATGACGCCGTCAACAGTCAAGTACCCATGGCTATTATCGAGCAGCAGTTAGACAGGCAGGGGTCATTTTGTGTGTATTGATGAGTATGTCGAATGAATGGCTACGGAAAGAAATCCCATATTTATATAATGAGTGTACGATCCCCTTGTATAAGGATACCCTTGCTAGCCTTACTCATACCTCTGGTTAAGCATAAGTCAGGTCGCTCGAGGTGAAACAATTACCGTAGCGAATGTGCTGGAGCAGTCTGACACCTACTATTCTACTAGCCTACTACTGCTGCCTGCGATGCGTTTGAAACGAGAAGTCACACTTCTTGGCACACTGATAGATGCGGTTTAGGCTTTAGGCCCTCCTGACTTGAATTTTCATATGCCCGCCAAATATCCATGTATTGCATGGTTCTGTGGCTGCTCGTGTGATTGTCATCGATGGACTCGAGCTCCGTCGGTAGAGAATTACCGCTGCTGTTATTTGTATTCCGTGAATTTATAGCTCGTCGCGCCTTCCTGCGGAGTCGCCGGTAAAGATGCCGTGTGGTGAGCAGTATGTTAGCTATCATATAGATAGAGGGCTCGACGAGGGCGTAGATCATAGGGCCTCCTGAGGCGTACCACGTTGGGTCGGAGAAGAGAGGAACAGTGAAAAAAACGGAGAATCGAAGCGCGCATGTTATTACACCCCTGTGCCGTGCCATTAGTCTTGATCCTTCATCTAGTCGAGGTGAAGATGGACGCGGAAATCGTGCCAGTAACTTACAGCGAACCGATAAGAAAAGTAAGTATGAAACCAACCATTTCTGACGTAGGCATTTGCAGTTTGCTAAGGATCGGCCACGGGAGCACCAGCATCGCCACATCCGTGACTAGGCTCGGGATGCTGTAGCTTTTATAGAAAAGCATCACGTCTCCACAAGTCCCATCGCTGACATCGGCCGCCTGGGTCCAAAAGTACCTGAAAGGCCGGCAGATCAAAAATGCTAGAACAAGAAAAACCACGCCTTGGAGTACGACGATCCCGCCGATACCAACGATGATACGACGGTAAGCCGGAACTTCGAAAACTTGGTGGTAGAGGAGTAGAGCGGCAAGTTTGGCGAACATCACGGCGGGCGTGTAGGTGAACTCGAGGGCCTTTGATAGCTGCAGCCAGGTCTGGAATGTGGTCACTGGGACGGCGGCGACATGGTACCCTACGCCACCTATTCTGACCATTACTATTGAGCATCAGTGTCCGTGATCTAGTCAATGAAATCTCCACACGTCCGCCGCATACGCATTCTCAGATCGTACTTCTCAAGCTCACACACACCATGCGATAAGGTCAGAGTGGAAAGACTCACATATCCCCGCCGTCGCGCTCCCCATACAAAATACACAGCATAGCGTATTACACACCAACATGGGCACTCCCACGGCTTTAGGGTTGAAGTAGCGGCTCAGGTAGAACACCAGCAAGAAAAGCGTATCAATCACAATGAACGCGATACTAGCCCTTTCGTCCAAACCGGGATTGTTCATCTCGGCTAGGTACTCTGACGACGGCGGGCTTGAGCCTGCCATGTCGAATGGAACAAGTGTCTAGGAGCCAGGAAAACGAAAATTGAGTACAATAGGGATTGCGCTACTAGGCACCGTGAGCCATGGCGGATGCACTGGATTTATGTCTCGCGCGCCTCGGTGCCCAGTTTATCTCTGATGTACAACTCATGAGGTTGACCTATCGCGACCCTTTGAGAATACGAGTAAGCTTTCTAGCCTTTTGTTCTTCTGGCGTTATATACCCCCGTGCTGTGGCATTAAACAAAGCCATCGAGTCAGCAGAACTTATCCTTTCAAGTTTCGCCATCATCAAGCTAGCCTCTTCAGCCATTAGCGTGAGTCTTCTCCAGCTGCCTAAATCTTGATGGTCGTGCGCTAACCTCTTCTGGCTCCCGTAGGATCATGGCACCAACCTAGCTGGGAGAGCCCTGGGAGAGCTCGATATACGGGTCTGTGGCGCGGGTCACCGGAATAGCTCGGCATGCCACCCGTGCGTGCCCTCATAAATTCAAGTGCTTTATTATTACTGTACATGCCAGCTGACTGCGTCCTGTCTAAGGTCGACCGATCAGTATATTGCATTGGAGGGCGCCATCTATCTGTATTGGAATCATTCGACGTTGTTGGGTTGAGCGTTGTTGAGAAGCTCCGAAACGCGCTACGTGGCACTAGCACGATCTACCGCGTGGCGACTCTGCGCACGTCCCGACGCGATGGATCTCGAGCTAGATTCGACGTCCATCACCGTTGCGAGGGAGGTGGTGGCAGCGAGCGACGAGGACCTGCCATCACGAAGGGTGCGAAAACCATCGGCGAAAGCTCGACTTAACCAGACTCACCAAGAGAAATTGACAATGCGATCGAGGGAGCGACCGAGATTGCTGGTGGTGGCCGGCGGACGACCACCTCCGAGCTGCAACCCTGGCCAAGGAACGCGCGAAACCCATGAGGAGGACGACAAAACGCTGCTCCTGACGATGGGCAAGCAGATCAAAGAGCTGCACGCAGCGATCAAGATCATGTTCGATGCGTGGAAGAAGTCGGAAACCTGGAACCAAAACGTCGAGGCAGAGCTCCGCGTGGTCACGTCGGAGCTGCAAACGGTCAAGAACGAACTACAGGCCGTCAAAGGAGAGCTGCAAGCGATGAAAGAACGCGTGGAGGACGAAAGCGCCAAGACGAACGAAAACCTCGAAGCAATCGCGGCAGTGGCTGCGACCCGGAACAGCCCAAGTGTGTCATATGCAGACGTCGCGCGAAGCGGCTTAGGTGGGCAAGGCCGCGACTCGCGGGTAGCCACGCCGGGCAACGCGACGCTGCCGAGCCGCAGCGACCCCTTGTTCTGTACGATCGATACATCAAGAGTTGAAGAAGGCAGCGACAAGCCCAACGCAGGTCGGATCCGGGCTGCGGTGGAAAAGGAGATGCGCGCGATGGACGGACAAGGTAACTGGCGCTGTCGGGCCATCACGGTAGACCCAAGGAACGCGGATAGGATCCGGATCGTTTGTCGCGATGATGCTGAGCACAAGCTTGTTAAACAGATTGTGGAAAGAGCCTCGGTTCTGGAACACGCGTGCTACGAGACGAGCTCTACCCCGTGAAGTAGATAATGTGAAGCGAACTGAGTTACTGGATGAGAAGGGCAATGTCAGGGCTGAAGCGGCGGAGGCACTTAGCCGAGAAAACGAGACCACGGTTGCCAAGATTTCTTGGCTTAGCAAGAAAGACACACCCAAGGCGTATGGGTCCATGGTCGTGTTCGTGACCAAGGCCATTGATGCGCGTAGACTGATCTCCGAGGGCTTCTTCCACGTTGGAGGAGAGTCCGGCACGACGATGGCGTTTGAGCGGCGGCCACGTCCTCAACAGTGCTACAACTGCCAGCAGATCACCAGGCACAAGGCGTATCAGTGCACAAACCCCCAGGTGTGTGGACGATGTGCCAAGGTAGGCCACCACCATTCTGAATGCCGTGAGACGATCGTGACATGCGTGCCTTGTGGCGGACCGCACGAGTCGTTCAGCAAGAACTGTCCGAAGCTGTATCCGCGCTCCCATGAGTAGGAAGGTCCAGATCCTTCAGCTTAACGTCAGGAAACAGGCTGAGGTCCACGAGAGCTTGATGAATGACGAGACGTTGCGTGACTTCACGGCCATAGCGGTGCAAGAACCGTGGGCGCGAAGGACAGAAGGTAAGGCCATTACTGTTCCGATGGGACATAGCAGGTGGACGAGGATGGTACCGACGGAGTGGAGGGACGAAGGAAGATGGGGAATCAGGAGTTTGCTGTGGGTGAACAGAGAAGTAGAGGCGGAACAGGTGCCGATAGCGTCCTCGGATATCACTGCGGCCGTTGTCCGTCTTCCGGATCGAAGACTGCTGGTGGCGTCGGTCTACGTGCCGGTGCAGAAGCCGGAGATGCTTCGGCAGGCGTGCGACCTGCTGAGACAAGCCATCATGAATGTCCGAGGAGGAACAGGTGAACGGGTGGACGTGGTCCTGGTAGGAGACTTTAATCGCCACGACTACCTTTGGGGAGGCGAGGATGTGTCGGAGGACCGGCAAGGCGAGGCGGACCCAATCATTGATCTGATGAGCGAGTTCTCACTTAGCAGCCTTCTCCCTAGGGGGACGAAGACGTGGGAGAAGAACGAGACGACCACGACGATCGACCTATCCATCGCGTCTGAAGAGCTAGCAAGAACGGTGGTACGATGCGCCCTGCACGAGACGGATCACGGATCGGACCACCGGGCGATCGAGACGACCTTCGACATCGCCGCGCCTGAGATGGAAAGCCGACCACGACTCCTCCTCAAGAACGCCCCATGGAAGCAGATTAATGAGAGGTAGAAGCAAACCTAGGACGAGTGCCAACAGGAGGTACGGTGCAGCAGCAGACGGATCGACTGACGTCTGTGGTGTGCGAGGCGGTAGAGGCACTGACACCTACGGCCAAGCCATCCAGTGTGCGCAAAGAGATGGTGGACGGCCGACCTCACCCAGCTCCGGCGGATCCATACTCATTGGAGAAACCGGGCGAGGCGGAGAGAAGGGCAGGTACTATCAACCCGAACTAGAACAACGCGCACGCTCGGCAGCCAAGCAATATCACGACGCCATCCGACAACAGAAGAAATGCCATTGGGAGGACTTCCTGTCCAACGACACTAACATCTGGAAAGCCGCGAAGTACCTCGACGGTAGCAAAGGGGCGTCCTTCGACAAGATCCCCCAACTGAATAGAGCCGATGGCTCCCAAACGGGAGACGCCGCAGGACAGGCCGAAGAGCTGCTCTCCACATTCTTCCCTCCTCTCCCCAGCGGATCGAGGATGAGGGGAGCGGCCACAACGATCGCCCGTACCCTTCCCTGACCTGACACTGGGAGAAGTGGAGAGCAGCTCTTCGCGGCAAAGTCGTGGAAAGCTCCCGGAGAGACGGTCTGCCGGTGGCCGTGTGGAAGCACACATGGCCGGTGGTGAAGGAGAGGGTGCTTACACTCTTCCAGACCTCACTGGATGAAGGGTGTTGCCGAGGCAATGGCGACACGCAAAGATCATCCCGCTGAAGAAGCCAAACAAAAGCGACTACGGTATAGCAAGGCCTGGCGACCGATCTCGCTTCTTTCTACGCTCGGAAAGTGCTGGAGTCGGTCCTGGCAGAACGTATCTCGCACGCTGTCGAGACGTTCGGCCTCCTCCCTACGAGCCACTTTGGCGCTGCAAGCAGAGTCGGCGAGCAGGCGCTGGTACTGCTGCAGGAGTACATCTACAGAGCGTGGAGAAAGAGAAAGGTGGTCAGTCTGGTCAGCTTCGATGTCAAGGGAGCATACAATGGTGTGTATAAAGAGAGACTACTTCAAAGACTCAGGGCGCGGGGTATCCCTGAGAAGCTGGTGAGATGGGTGGACGCCTTCTGCTCCCATAGAACGGCAAGCATCCTGGTTAACGGTCGTGAGTCCGAGGCTCGTTCGTTACCACAAGCCGGACTGCCTCAGGGCTCGCCGCTTTCGCCCGTGCTCTTCCTCTTCTTCAACGCCGACCTCGTACAGCACCAAATCGACGAGAACGGGGGTGCGCTGGCCTTCGTCGACGACTATACGGCGTGGGTCACGGGCCGATCGCGAGAAGCAAACCGTCAAGGAATCCAGAACATCATCGATCGAGCCCTTGACTGGGAAAGACGAAGCGGGGCGACGTTCGAAACAGACAAGACGGCCATCATCCACTTCACGCGCAACTGGAGGCTGCCGGCAGACTCGATCAGCTTCGTCATCAAAGGGGACACTGTCCGAGCAAAGGACCACGTCAAAGTATTGGGGGTGACGATGGACACGAAACTTCGTTTCGAAAAGCACATTGCGGACGCAACGACAAAGGGGTTAGAGGCCGTGCTGGGGCTCAGGCGGCTCAAAGGTCTGTCTCCGGCGACGGCCAGACAGCTTTTTGTCGCGGCCGTGGCACCGACGATGGACTACGCGTCGAACGTCTGGAGATATAGATGTCGAGCAGCGCAGATGAGAGCGATCAACCGGGTGCAGAGGATCGGCGCCCAAGCGATCGTGGGAACCTTTAACACGGTGGCCACGGCGGTTGCGGAAGCGGAGGCAAGCATACAATCAGCGCAAGAGAGATATGACAGAAAATCAACCACATTCTGGGTACGGATGCGAAGCCTTCCCAAGACCCATCCGCTTCGACGTCTGCGGGCGGTGGCCTTCAGACGGTTTCCATCACCCTTCCAGTTGATGGCGGAGGCCTACCACGACCTACCCCTTGACAAGCTGGAGACTATTGAAGGGTACCCGATCGCTCCGTGGGAACGTCGGATTGAAACAGTAGTCGACGACGATGCGGTCAAGGCCGCCGAGGCAATTCGGTCTGGATGGGCAGTGAGGATTGCGACAGGGAGCTCGGCAAGAAACGAGGTTGTGGGCTTTGGCACGGCGACGACGCTGCCCGCCTCCTTCAGAGGGGGCGGCGGCATCATGGCAGCCTCGCGTACATTCGGTCAGAGAACGGAGCAGAACCCGTATGTAGCAGAGCTAGCGGCGCTGGTAGAAGCGGTCAAGTCTCTCCCAGAGAGACTCGAGTACCGGGCTATCCACGTGTTCACCCGCAACAAAGCGGCAGTGTTCGTGGTGCGCAACCCGCGGCAGCAGTCAGGCCAACGAGAGGTCCGACAACTATATGCCAGCGTGCAGGCTCTGCAGAGACGGGGCAACAGAGTCACACTCTTCTGGCTTCCATCATCGATAGAGTCAGATCTGGCGCAAGCGGCCAAAGCAGCAGCAAAAGACAGTACGCGACCGAACAAGACACCACAGAAACGACCGGCTAGAGCCTACTCGACGGCACTCAGGATCGCTTTACAGAGCGTGCGACAGAAATACGGAGCTTTGCCCGACAACGTAGGAGCATATTCGAAGAAGATCGATGTGGCCTTACCAGGAAAGCATACACGTGAGCTATATGATGGACTGTCCTGGCAAGAAGCCAGTATCCTGGCGCAACTGCGCACCGGCATGGCAAGACTGAATTGGTACCTGCACCAGATTGGTGCGGCTGCCTCGGCGCAATGCGTCTGCGGACAAGCGGTAGAAACGGTAGAGCACTTCCTCTTCCGCTGCACACAGTGGACGGCACAGCGGACTCGGATGCTTCAGCAGACGGAATCGCGTAGAGGGAGCCTGTCGTACTTTCTCGGAGGAAAGAGCGCGTCCGACCCCAAGGATTGGTCGCCAAATGTAGATATTGTCAAGGAGACGATCAAGTTCGCCATGAGCACGGAGAGACTGGATGCACAGATTAGCCAGCAGCGAAACCACACACCACCTACATCAACACATTAACCGACGACATCCCCCACGCACCCTCGTGCCATCGACAGCAGGACTAGCTTCGGCCGCCGACGATAGGACGCCGAACACTTTGGGAGATACCTTAAGATGGCCTGTTACTAACCCCACGAGCAACCGCAGCATCGGCATGTAAAACTGAAGATGACACATGCGGAGACGGACAAGACTTGTATGGGCTTCTGGGAGGCAAGGATATGAATGAAGGTGGAGAATATGTAGATAATCATGCGAGCCCTGAATAGCTTAGCCGGGGCGTAATAAACTATGTATGTATGTATGTACACCTTCACCGAACGAAATGTACGTGGATGCTGAGACGACAGCATCAGATGCTCCTCCTGTATACCTATCTCGAGTCCATCGCCGAGCTCGCAAATCACGACTGCCAGCGGGCGCTTATGCCGAAATCGATTTGGACCCGGAATATAGTGATGAGGATGGGGCCCATGGAACCAATGATGACTGCATCGCAGACCAAGCCAACCCTGACAGGATCCAGCAAGGGCTCCAAGGCTGTGAGAACAATTCCGACCAACACGGTCAGCCAAAACCCAAACGTCGCAAAAGAAATTCCCAGGAGACTGTTGGCACCAGCAGGGCTCTGAGACCACGGAACACATCATCGCAGCTAGCATCAGAGCCAAGACGAAGGTCAGAGCGGGCTACGAATCGACCAAGGACAAGCAGAATCCTGACCCTGCCGGTCTCTCCTGCTTCTACCGATAATGAAATAGACCCCAGATCCCTCTTTGGGCTATTTTGTGAGTGGCGTCTCAAAAAACCAGTCCTGAAGTGCGTCAAAGAGGAATTTATTACGACATTCCAATTGGAATGGCAACAGCCGTCCGCAGAACTACAACAGACGCATTGGTATCCCTCAGTTGGTCGGCCTTCAGGTTCTTCGCTGAAGAGACGTGAGTCTGCGAGGCGATCTGGCAAGTCCAGAGGCCCGTTTTCAGAGCAGGAGAACAAACTCTTGATTCAACTGAAAGGGCAAGGCCTTTCGTGGAGGGAGATCCACAGCAGTTTTTCGAGTTCCTTTCCGGGCCGGTCTCTCGGGACGCTGCAAGTCCACTTCTCTACCAAGCTGAAGATGACGAGATAAAAGGGTTTGGTGAGGTGCAACACATGCATGTTAATAGTCCGATGGATCGAGAGAATGGTAATGGACTTGGACATGTAAGGAGAGATCTATTGTAGGTTCTTGAATTATGCATCAGATAGCATTACACTTATCAATTATCATCCTAGAAAAGTTTGCGGTGTCAAGGAAAGAAGCTGGTTCTTTGGTTTGTCCTGTGGAAACCGCTGCCCTATATCCTGGATGAACAATTTCTCTTCGACTGATGGTAGTATGACACGAAGCTGTTACCGTATTGTCGACAGCTGGAATAAACCTCCCACTCACCAGCTGCAAGATGTATTTCCATTCAGAAGTCAACATTCTCCTGGCTTTCGGCCTTCTTTCCCTTCTGGGCATTCTTCTTGGCCTTTTTAGACAATGTATAGCCCTAATTATCTTCTATCTTCGCTGCTAGTTGAGATTCGTCTCGAGCCCTGTTATGGGATCTACATAGGCTTCTGGCCAAGAGTCGGTCGCAACCTCCGCTATTAGCTCAGGCGGCTCTGCCACAACGTCCGCCCAGCCTTAAACTAAGCGACGGCTAGTTTGCCGAACACCTTCAAGCCCGGGTCCTGGCGGCCGATCGCGCTCCTCTCGTGCTTGGGCAAAGGACTCGAGAGACTCATAGCCAGAAGGATGGCTTCTCTGGCGATTGTCGAGCGCATCGTCAGTCCGCAACAGATCGGACTTCTACAGGGCAGGTCAGCCGTTGATCTAACGACCTGCCTCGCCCATGACATCGAGATGGCCCTTCTGAAGGGGCTCACGGCGACGCTCCTGACTATGGACGTAAAATGAGCGTTCGACTTCGTTCTTCGGAACCGGCCCGTCATCAGACTGCGTCAGCAGGGATGGCCATACGGCTTGATTAGACTAATCTTCAGCTTCTGCTGCAACCGCGTCGCCAGAGTCCGACTAGAAGAAAGTACAACGGAATACTTTCCTCTGTCGTGCGGGCTGCCTCAGGGTCACCACTATCTCCCATTGTCTTTCTGCTCTACATCGCGGAGATACTTGAAGACGACCCGGACGCGCGATTCGGGTACGCGGACGACATCGCCACTCTGGCCATAAGCCCCTCCCTGGAGAGCAACGTCGCAATACTCAACCGAAGCGCAGCCGGCATTCTCGGATGGGGCTCGGAGAACAAGGTCTCCTTTGACCCGAGCAAGTGCGAGGTCATCCATTTTACTAGGAAGCACGGCCAGCCAGCGGAGCTGCCAGAGGTCAGGGCGGGGGATTTGGTGGTCAAGGCCTCGACAAAACCTGTACGCTGGCTGGGTGTCTGGTTCGACAAGAGACTGTCCTTACGGCACCACGTCGACACAAAAGTAGCTGCGGCAAAGAAGGCAGCTCAACACCTGAGGCAGCTTCCAACACAAAGAGGGGACTCCCAGCGGCCGCCGTGCAAAAAGCCGTCGTCTCCTGCGTACTGCCGATCGCGGTCTTCGGCGCCGAAACATGATACGCAAGTATCACGAAGCCGGCTTCGAGATGCCAGGCGGAGACAGACACGGCTCCGCCTCTCCAAGGAAGACCCGTCAACACAGGCCAGAAAGGGCTTGTGCAGAAGATCGACAGCGTCATCACAGCGGCAGCAAGGGTCGTCCTACCTGTCTGGAGGACAACACCAACCAGCAGCCTACCCCGAGATGCCGGCTTACCGTCAGCCAAAGTCGCTTTGGAGGGCGTCCGCTTATGGGCCGCAGTCCGACTGCAGAGGATTGATCGCCGACACCCGCTAGTCGCGCGGCTCTCCCAGCAGGGACAGCAACAGACGAGGCCACAACGGACGGCTGAACTTCTGCCAAGATGCGGAAGACCAGCGCTCCTCCAATCACAGTACCTGCCAAGCTCACAGGATCAGATAGTAGTTCAATGCAAAGAAGAGGCTGCGAAAGCTTTCGAGCGCTGGCTAAAGACAGTACCGGAAAGCCATATTATGATTGTCTTCTCGGACGGCTCCAGGGCGACGAACGGAGCCGTGGGGTACGGCTTCGTCATCTATCGAGACTCCAAACGCATAGCGCAAGGGTGCGGCCGACGTAGAACAGGAAGCCCCTGGAATTTGGCTTGGCCACAAATCGAGGCCCGGCCCGCGTTTTGGAGGATCTTTCGTATGAACACCCATCCCAACTTTCTGAGAGCTCCTAGTAATGTGCCCAGATTGAGAAGAAGCAAGGCAAGATCAGCGGGGATTGGATGTACGATCAATGCAGCTTGTACGGCGGGCTGGATTTGACCTGTTTTGAATGCTCTGCCGTCCAAATGGATAGCAAAGACAAGATCTGTACCAAATCGTGAGACGCAACCTGGGAAGGTAGGGTTCGTCACGCCGGACCTGTCGGGAGGTCTCAAAAGCGCAGTCGATTATACCTTCGGTCCGTTAGCTCAGGGTGTTCATATCCACTACCGTCCTGTGCTTGGCCTGGGCTACAGCTTCTATACTTCCATACAAAAAGGTCTGGCAAGTGGCCTGAAGCTTTGAAACACAACACGAATGCACCTTTGACTCTTGCTCCTCATGTGCTTTGCGGGTTGCGCGCATCAGCTCCGCGACAATTTCCGCGGCGCGACGAGGGACATGGCTTGCACCGCTCGCATCAGGACGATGGGGTCGAGACCTGTGCAGTGATTGGAGTAATCGTCATGTTTGATCAAAACGGATTATGGAACGAAGGATCCTCCGGCTAGAAAGGTGGGTCATCACAATTATCGAGCTTGATACAAAAAAGGGCCGCACTCTCGTAAGCGTGAGCTTGGTGCAGCGTGGCGGCTACGAGACCCGTTGCAGTGGGCCCGATAACCTTATGGTCCAGTTTTGGTAGCTCGCCCACTGCTGCTGGAAACGCGGAGCTGGTGGGATTTCTTGATCAAGGTTATGCAAAGTGTCTCTACGCTTGCGCCGGAGAGTCAAGCAAACTCAGTTACAGGCCGGCGACTTTCCACGGCTCTAGTAAAGCCTGTTTCAGAGCTCTCTTGTGGCCTGTGCCGGCGACTGCGAATCCAATAAGAAGTTAGCGCTCTTGGTAGGTATTGCTCTGCGAACCGCTCCTTCCTTAGCGGGCTAGTCTGGAATGGGGAACGGCCTAGGTAAGAAGTCTCGTTGCTTGCAAAGTATGCTTTGCGCAACCCCAAGGGTCGGGGCCAGTGACCGTTTCCAGGCCATCAAATCAGAATCGCAGTCCCGTAGGATGACTCGCTAGTCTTTTGAATGATAGACCCATCTGATGAGGCTGCTTTCAAGTGAACAGTCTGTGACAATCTGTAGCTCTCTGCTAAAGAAGTATGTTAGTGATGCACAACTTACGTCCGTGCCACGTCTTAGCCTTCACTGCATATTGTGCTTTGCCTCAGAGAATCCGTCACACACTCTCAGCGTTCCTTTCCGAAACCTTATCTGAGTTCGCAAATGACCGGTGGCCGAACAGCCCACACTCGGGCAAACTGTTGATCGAACCGAAACCCTGATACAAGGGTCCACGGCAGAGCGAAAACTCGGCATTGGTGTCGTACATCATGTCGACGGTCGCTCTGAGCTCCGGGGAGGACCCAAGTCAAATGCTTGGTGCCTGGAAAACAAGCTGGATGCTCGAGTGAATGTTTGACCTTTATCAGTTGACAGCTCAGGGTTATCGGAATGCGAAGGCGGCCGAAAACCTTCTCATGTTACATGGCTGGTCTTTTTTATTTTTCCCCTTAATGTCTTTTCCTTTTTTCTTGTTTTTCTTATTAGCTACTTCACCGGGTAGATGCTCAGGCAGGCTCAATCAGCCCATTTACCTTTCTAGGCAGTTACAACAAAACTGGAAGTGTCAAATTCGGCGATTCATGTTAGGTAAGTAGGCCAAACCGAAGGCTCCGCCGGGTTGGGTGGTTTCGACTCCTACCAAAATAGTCTCAACTCTATTCCTAGTCTAGAACCTGAAAACTTAGTGTCGGCCCAGTAGGCAGATACCTAGAGATAAGTCCCTTCCCCTTCTTGTCCAGACTCTGAACTGCCAACCCCACAGTCAGGGCATAACCATCAAAGGCGCTTCTCGCTCTTCCCCATGTCGCGAGTTTCACTTCCTCAACTCGTCTGAAATTTGAAGCCCTTCTTCCTCCTCTCCAACCAACCTAAACTCTTCCATGCCCGTCTCCAGCATTCCCGAACCCCGCGAATCTCTTCAGCCAAATGCCTCCCGCTCAGTTGGTTCTTTTGCCGTGCCGAGGGTCGTGTAAATGCCGACGATAAACACAACGTTTCCTGGACCGGACGACCATGTTCCACTCCTTTGACAGCCGCCGCAGTTCCTCAGGCTCGCGCGCGTGCTCCCCAAAACCCTCACGGAAGGTTAACCGCTCATGCCAGGAATGCACGAGACGCAAAGTCAAGTGCGACGGTGGACATCCCTGTGCAAGCTGCCAGTACTACAAAGTTGCAGACTCGTGCGAGTACAGGCAGCGGAGCAGACGACATGTCGTCAGCAGAAGGTACACACACGGCGTTGTCCTGCGTCAAAATCCGGTGCTTCTTTTGATTTTGTTTTTTAGTCTAATGGCGCAGGGTCACCAAGGCTGATATCTACCCCAGTACTCTTGAAAAGACCACAGAGCAACTCCGGGCCCAGTCCAGTGTGCTGCAGGAACTCTTTTCTGGAGTTCCCGTGGACGACCTGGTAGGCAAGAATCGAGCAGAGTTGCTCGCCCTGCTGCCGCGAGAGTCTCTCATTGATGTACGATTCACCGCTCCACAAGCCGATCCGTCACCGGTTAGTATTCCAGCTGCCGACAAGGATGACGAGGTTGATGGCTATGATGGTTTGACACAGAATTCTGAGAATGGAGAGGCTGCAGACGACAGATACTTTGAGGAGCCCACTCAAGAGCCGGCAACCCTGGGCTTTGGCGACGATATCAACGCCATTAGTCTCGCAACAGACCAACACCGCCACCCTTTTCTCGGTGTGACATCCATGAGTGCCGTTCTCGAGGCGATATTTCGTCTCTGTCCTGCCGCCAAAGAACACACTGCTCGGAGAGCAAAGACGTGGAACGTTCTCCATTGCCCATCCCACCTGCTTCCGTCTTTGTCTCTCGTCAGCACGAACGCAGGCTTGAATCATCTGCGGGAACAGCGCTATATCGACTTTTACTTTGACCACATCCATTCAATAAACCCGATTCTCCATGAAGACGATTTCAGACGCGAACTAGCCGCAGGGATACGTCTCGATGGCTCTTGGCTGGCCCTAGTCAATATGGTCTTCGCCTTGGGCTCCATCGCCTCCGGCAGCGACTTTCTCCACGTCCAATACTACAAACAGGCCCGCGCCCACCTCGACCTTGACTCCTTCGGCTCTGGCAACATGGAAAGCCTACAAGCTTTCTGCCTGCTCGGGGGCTACTACCTGCATTATCGAAACTCGCCAAACATGGCATATGCCGTCCTGGGCGCCGCTCACCGTGTCGCGATAGCCCTTGGACTACACCAGGAGCCCGCCCGCAGCCGCGCCAAGATCGTCACAAAACACGACACCAACATCTTACGCGCCGAAACGCGTAGGCGGACGTGGTGGAGCCTTTTCTGCCTCGACACGTGGGCGAGCCTGACCCTTGGCCGTCCAACATGTGGCCTATGGGATAGCAGTACCATGAACACCCTCTTACCCAAGCCCATGTTCTCCGATGACCACGTTGCAGCCTCGCTGCGAGCGAGCTGTCTGTTCTGCCACATCTGCCACAAGATCCAGCACCGTTTGGCACAGCCCGCGCGGTTATCCGCCCCCGAGGCCATCGCCTTTGACCGCGAGCTGGTGCAGTGGCACGATTCTCTCCCTGACTACTAAACATGTCCCCTGCCTGGGCTCCCAATAGGTTCATGGGTCAATACACTCACGGGTCTCCCGTTAGTCAGCAACATCCACTGTGTTTGGCCGTCTCAGCAGGGGCTGGGGCGGTGTCGTTGGGGACAAGATTTGGCACTCCTGGTGTGGCCTTCTCAATGGCATTTACTACATGTAGGTAGTCGTTTCCCCCCCTTGCCTCCCAACCTGTCCAAAGGCCCATGATGAGGCTCATTTGGAGGGCCTCGAAGCTCGTTTTGCGTTTGGTCCCGCGCTACTTCCTGCTGCCGATCTTGAGATTCGTGATTGTCTAGGAAATCGAAATCCTCTTGGGACTTGCAGTTGTCTGTAGTGTCGTGGTTGTGTCGAGAGAATCTGGCTTCCCGGTGTTTGAGAGATTCTCGCTCCATTCTTCTTTGCCTAATACCGAAAATTGGCAACCAGAACGGAATCGGTTGCATGAGTAGGTGATTGTTGATCGGCCAGACCTCCCAATAGTCGACCTTCGCACAATGAATTTATAGCCTCTGATTGCTGTCCAGATATGAAGACCGACCGACAATTCTTCTTGTGATGAGTAACACGCTTGAGGGGGAAGGTCGTTGAAAATGCATCGGTAGAGATATATGATGGTGGCCATCTTGTGATTGATTGTTGATCAGTGTTGAGACGGCCAAATACAGGAGGTGTTTTATGGACCCGTGAACCTATTGGGAGCCCCTACCTTCGGGCGGCCAGGGAACGTCGCGCTTCTGCAAAACTCTGTATACGCAGAGGTGAGTAGGCAGAATGGTGCATAAGCAGACATGCCTAAGCAGGACAATGCCCACGCTTACGTGCCTATGCAGAATCGTGCCCACGCAGTGATGCTCACGCTGAACCGTGCTCACGCAGACATACGTAAGCAGGACAGTGCCTAAGCTGATGTGCGGACGCGGAACCGTGCCCAAGCAAGCGTGCACTTGCAGAGGGTCTTGCGGGATATTAGATTGCCTTCGCCCGGGAGCCTCTCAACTTACGACGGAAGCGCCCTGGAGTGCCTAATTGAAAGCATCAATCAGATCAAGGATGGGAACCCTCCTCATTCAAAGGCGATTCCATTGCTGGGCGACCTGTGACACTGCGAAACATAACGACGCTTATAACGCAGCACTTGCCACGCAGGCCACTGTCGGGCTCTTTCTGCTTGTCGAATTTGAGCAAGGCAATTGCCAGCATCCCTCATTCCTCATCTCGCACGATCACCGACTTGTCGGAAACTACCAAGGATAGACAAGAGCCAAGGTGAAGAGATGGCAAAAAGCTGTTCATTCAATCACCATAGAGGGCGTATCGCTCGGCGTGAACTTCGGACCAACGAGTCATGGTTTCCAGCGAGGTGACCGCATCTCCCAAGTGGCACCGGGCAAATCCATAAATAGCGGGCGACTAAGTCTCGTACGTACCTTTATGGCCAGAACGGTGACAACTGCCACTTTTCGGTATGCTGCAACTGTTCTGTCGCAGCTACCGGTGTTCTAGTCTAGAATTCAGCTGCCAAGTACGTACAGTGACAATTGATGTAATTACCACTAGACCAGATGTGGCAGCGTTCTGTCTCAGCGAGCTTCAGCGTAGGCTATTAGCAAGGCGTCCGGACGTGACAACACCCGAGTGGTTTACGGGTAAGAGTCACTAAAGCCTCCGGGCCGCAGAAGCGCCCACCCGTTTCGAGGATCCCAGCACGGGATGCTTCGGCATGGGTCACTGGTAAGGCCCCAGGATGTGGAGCCTTCCAATAGTAGCATGGCCGGGCTGGGCGCTTCGGGGGTCCACAGACGGGACATCGTGGTCCGGATCCGATCCACCTACCAGTAATAATCGTCAAAGCATCCGTTTGCAGGGCAGCCAAAGCGCCCACCCCAGCTATTAGAGAGCTTCTCGCCTGTCACTAGTAAATTGAACGTAATCAATGTTGTCTTCAATTGCCGCTCCAAATCTTCCAAAGCGCCCGTCTTCGAAGCGCTCACAGCCCAGGCATGCTTCTGGTAGTCGAATCGGCTTCCCGTCGGCCCACGTAAACGTGAGCAGAGCCGGCGGCGGCGGATAGCTCCAGCTCAATCGGCGCTTTTTGTGCTGCTGTCACAAGGGCTCTGTCCTCGGTGCCCCTTCAAAGTGGTTCAGACGTAAGGATCACGAATTAGCATCGTGTCGCGTTGAAGACACGGGACAGAGATGTAAGGGGCAGTTCTGTAAACCTATCTATGCGTCAACACTACATACTCTGTGTGATCTAATTTAAGCCTGCCCTTCTGTCCCTTTAGCCATCCGTCTACGCTTTACCTTCTTCAATCGTCTTTGCTCGACCTGGCCTGATGTCCTGAGCGAAACGCCATGGGAAGTCTGCACATGCCGTCTGAACGCATCTAGTGTCGCAAAATTTGGGTCATCCTGGCATTGAGGATGGTTGCACCGAATGAGATTGCCACGTTGTACAGCACGCTCTCGTTCTACCAGATGCTGGTCGTCAAAGTGGTCATTTCTGACCGTTGGCCGGCAGTACTTGAATGTCCGTTCTTCTAGTGAAAGCCTGCAATCCCCAACACAATCAGGGCACTGATTCGGATCAAGGAGTAGTGGGAAGGGCTTGGGTTGAGGAGTCTCTTCGATGGTTGGCTTGGGTTGAGGATGGGTGCGGATGCGGTCTCGTCTGACCGTCTCTCTCTTGTCACAAAGTATGACCATCAGATCGATAGCCTCAATCCAAAGCTCCATGAGTTTGTCGTGAGAGCACTCGGCTGGTTGGTGGCAGAGGATGTGGGCCAGTCTGGTGCGCTCGGGAATCTGGAGGTTGATGTCCGGTTCAGTATACTCCTCGTCTTCTTCGCCGTTCGCTTGCCTCTCAATATCCCATGTTGGGCGGTTGTAGAAATGATATTCGCGATACTCTTTCACGACACTCTTGTCGCGTTGATCCCGCTTCGTGCGTATCTCCTCGGTTAGCCTGCGGATTTCGGCTTCGTTCTCTTCACCTTGCACTCGGTATTGACCACCCTTCAACTTCTGTCGCCGTTGCTCCAGCTCCAGAATTTCCGGATCGGGAGGCAAGTTCTCCCAGACCTCCTTGGGGACCATGTCTCTTGTTGCCCGGGGATCACGCGTGAGGCTGACATGCGCAAACACCTTATACATCTGCTCCTCGGTTTCCTCTTCTAGGAAGGTATTCTGGAGGTCGAACTGGACGTTCTCGTTGAGGTATGCGCCTTGAAACGTGGCAAACTTGGGATCGTGGCGCATCATCTGGTCGCGCACGGCATCAGACGCATTCCCTGGGGTCAAAGCTTTTAGTATTTGTAGTCCTCACAAATGCTGTTCACCTCAACCTACCATTTGCTGCATTTGCCGCCCCTCTTCTAGCGAACCGTGGCGTCCAGGCCTTCTCGAAACCTGCGTCAAGGCTCTGTCGGCTCATGTCGTCTCGTAATTTGGAATAGCTCATGGCCTCGTCAACGGCCAACGCACTGCCGCTGAGCTTTCGAAAGATCGGAACCTTGAGCATTGACTGCTTCCACCGTAAAGCCGTAGACTGGACTGGACCCCTGACCTCTGCTCTTAGTACCTGGGTTGCATCTGTCAGGCTTGCTGCGTCGAAAGCCTGGTCGTGGAGCGCTAGAGCGATGATGGTGCTGACGGCACAGAAGATGAACCTTCTTGCAGGCGTAAAGAAAAAGACAGTCCTGTCCATAGTCAGCATGAAAAGCACCAAAAACGATTGGAGCCGCGGCGCTACGCATACTCACGGTCTTGGCTTGTTGTCAGCTCCTTTGTGGTGGATGAACTTAACAGCCATTGCCGGTACGGCTCGTCCCGTTACTGGATGGCGAACAATCATCATGAGTATGTCCTCATAGCACAAGGCTTTCGGACGCCCCCGCCCAGCTGTTTCCTGTATCAACAATCTGTCGAGGAGAATGGAGTCTTTGTCCTGTGGTGGTTGGTCATCATAATCCACGTTCTCTGTGTCTTTGCCACACTCAAGATCAAGGGACTTGACGCCTTGGAGCTTGAAAATCTCATCCGTGCATCCGTCTTTGGGTTTTTTCCTTTCGGCATGCACGATCTCGGCAGGCCGCGCACCAGTGTAGCAGAGGAGCTGGTAGCAACCAGCCAGCTGAGTGCGCTGCCGTTCTGACGGGAAGATACCAGTATCATACGCAATGTTGAATGTCAAGATGGCCAGTAGGTTATCGGCCCCGAGGACTGGCTTCCCGTTGATGTTCGGTGCCCGGTATCCGAAGCGGGGGATCAGGACCGTGTTGTGGAACTAGCCCAGCCCATGTCAGCATCATTGTGGAACTGTCGGCTGCCGCAATTGGTAGATACCTTGTACAGCTCTTTGGCATCGTTCCTGTCCATGTAGCGACCGGCGACGGTGGTGTATAGCTGCTGAAACTGCCGGATATATACCTGCGTCGTACCCCAAGATTTGATTTTCCCTATCGACCACTCGCTGACCCGGAGAAAGAAACTCATCACTGTCTCGCGAGATACGTTTTCCAAGGCCGCTTGCCATTCACCGAGGTTCTGCTCTTGACAGTAACTGTTGTTGTAGAGGTCAGTCAACAAGCAAACAAGCATGAGATACACGCGGCGAACCGTTTCCATTTCCTGCATACCACCGCGATATTGATCTCGGTTTCGTCTGCATATCTCGGCTTGATGAAGTTGACATTCTTGAGCTGCTTGCGTAGGTCGGCGTGCTCCTCAGCCGAGAACGGCTTCGGCTGGTTCGCGATCCGACGTTGTGTTTCTTGGTCGGTAAACCGCTTCAAAAAGTCAACGGTTGCCTTTGTTTGTTGAGGGCGATAAGCCGCGAGCACCGGCTGGGACATGGCTGCGAGATGGTCGCTCGTCGCAGCGGCAGAAGAGGGGTCGTGAGCGTGTACTGAGGCGAGAGAAGACGACAAAAGACGGCAGGCACGACGCCGCTCTTTATGGTGGGAGGCGCGCCATGGCGTCAAGCAGAACCTGAACAGCCTGAGCAGCCAGAAATCGCTCCAACGGATGCCAGAAAGCGAGGGAGTTGGCAAGAACAAACAAGTGGTGGCATAAGCGACGGGCAGGGTAGAAGGGAAGGAGATGGAAGGCGCTTGGACAAAAATAGCAGGGTGGGGCGCACTGCCATGACCAGGTTGCGGGCGTTGGAGGCAGCAGGACGAAGTATTTAATACCTGGCAGTGTCCGCCCCTCGCCCGGATCCCTCACTGCTTGCGCCGCCTAAAACGGCGGCACTTCCCACCGAATGCGGCGGCCCTAGCAGCGACTTCTCGCTTTTAGTAGTAAATTTGTTTACTTTATTATATTACGACCTAATACGTATAGCGAAGCCAGGGTCCTACCCTATAGGACTACGGCGGCTATCATATTATATATATATAAATACGGACTTAGGAGGACTCCCCTTAAAATAAAAAAACTATAAATAAGTTACGTAATTATGATTATATAATAAAATAAGGAATAGATGTTTATAAATAAATAAGATAAATATTTATAAATAAATAAGACGGACGTTTATAAATAAATAGAATAAACGACCGTTTAGTAAATAATCGAATAATTATAAATAATATAGGATAAAAGATATATTTAGGATTAAGATTTATATATAATATAGACTTAAACCGGGCTTAAAGATAGACTTTTATAGCTTCTTTAGTTATTAATTTTATATTAAATTTTATGATTATTTTTAGCTATTTTTATTAAGAACCCTTTAATAAAATTATTATTAATTATTAAAGCTTTATTTTATAGCTTATAAAATATAACTTCCTTTAAAATTATCTAATAACCTTATTTATTATTATTTAGTCTTTATAGCCTAAATTTTTATAAACTTACCTTATTATGATTAGTTAGCCGTAATATTTTAATAGCTCTTATTTAATAAGTTTATTTTTTGAAAATTAATTAATAATAAAGAACGATATTTTTTTTTAATAATATATCCTTTATTATCTCTTTTTTTAAAGGAAAGTAGCTAGAGAACCTAGCTTAGGAACTAGCTATTATCGAGAATAATAAAATACCCGACGTTACTTATAACTTAGATAGGGATATAGTATTTAATAAGGATACCTATTTTTAAATAAAGTATATTGTCGATAAAAGTACTAAATATAATAAAGAATTAATTAAGCTTTTTAATAATAATACCGCTTACCTAGTTATTATTTAAAAGAAAAATAATAAAGATATTATATATATATAATCTATATTAGATAAAATAATAGCTACCTTAAAACTTAAAACCGATAAATCTAGTAACCTAATTTAGGAGGTTCGAACCTTTAAAGCCGCCGCTAATATTATTAAAACCCTTATAAATAGTTAAAAAAAACTCAAACTTAACGCTCTAATTACCTTTAACGGAATTATAGGAAGACTTAAAGGATTTTTAATCTAAATTAAAACTTATTAAACCTTTTATATTATAAACTTCCGAGGTAAAACCGAACGTATTATATATATAACTATTTTTTCATAAGGACGAGCCTTTAAGTAATTCGAACTTTATTAAAAAGACTTTTTTAATAATAATAGCTATCTTAAGAATTATAAAACCGAGATTATTATTATTTTCGGTAATATAATAGGCTTTTAAGCTACCTTTAAATTATTATTCTAAGACTTAGACGAAAAATAATAAGTAGAATACGATTTAATTAACCTTTAATAAACTAAGTCCGCTTTTTATTATATAGCTAAATTTAGAAAACTTTTAATATACCTCGATTTAACTAAAAAAACTTATATTTTTACCTTTTATTTTAGACTAAAGGACGAAGTTAAAGATAAATTAATTAAAATAGATTAACTTACTAAATTCCTACTTTATATAAAATAAACTATTTAAATTAATACTTAATTTTATAAATAGTATAAAGAGAAGAAAAATAATTAACGACCTTAAACTAATTTAGAAAGATATTATTAAATAAACTTCCTAAAATAAAAAGAACGTCCTAAAAATAATAACTATTAATAAAAACGATAACTAATATCCTATAGATAATATAATAACCTTATAGACTTTAGTATTATTATTAAAAGATCCTTTATAAAGGACTTTAGGTATTATAATTATAATAAACTAGGATATATAGCCCGAGACTATAAATAACCTAAGAGGCTTTAAGAAAAAGCTAAAATTATTAATATAGTTATTAAAGGTACTTTTAAAATAAATACCGAAATATCTTATAAGTAACTCTTATAGACCGGATACTTCGATAATAATTACCTTATTTATTAAAATAATAAGGAATTAACTAACTAATATTTAAAAAAACCTAAAACACTTATTATAATAAAAATCCAAAACGATAAAAAAAATACTAAAATTTTAATTATAATATAATAAGCCCTTAATACTAAACTCCTTTATAAGATTAGTAAATACCTAAAAGATATTATTAAGAACGGTAATATCGTCCTATTACTATTGAATATTCGACCTATTATAAAGAATAGTAAAATAGACTTTAAATAACTTAACGAAGTTATAATAATATCTAAAAACGAAAAAATAAAATCGTCCTATGATTCGGACTAATCTCGTAATATTATATAACGATATATTTAGGTAGAAGTTATTAATAAAGATATCTTTAAAGAAAATAATTCTAATTTTAAAAAAAACTAAGTTATAAAACGACTTAAGTAGAAAGAAATCTACCTATTATAAGATAATTAATTTGTCCTTTTTAAAAGGACGAATAACTATATTAGAAATATAGAGATACTATTAATAATTTAGAATAACCTTAAATTAACTCTAATTTATATATAATATAACGATATCTTTTAGGTAAAATACCTAATTAATAACTACTACTATTATTTCTATTAGAAAAATAATAATTAATATTACCTACGACGGTTTATTAATAAATTAATTTTTAAAGTTTATTTAAAAGTAGACCTACCTTTTTAGATTATAGATATAGGAAATAACGACGTTATTATTTTCTCCTTAGACCTGTACTACCCTATAGAGTACCTTAACGATATTAAAAAGGACTAAAATATATACTAATATAACAAATATAGAATCTATTTTATACCTAAATTATAAAAATAGCGATTCTTATAAAAGAAGATTTAGGAAGAATAATTAAGAACTAGCTCGTTTTAAGGAAACCCGGATAACTTTATTATTAGCTTATAGGACTATCTATATAACCGATATATTTTAAATACTTAAATTAATATTAAGGTATTTAAGAACTATAAATCGTTTTTTAAAGAAAGAAACCCTATTTGAGAAAAAGAAAACGATATTTAAAATATTATCGATATTTTATATTTTATTATGGAAGGATAGAGGCGAAAGGACTTAAGAGAAAATTATAAACGATTTATTTAAAAAAAAACGAGCGCCGGCTTTTAAATAATTAAAAAACTAAAAACACTAATTAAGTAAGGATAATAAAAAGCAAAATAAAGAATTAAGTCCTTTATAGTAGTTAATATAAATGACTTTAACTACTATATATTAAATATTTATATTTAAGGATATAAAATATGTACTATAATTAATAGCGGTACTTAAGCGAACTATATATTAACCTAAGTAGTAAGGAGATTTAGGATTAAATAAAAAATAAAAAGATTATTATACCCTTTTTATATATTCGAAAATAAACTGATTTAAAATAGTAATGAATATATATTTTAAGAGACTATGCCCTTCTAAATAAATATTAATAACTAAATAAAATAAATTATTTATAACGTTACGGAAATAAAAATAAACTAAGATATAATTCTAGAAATTATATAATTAAAAAAACATAATCTATAAATAAATTAGAATATAGGCTACCTTTAATAAATAGACCTAGTTATTAAATAACTTAAAAAAAAAAAGTTTAAATAAATTTTATACGATATTTAACGAACGAAAAAGACCTAAATACCTTGCTTATATTAAAAAAATAAAGCTAATTAAGATAATTACGTCCGGTATAAATAATTAGGGATTAAATTTATTTTAGATTATACTTAAAGAGTACCGGAAATATATAAAATTATTTATTTTAAAAGAAAAATCTATAGGACTTTTAGAATATAATAGTTAAGATATAGAAATCGAACTTAAAGAAAGGATATAGCCTTAATTTTATTTATTATATTTAATAAACAAACTAGAACGAAAAGAGTTTAATAAATATATCGATAAAAAATTAAAAAAAGGCTATATTAGATCTTCCTTATTTCTTACCGGTATATTACTTTTTTTTGTCCTTAAAAGAAAAAAGGGAAAATTAAGACCTATAATTAACTATAAAGGACTTAATTCGATTATTAAAAGAAACTATTACCCTTTACCCTTTATTACCGAATTTAGAGATCTATTATATAGAGCCTAATAGTTTATTAAAATAGATCTTAAAGAAGCCTTTAATTAAATATAAATTAAAAAAGGCGATAAATAGAAAATAATATTCCAAATACGTAAAGGATTTTTTAAATACCTAATTATACCTTTTAGATTTACTAATATACTTATTATATTTTAAATAATAGCAAACTACGTCCTTAAAAAATATATAGATATCTTTATTATTATCTATATTAACGATATACTTATTTTCTCCCCAGACCTTAAAATATATAAGGAATACGTTTATTAAATATTTTAGAAACTTTAAAATACTAAGCTTTATATTAAACCCGAGAAATACGAGTTCTATATCTAGAAGGTTAAATTTCTTAAATATAATATTATATTAAGATAAATATATATATAACTATTAAAAATAGAAGTAGTTAAGGACTAGCCTATACCCTAAAACGTTAAGGATATATAAGCCTTTTTAAAATTTATTAATTTCTATTAACGATTTTTTAAGAATTATACTAGTATAATTAAACCCCTTAATAACCTAATTAAAAAGAATACGCTATTTATTTAAAATTTAAATTATAAAAATTTTTTTATTAAAGTTAAGGATATAATTATTTCCGAACTAATAATTATGATTCCTAATCTAAAACGACCTTTCGAAATCGAGACCGATACCTCGGACTTTATTATAAGAGTAGTTTTAAGTTAATAAGATAAATAAGGAAAACTTTA